TATTTAAATTCTAGTAAGAATTAATAGCTAAACTTAAAACCTATTATAAGCTAAGCACTATATTTTATTTATAAATAAATAAATAAATAAAATAAATAAATTAAGTTATTAAAGTATACTTATAATATTATATTAACCTTTAATAAAATAATTAAGTTAAAATATTACTAATTACTTAAATATAATATAATAGCTTTATAATAAAAACTATAGGAGTTATATTATTTTACACTAATTATAGGTTTATATTAAAAGCCTATAGATTACCCCGCGATAGTTTAAATGCGGATAATGCATGTATTCTTATAGAAAATATAATTTAATTATAAGAAAAACTTAAAGTTTAACTTAAATTCTTTAAGTAGTATATAAAGGAATACACTAATTAAATAAGGATTAAGGGACTAACCCTTTAAGAGAGAGATATAGTTTACTTACTATAATATTTATATAATAAAAAATTACTAAATATTAAAATAAATAAGCTAAGTAATAAATTAAATTTTAAAAAACTTAAACTATTTAAAATTTTAAAGAAAATTAGTAAAGTTAACTATAAACTAAACTTACTTAAAAATATAAGGTTAAAAACAGCTGTCTTTTATATATTATTACTTAAAAAAGCATTAGTAAATAAAGAAATAGGTAAATTAATTATAAATAAAATTATTATTTAAGACATTAAAAAAGAATATAAAATTAAAAAATTACTTTATATATAAATAAATAAAGAAATAAAAGAATAGGAATATCTTATAAAATAGAAAAAATATAATTTTAGTAAAGACTCTTAGGTCTTAAAAAAAGAACTTAAGAGGAACACTTAAATAATTCTATAGGAATTTTATTAATCTCTAAGGGTAGAAATAATAATAAGTTTAAATTAAAGAATAACTAATTAATAGCATTAATAAACTAGGATAGGCCGATAGTAAAATTAAGCGCTAATAAAGCAGCCTAATAAACAGCCTTTGCTTCCTACTCCTTACACTTAACCCACTCTAACTCCTCTAAATTATTAATTCCCCGCGCAATAGCATAAGTTATTTTCTCTAACTACAGTCATTTCTATTTCCTAATACACTTAATTTTAGCATTAATAGCTTTTCATCGTTCCTCCGCTGCCTCTAACTTATCCTTAAACTAAGCATAAAGTAAAGCGATTTTCCGCAGTTAAGCAGTAATTAAAGGGCAAGTATTATATAAAGATTTATTTTCCTTTATATACTTAATACACTAAGTAAAATCCTCTTTAAATATTTAATATTTAAGGAAATAATATTTCTTCTTATTTAAATAATAAGTGCAATCCTTTATTTTAATAAAATAAGATAAGATAATTTCTAAAAGAATGTTATAACGCTCTGTCTTAGGATAAGGCTTTTTTTAAATACCTATTATAACTGTTAATATATGTATATTTAAATAATAAAAGAATAAAGGAAATTAATAATAAGGTAAGAAAGGCCGGAGTGGATACTTATACTTAAATAAGTAAGGTTTTAAGGATAAGACTAATAGGAGGGGAGTATTATATTATAACCTAACACTTATGGTTGCGATAATAGGCCTATAGGGTAAGCGGAACTAGATTAACTTAAGACCGGGTAACTAATTAAAGCCGGATTAAGAATTAACTTCTTAATCTACTATAAGATTAATAAAATAAATAATAATCCTTAACTAAATTAAGGAATATTCCCTTAATCCTATTTAAATTAATTAAATATATAAGTTTATTTCTTTACGCTTATTTAAATAACTTAAATAGCTAGTTATTAATATAGAATTAAAATTGTAATATACTTTATATTACTTACTATTTAATAATATTATTTACTATTACTTATATTATTTATTAGGTTTCTTAACTGCTTCGCTAATATAAACCTAGAATTATCTACTAGGTTTATCCCTTAGGAATCTACCCTATACTAACTATCTAGTGTATGGTTTATTATAGGAAGTAATAAATATTAAAAACCTTATATATATCTTTATAAGATTTATTAGCATAAACTATAAATTACTAAAAGATATTATTTTTAATTAAAAAATAATATTTATTTTTAAATTTTAAAAAATACTTATAATTAAATTAAAAATAAACTATAAAGCTAATATAGTATATTACCCTTAAATAAATAAGTAAATAAAAAGAATTAACTAAATTATTAAAGTATAATTATAATACTATATTAATTTATAATAAAATAACTAAGTAAAGAAGCTACCCATTGCCTAACTCTTATATAATAGCATATTATTAAAATCTATTAGAAAATCCTTATTTTTCCTTAACTATAGCTTTAAACCTAAAGTATATAAACCGCTATATAATAGTAAAAATATAAAAAAAGTAATAATTAAGGCTAAAGATATAATTAAACTATATAAAAAACTATAAGTATAACTTAAGCTAATATATATATAAATATAAAAGTATATAAATTAAATAAAGCTTAAAGGTTTAATCCTTTAAAAAGGAGATATAGTTTACCTTTATTAATATATAAAAGGAAATAAATAAGCTAATATTAAAATAAATTAGCTAAGTAATAAATTAAACTATAAAAAAGTAAGACCTTATAAAATTATAAAGAAAATTAAAGAAATTAATTATAAGCTTAATATCCCTAATATTAAAGGAAAATAAAGAGCAAAACTTCACTTAATTTTCCATATCTTGCTTTTAAAAAAAGCTCTAGTTAATAAAATATAAGTAAAATTATTTATAATAAAATTATAATTAAAAAAGAAAAAAAAGAATATAAAATTAAAAAAATTCTTAAATTTAAGCTTAATTAAAATAAGCTATATAAATACTTAATAAAATAAAAAAACTATAATAATAATATAAATAGCTAAGAACCTATTAAATATTTAAAAAATACACAGGCAATAGTAAATAAAATCTATTAAAATTTAAAAGCCTAAATAATACTAAATTAATTGCGCTTAGGTTAACTTACTTAAAGGAAGCTAGGCCATTAGAAATAAAACTAGGCCTTAAATATAAAATAGTAACTTATTTAAAAGACTATTTAGCGGCTACTGCTGTATCCTCTTTAATTATCCCCTAATAAAATAACTCTTTACCCTACTCCTTTACCTTCTTTTATATCTTATAAATATATAATAAATAATTTAACTCCTTTATAAGTTTAAATTATAATTTTAATATTTAAGTATTTAAAAACTTAATATAATTATTAGTCTTTTCTTCCTTACACTTTAATACACTCTCTTATATAAATACTCTTTTTATTAAAAATAATTAATCTTTACTTAAATATTCTAAGGAAAAAACTTATAAAATCTTACTACTATAATCCTATTACATAACTTCTTTAGCTATATATAGTTAGCGCAGTAATTAAATACATTAAATATAATATAAGTTAATTTTAAATAATAGTAATAAATATATAGTATATTAGCTACTATACTTACGCTTAGAATATACTTAGCTAAGGAAAAGGCCTTATAGCGCTTCCTAATAAAAGCTATAGGAAAATAATAAAAAGAAAATATAAAAAGGAAAAATTACTTATTAATAAAAATACACTATTATAAGGTATAATAATAAATATTATATAATAGGCCTTAAGGATAAGACCTTTAAAAAAGGAGCATTATATTATAACTTAACCTCTTAAGGAATATAACGCAGTATATACCTTAGGATAACCTTAAAATATAAGACTAATTAAAGGAAGACTAATAATAAGCCAGCGGTCTTATATACTAGACTAATATATATAAGCGGTCCTTAAAATAATAAATTAATAAGCTATATTAGTCCTTATAAAATAACTTACTATATAAATTAAAATAAAATATACTTATTAAATAGCTTAAACAGTCAGTTATTAATAACACAATAGTATTAAATATAGGTTATACTCTATCTACTAATTAAGTAACTACGCAATATACTTAATAATAGATATCCTATCCTCTCTGCTAACATAGACACACGCATCTATCCCTTAGGAATCCCCTACCCTATAACGATAACCTAGGACCTAGGGACCGGATCGTCACACAAGCGCCGCTCCTGTGACCACGGGACTGGGCCTCCGAGCGAGCCTTCCTGTTACACATACCACGAGATGCATGACGTGGAATTCTCAATGCGAAAAACTGCAACTACCATACTGGTTCTCGGGATAGTCTGAGGACCATCTATTTATTGATTGTATTCGCCCTGACAACTAAATATCCGGTTAAACCTTGGCTTACACCGATACAATATATCATCCCGCAATAACGAATCTCTCAGTTTGTCTCATTTTACCACTAAAACTTCTGGTCTGAACTTATCATGGCATCCTCCAAACCCCGCGTCTTGACTTACCATGTTGCCCCTCACTTCAATATCACCGCCACCGGTGGAGCTCTCCGGCTCGGTACTGTTGTCAAGAACCTCGTCGAGCTCGTGCCGTTGAATAAACAGGAGGCAGAGTACGAGCCTGTGCCCGATAGTGAAATTTACACGCCGACGCCACAAGCGGGCTTCCACGCGACGCGGCAGCAGCTACTGGCGGGCAAGTTTGGCGCCTGGGCCGAAGGTCTGGGGTTGAGTGGCGTGGGTGGCCACACCAGCGCCGGCGGCGACCGGAGCAACAAGGAGACTTTCTCTTGTGACAACATTGTGACCACGTATTTTGACCCAACGGATGAGTGGGCGGCCAAGTGTTTGGCAGCCCAAACTGTGCAAGAATACATCATCGGCTCCAGATACAGAAAGCCTGTATACATTATTACGGGGCTGAAGGTGGCGACGAATTTGATATTTAGCTTCGAGGCTGCTGAGAATGCCAATGCCGACACCAAAGCGGGGGTGAGCGTGCCGCAAACGTCGGTAGCCGTCGGAATTGAGGGAACTGTGAACACGGAGAAGAACCAGTCCCTCGGATTTCAGTCAACTGGTATCGTGGTAGGCTTCCGCGTAAAAAAATATCGGTATAAGAGGAGAAGTCCGTTTAGCAGGGACAAGAAGCTTGAAGGGGAGCTTTTCACGGAAGGCGCGGAGATGCTTGATGACAAAGCGAGACCAACAAAGAACTTGGCTGAGTTTGAAGATGTTACCATTGATGAGGAAATAGAGGCCCAAAGAGAAGCTGAGAAACAGCACGGTTCTCTCGAAGAATGCTGGGTTAAAAGGATTCGCTCGTCTGATCTAGCTTAATTATACATCACCCTGGCGGTGTAGAAGCCTTCTGTACTAGGACTTTTATGCCTGATGATATTTATGCAACTTTTTGTCTTTGAAAATCTAATCAGTTCCATCTTCTGGATCGCAACGTGGTTTTCCGAACCCGGGAAATGAGGTTTCAGATGTCCTCTGGATCCACCATTTCGCTCCGTACCTCTCTAGAGCTCTTAAAGCAGTGCAGATTTCTTCAATGTTGGTCTTGTTATCCCAAAGATACCTTTTCCAAGGTTTTACATAGTCGTAGCCGTCTATACGATCAGAGAGACATTGAAATAAGTCTCTCATGACTTTGGGAGTGTAGAATTCCATTGGGCGATCGCCTGCGGCGGTTAGGTGATGTCTAATAAACTCTAGGGCATTTGCTGCAATAGCTGCAGCGACGGGTGCAGCGAAAGATGATCCATTGATATAGACTTCGTCCCCCTTCCACTTCGAATCAATGGCGTTTCCCAAAGTAGAGAAGTTGTCATCGCTTACGGGGGTCGGATTAATTCCAACCTTGTTGCCTAACCCATCCGAGACATGGATGCAGAAAACACCATCTTGATTAGCTGGAAATGCCCTGGTTTGGTTACCTCCACTATTGGAAGCGGCAGCAAATATAATTTTACCTGCCTCAACGAGTCTCTTAATAGATTCTTTCATTCCTGAAGTTGGGTCGAGCCCAAAGGAAAGGACAATGATATCAGCCTTGCGTTCATCAGAGCTGACCCAATTCAACGCCTGTCATAGACTATTGTTAATTGCCGACCCTGAGACTGGTTGACAACTCTTACCTCGACGATCTGATGACTTTTGGCAACCTCGTGTTTGGACTTGGATATTTTGGCGAGAATAATTTTTGCATTAGGCGCAAATCGAAGCAATAACCTAATTACGTGTGTTCCGTGACTATAGGTGTCGATATGATCGTCTTCGTCTGTACTGAAGAAGTTTCGTTTCTGAACTATTCGCTCTTCTCCTTCACTAACTAATTCGTCCCTGCTATCGACGCAGAAGCCTGTGTCAAGAACGGCTATCCGAATATTTCGTTTCAAAGGATCAGAGTCAGATGTGATTTCTTCTACCGGATCGTCGGGTAGTGGAAGTATGTAGTTGGCCATAAATCTTGACATACGAGAAACAAAATCTTTTGTGTTATTATCAGTCTGTGTCCTATGAAACCGTTAGGACTATGAACGTGAAGACACTCGACAGGACAAACCTCTTCTGATCATCAGTTTGGTCATATGTGTCGAATAAGCCACCTTTTTGGAACCGTATCTCATTGTCGATGTTTTGACGTGCGTTAAAATCTCTATTCAAGCTTGTAGGTTTCGAAGCAGATTTATTCTTTACGGCTATTTCTGCTTTATTGGGGAATGAGTAGGCTGAAAAAGACGTGATTAGTGGCTCAACGATACTCTCGTAGAAATTAGTACGAAATTCCGCATCCACTACTTCAGCATCTGGATATAAATTGAGGCAATTGGCAATAAGATCGAGGCAGGATCTGTCGGTAAAGTCCGATTCTCGTTTATTGACCTCCGCGCGGGTTAGCGCGTTGAATAAAGTTTGAATCCCATTTTCGTCCTCAGCTTCATAATCCTCTTTATCATCCTCGAGGACTTCAACCTCCTCTCCTATAAATATTTCCCAGAAGAGGACCCCAAGATAAAGCATAGCTGATTGCGCTCCCGCAGATTTTTGCGACTCTTCTTCGTGTAGGCACCTGTTTAGCTCCTCAAGGATGTATGGCTTAATATTGAGATCGTAAGACGTTTCGTCAGCAGTTTCATCAATGAAGATTCTTTGGCTCGTCAAGGGGCTTCGGATAAGCGGACTTCCAAGAAGACAGAGCAGAGATCTCGCAATCTTTAACGCCAGATAGAGTTTCTTTTTATTTGTTAATTTGTATAGCCCTGTCGTGACTGTTTCTCCATCTTTCCCCGGTCGGAGCCAGTTGGAAAGTTTCTTTTTCGGAACGTTTAGTTTTATAAACCGGTCACTGGTCTCTCGCTTTTGACTGCTCCAACAGCCGTCCCGTTGAAGCTGCATCCGTAGTCTAGAACGGTTCTTGAGTGACGTCTTCAGTAAAGAACAGAAAGAACTCATAGGATTATGTTGTAAATCTGGAGACTTGAGTGAGCCTGAATTGGCCCAGTGGACAATTTGCCACTTCCTGAATTCTGGTTCGTCGCATATAGAAATGAACATGTCAATCTCGTCCTTTTCAAAACCAGACAAGTGAATATGAGCTGAGTGATTCAGCTGGCATGGCACTGGGGCCTTTTTGAAGACTTTGACGAGACTCTTAGCGAGCTCGCAGAGCCTGTGCGCTTGCTGTATGTCGTCCAAAGCCCTTTTCTTATATGATGTATCCTCTTGAGACAGATGAGAGTGATAGTAGGGTTGTTTAATTTCAACTTGAGTTGACTCAAGATATGAATTGGCCATATGTATGTCTCTCATTGTCTCCTTAAATTGCTTCACTGTCTTTGTTATTCTGCGATAATGTGCTGGCTCGGTGCCTTCTCTTGGCCAACTTATCCAAGTTGATATCGTATGAGGCAGGGTGATTGAGGCTTCAGTTGTAGGAATCGAGTTGTGAGGCTGCAACAGGGCTTTCAGGGCACATAGCTTGGCGAAGTTTGGAGGAGGGTCATTCTAGGATCATCTTAGCAAATACCCTGGACTGAAAATCATGGTGTAGTAGAGCAATCAAAGCTAGAATACACTCTCGCTATAAGCGCACTTTATGTAAATTTAACTTACCGAATCCTCTTTTGGGATACCGTCATCGACCCGCTCATTCATCATGAGGAGGAGATCTTCCAGAGCTTCCCTTGCTTTCTCGAAAGCGTCGCCATCCGGCACGTCACACATCATACGATCCTTGGTCGAGTCTCCAGATACCTCCGTCATGTCGATCCTCAATATTCTTATAAAGTTATCGCGTTCCAAACGGTTCTTGGCTTCGGTTGACTCGTCTTTCTGAGCTGCATTCGATTTTCGCTTCGGGCAAGGCGGCAGCACGTCGACGAAAGCCTGGACAGTAGCTAAAAATAGCTGCACATCTGCTTCGTAAAGCTGCATCTTAACGAATGTTCGAGCTAAAAAGCACGCGACCGCCGGGAGCACTAGGAAACCTGAGAGAGAGAAGCGAAATATGCCGATAGACAATTTTAATTTGTTGACAATCACTGTTCTCCGGCAGAAAGAGCCAGGTCTGAGTTGAGCGTAAGCTCAACGAGGGGTTGAATGATCAGATAAATAACTGCGATGCAACTAAGGTGCATGTACAGACTACATATATCCGCGCACGTACTGTACATGTACTTAATTCCCTCATAATCCCAGATAGGTAGGTAGTAGCCTAACAATTATCCTGTTCGGCAACATTTTCCCCTCACCAGCGTGTTTTGTGTCAACATCAGACAAGCCAAACGCGACGATGTCTTCAGCATCTCAATAGCTGCATATCTCAATCAACATAGAAAATTCGAATTGGAAGCTCAACGAGAGTTTATCCTGATCGGTTTGCAAAACGTTGCCATGGCTGACTCTTCGCAAATCAAAAAAATGCAGGAAGGATTTGTGGTACACGAATCGAGCCAGCCCATTTTTGACGCTGCACAGCTCTGTACAAAGCATTTTGAAGATTACTTCAAAGCAGCAGATGGCGCAAAGGGAGATAATTATTTGGAAATGGAAGAGCAATGGGGGCGATTCAACCAATGGGCAGCATACATTGGAGCTTTCGCCGTGCCACGGGCGTCTCTTGATGCGCGATTGACTCCCCACATAGAGATCAAAGATATGGTACTCGAGCTGCTAGACATGATGCAAGATAATTTCGTTTGGGGTAGTGTTTATACCTCATTATTATGCCACGAGAAGGCACTGACCTGTCTACAGTAAATTCTGTCGACAACGCGGAAGAAATATCAGAATCGAGCGTTGGACTGCCTGCCATAAAAGCGGCAATAGATCGACTTCTCATTTTATCGGCGAACATCCGCCGCTCAGCACGCCATAGTGATCGCTTGAAGCAAAATAGTCGCAGTGACCAGCATGAATCTTTATATCTTTTGCTTGTGCAAAAAAGATTCCCCGGCGCGCGGGAGAGCCTTTGCAGCCAGCTTGGATCTTCCATTCATACACGGGGGATTTCGCTACAGTACATGCAAGAGCATAATAAGAAGCTTGCGTATCACCGGAAGGACACAGACGACTTGGAAGTCACAGGGGGGGAGCACGAAGAACGGATAACCGCTCCGGCGGTATCACACCTCAAGAAAGATATGGTGCCCAAGAGACACGAAAGGAAGGTCGCGCGAGGCCCTGAAACGCTTCATTCTGCAGTCTCACCCTCTGCAGTGGAACGTATCAAACAGACTACAAGATATCCTTCGAGTACTATTATCAGCAGAGGCTCAACTATTCAAGATGCCCAGCTCAATGAATACGACAACCCTCCTAAACCGAAGCAAAGAGACAGAAATAGATCCCAACCTTGTGCTATCTGCGCCGAGCCTCTGAATCCACATTCCCTGACAACGCTCGCTTGGAGGTATGTGAAAGCAACAGTCCTTGTTCAGCTTGTATTCTAAATTTTTAACATATGGATAGTACTCATGTTGATCAAGATATTGAACCTTATATCTGCATTTCTGAAGACTGCATTGAGCCTCCCCAGTACTTCATTAGTGTACAATCCTGGATGGATCATATGCAGGTACGCCACTCAAAGAACTGGTCAAAAAAGATCCACACAGAGAGATGGTATTGCGATGTCAACCACAGCGAGCCTGGCAAAGATCAGCCAGAGTTCGACACAAAATCAAAGTTCTTAAATCATCTCATAACCGATCATGGGGATAAGCTCACAAATTCACAAATTATGGGACGTATACGACGAAACCGACGGGTAGCGACGAGAGATGATCCCTTCGCATGTCCTCTTTGCAACTCTGTTCCGTCAGATGTTGAGAAGCGTAGGACAGAAGAGCCGTATGAGCTTCTCTGGAAACACATTGCTCGACATCTGAAATCGCTGGCTTTTCTCTCCCTCTCTTACGTAGAGAAAGCAGAGGAAGCCCCAGAAGATATAAGAAACAGCATCGCTTTCTCAGAGGAAAAAAGCGACGGAGACGGTGCCAGTTTATCTACGCGTCCCATTATTGATCACAGCGACTGCGCGGATCCAATCCAAGATTTTACGCTGGAATGGTCCAGCTTCGAGGCTGAATCTAAATTCACGGTCGCTATACCAAAAGATAAGCTCCCAACGGCTCATGACGATCCTAGCTACAGTTTCACAAAGAATGCGCGGGAATGGGAATTCTGGTATCCCCTCTCTCTTAATCGCAAGAAGATAGGTCCACCCGAGTACGAAGGCCACGACAAGGACAAAACATTGAGGCCCTTCTTCCGGGAAGTCCCGCTCAGTTTCTCAACAAAGGGCCAATACACTGTTGGTTGGATATGCGGTTTATCGACTGAATTCGTTGCCGCCCAGGCATTTTTAGATGACAGTCACCCGCCACCTGAAGACCTATCTCCCAGCGACAATAACACCTATAAGCTGGGCAGAATCGGTCGTCATAATGTCGTGATAGCGGTCCTTCCCAATGGCGAATATGGACTATCATCTGCAACAGGCGTTGCAAAAGATTTGCTGCGCAGTTTTCCCAATATTAGGATTGGTCTAATGGTAGGGATTGGAGGCGGGGCTCCAAGCGCAAAGCATGATATCCGTCTTGGCGATGTTGTCGTGGCCGTTAGTAACGGACAGGGAGCTGTGGTTCAGTACGACTTCGGAAAACTCATACAGGGCGAAGACTTCAGCGAATTGGGATATTTAAATCAAGCACCAGTATTACTTCGAACAGCAGTCAACAGCCTAAAAGCTGAGTATGAGCGTGACGTGGAGGGGAGCCGAATCCAAAAGGCCATCGACAATGTTCTTGCTAATAGACCAAGACTACGAAGAAATTATCAACGGCCTGACGAATCTTCTGATAGATTGTACCAATCTTTAGTTATTCATCCACCCGAAGGTGAAGTTGATTGCTTCACGGCATGCGGCAACGACCCGTCAACACTGGTTGAGCGACACAAAAGAGGCGACGATGATGACAACCCAGCAATCCATTATGGTCTAATAGCTTCTGCAAATACACTTATGAAAGATGCTTTAGTCCGAGATAGCCTTATTGCGAGGAAAAATATCCTTTGCTTTGAAATGGAGGCCGCTGGTCTGATGAATTACTTCCCATGCTTAGTTGTTCGAGGAATATGCGATTACTCCGACTCACATAAAAATAAAGCATGGCAAGGCTATGCAGCTATGGCAGCTGCAGCATATGCAAAAGATCTCCTTCATCAGATCGCTCCCAGCAGGATTGAAGGGGAGACGAAGCTTAGCGAGGCTGTGTTTGGTATATTTTGCAGACCTAAATACAAGTGCCAATATATGCTAACTTCTTTTCAGGTCTTCACGACATCGTAGAAGAACACCGCAATATTGCAAAAGAGCAGCTGCAGATGCATAAGGACTTGGCTACTAAGAAATTCTCAGACGAAGAGAGAGAATGCCACCGTGCATTCCGTCTTACATCTGATAGCAAAGATGCCACGTATGAATGGTATAAGGGCCGAGTTGAAGAGAGAGCTGAGAATACCTGCCTTTGGTTTCTAAAGCATGATAACTTCCAAAAGTGGATGAGTCAAAAATCAGGCCCTTTACTGGTTACGGCAGATCCCGGCTGCGGGAAATCCGTCTTGGCCAAGTATCTTATTGATCACGAACTACCCCGATCAGCAACCATATGTTATTTTTTCTTCAAGGACCAAGACCAGAATACTTCTCGACAAGCACTATGTGGACTGCTTCATCAGCTCTTCGCTCAAAAACCAGCTTTAATTAAACACGCTATGCCACACTTTTATAAGGATGGACAAGCACTGTCCAGGTCTACGGCATCGCTTTGGCAAATTTTACGAGATGTGATAAAAGATCCTGAGGCAGGGCCTGTAATTATAGTTCTTGATGCACTGGATGAGTGTGCAGAGTCTGAATTTGCGGACTTGATACAAAATGTGAAAAGCCAATTTCGTCACGGCTACCCGGAAAACAAGTTAAAATACTTGTTAACATGCCGCCCCTATGAACACATTACCTCGGAATTTCACAGCTTATTGAGTTCATTTTCGCGTATCCGTATACCCGGAGAAGAAGAATCGGAAGCAATTAGTCGAGAGATTAGCTGTGTTATCACACATCGAGTCAATCAACTATCAGCACAGTGGAATCTCAATGAAGAAACCCAGTCTCATTTGATAAAGTGCCTACAAAATATCTCTAACAGAACTTACCTCTGGGTGTATCTTATCTTTGAGCATCTGGAAGAACTGGATTTCAAAAAGACTCAAAAAGGAGTTGAGTCCACTATAGCTATGCTTCCAAGCAGTATTAATGAGGCGTACGAGCGCATCCTCAATAGGTCTAAGGAACGCCAGACAGTGCAAAAAGCTCTAAGCATTGTTTTGGCTGCCAATCGACCGCTGACCCTTGCGGAAATGAATGTCGCTATGAATTTGATTGAAACATCACAGAATACATACGAGCTTGACTTGGAGGATGTAGAATCATTCAAATCACGAATTAGATCTCGCTGTGGCTTGTTCATTACAATACATCATAACAGAGTCTATTTCATTCATGAAACTGCAAGAGAGTTTCTCCTTGCTGAAAGAACATCACTTGCTGCTGAACTGCCATTATCGAGGGGCTGGCAGCGCTCTATTTCTCTTCGCCATGCACATAGTACTTTAGCAGAGCTTTGTGTAATATATCTGGACTTATTCAACTCTAATGAAGAGTTTCAAAAAGATATAGAAGAAATCCGCGTTCGTAACGGGAATCTTCTAGGCTTTTTGGACTACGCAGCTGAAAACTGGATCGCGCATTTCAATGAAGCAGACATTGGTTATAATGCTGCTGTTTTACCTCTCGCTATGAGAATCTGCGATCCAAGATTAAAGAGCCGCTCATTGTGGTTTCGAATTTTGCAGAAAAATATATATCTGGAAGGTCTTTCGGAGAATGCTACAGAACTTACATTGGCGTCGTTCTTTGGGCTCAACGCTATTGCTAAGCAGTGCCTTGAAAAGAGAGCTAATATCGAGGCAACGGATGAAACCGGCAGAACACCGCTATCCTTAGCAGCTTCAAAAGGCCATGATGCGATTGTGAAGTTGCTGCTTGAGAAAGGTGCTGATATTGAGGCAAGGGATATCAAAGGCAGGACGCCGCTGTGGCGGGCAGCTTCAGTTGGTCATGAAAGCATTGTGAAGATGCTGCTTGGAAAAGGAGCTGGTATTCAAGCAACGGATAGGGGTGGTAGGACGCCGCTGCAGCAGGCAGCTTCTGAAGGCTATGAAGAAATTGTAGGGATTCTGCTTAAGAAGGGAGCTGATATTAATGCAGCGGATAATGAAGGTAGAACGCCGTTGTTGTGGGCAGCTTTCAGAGGCCATAAAGGCGTTGTAAAGATGCTGCTTGACGAAGGAGCTGATGTTAATGCAACAGATCACGAAGGTAAGACGCCGCTATCGCAAGCAGCTTCATATGAACGTGAGGAAATTGTGGAGATACTGCGTGAAAAAGAGGCAGAGCTCGAGGCAGAGCGCAGACATAGCCCCTAATTCGAAGTCGAGTCTTCCTGAGAAGACTTCATAGTATGGCGAATAACAGTCTGATATGAGAAAAGGAAAAAAACGTCTCTGTCCTCCCCCCCCCCACCTTTTCTACCATTTGGACAATGGCGGGCTATGTATCATCATTACAATTCAAGGTTGCCAGGCCAAAAAGCGACAATTATTCCAGCTTACTCAACTACCTACTCTCCATAGCTCAAATGTCCTTACCAATTCACTCCTCCCGCAAGTACAAGCTCCCATAGAAGTCTCCCTTCATTTCAAACAAGCCATTCCCAATTGAACTTCTCGATTGGAACAAATACCCAAGCCTTCCATGGACTATATACAAGTCTCCCTCGCAACATACCCGCACCATGCAAAAGACGGAAGGTAGTGAAGAAAATATACAAAACCAAATACAAAGATGCCTTTTTTTCTTTCTCTCTCTCATATCAGTTCCCAACTCCTATCTAATTCTAGTACAAAGTCCATCTAACCAATCGTTATGATGCGCTATAGTCTGACAAAACGCTCCATGGTAGCAGAGATATGGAAATCCGCCGCTCATAAACCAAGAGTCAACTTGGCCACTTAGATGTACATTTGGGTGCTCGCTGCCTATCTGCGGAATGATGCAACGCCCAAAAACAATATTCAACCTTGTAAGATAAAAATCGACCATGTCCCATTACTTGCGGCGGGTCTTGGTGGCTGGTCTTGATGCTGGTTCAGCCATAGCTTCTCGCTTCTTCGTCTGCTTCCTGGATCGCGGAGGTGGAGGCGGCTCGCTGTGCAGATGACCCAGCTCGTCCAGAGCCATCGTGTTCTCCCACTGCAGACAGCGAAAAGGATTGCGATACTCTGGTGTCCTATCCCGAGCTCTTGGTCTGGTTCCTACTCGCGTTGACTCATCCTTCGACTCATCCTTCTTGTCGTCTTCTTCAGCTTCCAGATCTTTGCCGGTGATCCATTTGATTCGATGTTTCATGTGCGTGGCTATCCTCTCTCTATAGGCAACCAATTCCTTTCGCAACTTGATCTCGTTGAAACCTCGGGGATCCAGCCATTTGATGAGCTGGTCCAGCTCTTCTGGTTCGGAGATGTAGCCCCATTGCTTGGCGGTGAAAACGCTGCTTCCGCCCTCTTCCATCGTCTTCCTCTCGGGAACTGTCATGTTGAACTTGGCTTGGTACTCATTCTGAAGCTCAGCAGGAAGATCAATGTATCCCTCCCGTTCCAAGTCATCCGGGCCTTGAACCCAGATACATCCGTTTGCGTATCCAGCATGTGCCGTAGAGCTGTCGGGCAGCCCAGCATAGGGCATACCGTTTCGCTCAAACCAGTAGTACCGATTCCAAAATCTGTCTTTTCCGAGTACGCGGGTTCGTGGGCAGTCGGCCTCGCGTAGATCGTTGTCGATGATGGCGACTTCCTCCTCGCACTTTTTGATGATATCCTCCTTCTTTTGTATGTCTTTTAAGAGTTTGATGTACTGCTTCGACTGCTGCGGCTTGGCCTTTTCCAGCGCTTTTTCTTTGGCCTTTTTGAGCTTCTCCTCTTCTTCATGTTTCTTCTTCTTATCTGTCAAGACACGACCCCGGCGCTTCTTCTTGGAGCTCTCATCTTGATCGTCTTCAGCTTCGTCATCTTTGCTAATGACTGATTCATCCGCATCTGCCATCTTGACGTCGATTTCTTCCTTGACAGGGGTACCATTTGTTTCTTCCACAGGTTCATTTTCGGGCATCAATAGTTTACGCTGTTCGTTCAGCTGTCTAAGCTCTTCAGTTCTATAAAGCGATATGGTCAGTAAAAGAAGATGCCTATATCATAACCTACTGGTAGAAATGCCAACTTACACTTGCTTTCGCTGTCGCTGCCACTCAATTTTGTCTTTGCGGTATTTGGTCATTGTCTCGCTGCAGTCTTCCATGTAGCCGCGCACAGCTTTTGTCTCCATGGTCAGCATGCAGATAATCTGCAGGGCCTTGACGCGATTGTTGATGTCCAGCGCGGTATACTGCTTCTTCACGTTCTCCGGGGATGGCACCATCTCAGAGGGTACGAGTTTTTGCAACAGCTCCTCGCATGCCTTGTGTTGGCGCTCATTCTTGGAGAGTTGGTGCAGCAGACCAACTATAATTCTCTGCCAGCCGCCATCCTGAAAGTTCCGTTTTCGCAGGTGCTCAATCCAGTCAAACTCCTTCATGAGCTCTTCTGCCCGGTTCTTGGTCTCCTGCTCCGCTCGAGCCTCTTCCTCCTCAGCAGCTGCTGCTTCAGCTGCCAGCCTCTCCGCTTCGATTTTTGCCAGGCTACTGCGCGTAGCTCTGGCCACGGGAATATCCTCTGGCTGAGCAGCATCTTCTTCCCCACTCTCTTCCTCACCCTCATCTTCCTCGTCCTCGTCTTCGTCGCTGTCCTCTTCTTCCACCTCTGGCAACGTGATTCGCACCTTGCCGCCGTCAGTCTCAGAATCAACGAGAATCTTCAAAACCGAGCAATGAATCTCATCAAACAGCTGAACAGGACCGCTAGTATAAGCAACCTGCATCGCTTCGAGAAAGTCGTCAAAGGTAAAAGAGTCGAGTTTGAAGATTTCGCAGTAAACGTTGAGCGTATCCCACGTCTCCAAGAGTGGCCCCACGCTCTCCATGTCGAGTCCGCGATGGATAAGGTCGATCGTATAAGTCTGGCGCTGATTGAGATCGTCTTCTATCTCGACGGGAGGATCTCTACAGATGAATTTCAGCGGAGGGCGCACAATCCCAGTCCGTGGCTCGAGTTGCAGATCTTCAATAGGATATTTTGGTGGAGGAGGCGGGGGCGGAGGTGTCGGCTCGCGTGGCAGAGCAGCTTGTTCGTCGTGTCTTGAATAACCAGCACCGTTTACACCATCGTGGACCATATCGCCAGGCCACTTGAGACCCTTGGCCCCTGAGCCGCCTGGAGTCTGCTTGCCCTTGTGGCTTTTGGGAGCAGGCTTCAATTCAGGTAGACGCACTGGACCAGTCGGCACGGCACCATGTCCATTTATGCCATCCAGCGAGTTCTGCTCGCGCTTCTGCGCCAGAAGCTGTCTACGTTCCTGGATTTTAGTGTCATGTCGAAGGTGAGGGGGGATCCTGGTGTCGATGTGGTACTGGGCAGCGTAATCATTCTTCACAAGCCATGGCGCGCCATTCCATGCCTCCCTGGTAACTGTTCTCTTTATGAAAGACCGGAGCATGGATTTTGTGAAGGCGCCACGCTCACGACTGAGGTTATCATCAGTCACGATTTGCTCTTGCCCAGATCCACCGCCGAGAACAACCAGATACCGGCTTGTAGGGAGAGAGCTGGATCCGTCTGGTAAGATTCTGGCACCAAAGGTTGTCTTCTCGCGCACGAGACAGGGGCGTCTCTCGTTGTTGAACTCGTCAAGGGTAACAAAGACATCCTCTCCCGGATAAAAGTCGGCTTTGAATTCGTCATATACCATGTCCACGAGGTTATCCAGGCGGGAAATGGTCTGGAACTGGACTTTGCGCAGAATAGGGCCCTTGAGCGCTTCGGGGAAAGCAGCCTCCACTTCTTGACCACCAGCACGCTGTTACAGCTAAATGAGCTAGGGATCAGCTGAAAATGGGAGGGTAGTTAAACAAACCTCGCTTGTGAGGGCCTCAAAGAAAGTCAGGCCAGAATGGCCCGTGATCTCGTCATTGAACCGACGCTATGAAAAGTGCAGCTTTAGTATATGCTTCTACGACTTTGCGCGCGACAGATTCGGCTGAGGGTCAAAGCTAATCACCTGTTTGTAAAAATCCATTCTGAAGTTGGTAGGAAGGCAAATCGTCAGCAATGTGGCGCACTAGAACCAGAAACACAGCAGACTCACCGATTCAAATAGTCTTCGTAGGACACAAATATTTCGCCAGTCTGAGGAATCTGCCAGACCTAAAGCGCAGCCAACATCAGACCAAGTCAGCCTCTGCTCTCCATCTTGCTTGCTGCAGGCGGCTCAGCGGTGAATCAGTCATGTCTGCCATACCTCGGTGTCCTCGTCTTCGACCTCAGCCGGGGGCAGAAACTGCACCGGCTTCCGTTTATAGAGCACCTGTTGTAGCGTATAAGTGAGCTGCGGGCAATCTTCGGACGGTTGGCGGTGATCGCGTACCATGTTTGGGAGCCGGGACTGGGATCGAGAGCGCGGTCGGTGACGGCGAAGGGAAAAAGAAGCGTTGCAGGTTCAGCGTCGAGGCCGAATCAGGAGCAGGTGAGGAAGCCGGAAGCTTAGCGCGTTATCTAATCGAGGGACCCGGTAGAACAGGCATCCGGGCCAAGCACGGGCGAGATGCGAAGCTGCGGCTCTGGCTGTAAGCAAGCTGCAGATGGGCAATGTAGAAAAGCCGTATAAGAGAAATTCGTTGTCTTTCGTGCTCGTGGCTCGTGGTTTCGACGGCGTGGAGATGGGCCGAGAGAAAAAGTCGCGGTGCCTGGGAGGCGGGTCGTCCAGATGCTCGATTCGCACTTACACGAGGCTGCAACTGGCGGCTTTAGAGGGAACGCGGTCCGGGCAAGAAGACGGCGAGATCGGCTGCGGGCATATTCTGCAGATTCGAGATGCGAGGCGGTGGTGGCCGCGGGTTGGAGCCTCAGGACGACGCGACCGAGTGACGTGCAAGCGATGGGGACGAGGAGGAGAAAAAAAAGAATTGCGCGGGAGGAAGAGCTGCCACGGAACGAGCTAGAGTTCGAGTTCCGGGACTTTAGGTAATGCTGCGAAGGAAAATGCGTCCCGCCGTGGGGACCAGCGCCTAGCGGTTTAGCGGTTTAGCGGTTTAGCGCTCGGTAGCCACACCTCCAGAAGGGGGTTGTTGGCTGCTGGCGGTGGGCGGTACTCGGTCGGTACCTTGGAAGCAGGGATACCTGAGGAGTACCTGATCTGACGAGGCCAGGAAAAGGCGAGCATATCTGTTTTTCTATCTGAACAGTTATTCTTACTAAATGATCAGACATTATAAAGAATAGAGGAAAGCTAATCCTCGAATCTAAACATGAGAAGCCGATGCACTTGACGGCCAATCGTAAGGTAGTTAGACAGACAAAGGATGTGCTTGTTACACCACGCATCATCAAAGTACTGCGACGTCGCGATGAAACCAACAGACAAAGCGAAACAGTGAGAAGAAGCCTAGACAAAGATAATTTCCATAGTCTCAGAGACAGCGGCTACTTCAGCAGTTCTCGCCTGCAAACCAATCTCTTCTACGGTCATCTTCAAGTAAGCGCTTCCATCGCCCAATCGCACCGCTCAGCCCATGTACCGCCCTCGTACCGTAGCACCTCCCGGAAACATGCCGGCCCAAAAACGCTTTCTGCCGCCATCCAATCTTCCCTCTTCTTTGCCCCTTCCTTCCCACCCCCGGCCTTCCGCAGCCCGTCCTCCCCCAAAAATAAGGGCCTAAGCAAAAAGATGCGAAAAATAGCCCGAAACTCATTGATCCAACTTTTACTTTTCAACACGCACAACCATGCCACAAATGATCATAAAGCTCGCCTTTTTTGCACTCATTTTGTTCCCATATTTCCACTGAATCATGTATAAATTGAACTGAGATTATTTGCCCAATTTTCATCATTTTACGCCTCGCTACGTGCACGACGCGGATCGGCGGCGGCAGGTAGGTCGAATTGGCGGAGCCGGGCTGGTTCTCCTCCTCGGGAGCCACTCTGGTGTGAGAGACGCGACGTGTGCATTCAACGCCGTTTGAAGCTGCAGCTGCGCCGCCATTTTCTTCCACGCAGTAGCACATTTACAGCACACCACTAAAAATTATCAGTTCTTCCTTGCAAACTGATATTATATACGGCCTCAAGATACAGCAACAGTCCATGTTCTCACAAATCCCCTAATTTCCAAATTGGGCAACTCGACGCACTAGCCCTGACGTCATTCCGCCTACGATCATGCGCATCGTCTATTAAAAGAAATCTGACAGAAAGCTTCGTCTTACCTGTTGAGCAAGCCATATCAACTCCATTTGCTCACTGCTTGCTGCTGCCCAATCCTATGTACTCCAAACACTGGCCCTTTGTGTTTCTTGTCGCATTCCCTGTCCATGTCACCGCCCAGCCTCAGCGTTAGCGCCACCCGCCAAACACAAACGGGAATCGTTCAGCCTCGCCTCACGTGGAGCGCCCCACACGTCCCGACCCTACCTGGTGACTAAGCCGGCTTCAATGCCGCACTTCAGGCATCGCATAAAATTTAGCTACGATGTCTACAGCACGGCGACAATAAAGGATAAAAAAATGCTTCAAGCGGTTCTAATCTATCTAGTTTTTGGGTATCATTTTGCCCTCGACTTTTTCTCTTCCAAAGACTGTCTTCATGACGTATAATACACAACCATATATCCCACCCAGCTGCCGACCACTCCTATCGCCGCGTAGGAACTCGTAAACATCAAGGGGAGGAACTCTAGTCGCTTTCCAAATATGATTTGGTGAAACAGTGACGTATACGCAATGAGAGGGATGCTGATTGCAATGTAAATCGTGCTAAATCGGTCCAAGAGGAAAACTCGCGGCTTGTTCGATGCCGGTGCCAGGCGATCAAAGGCAATGAGGAACAGCACCAACCAGAAGACCGTATATATCGTCTTGATCGGAAACTCTGCGGGAGTGAAAAGCAGTGGGAACAGCGATACATGGCCCGCGACAATCAGTGGTCGGAATGCACTGAGGTGTCGTCGATCCGTCAAGGCAATCAGACTAAAGGGAATGATGACCAAGAGAATTGCCTTTTCATGCACATGCCAGCTGAAAAGGAACGACGAGTATCCGCATAGTGTCACAGCTCCGATGAAATTTTCCCAGGTAGGCCGTCTGAAGAGCTTGATCAGGGGGAGAGCTTGAGACAGTACCGTCAAGACCAGACATGTCCTAGGGCTAATCTCAGGCAGGACCGCAAAGGCAGTATCGCCGACCAAGCCACGAGTGACGCTATTTAAAGCTTCGGCATTTATTGGTAACCCCAGCTTTGGTGCAACTACCACTTGTTAGTTTCATTTTCGCCGTCTAACAATACAGAAGAGTATAGACTGGGTCCTCTACTTACAGTAAATCAGAACCCGGTCAGCCAGGGAATAGAGCGCCCAGACATTCGGTGCCCAGTAGGCATGGCACAAACCACGCGAAAATGGAAATAGGCGGCTGAGAACTTGGGGAATCTGTCCCATCAGAGCAAACGGCCCAAAAGCAGCCGCGAATATTCCTCCAAGTCCAAGTCCAAGCTTGACGCAGTTAAGAAACTTTATTCGGAAGATGGATCTCGATGACAGGCAGTATGTCCTCAGAAGAAAGACAAAGTAAGCCGGCCCAAGGTAAGAGTAGATGTGCTTAAAGCACAGCAGCGCGCCAAAGAGCAAGCCACTCTGCAGCAACGTAGACTTGCAGCGCGCCAAGACCAAAGATGCCACGAGGAGACCGTACATGGCGCCATTATACTGGAAGTGGATATGATCGATGATGAGCAGTCCAGGCGACAAAATGACAGACAGCGCAGCGGCCTGGGCAGCTCTTCTTGTGGGCAAGGACGAGGAGTCGATGAACATTTGCAGAGCATACACCAAGATAATCTCCGTTATAATGACAGAGAATCTCTGAAAGTAGACAGTCTCCCAGCTATCGTAGTTGAGGTTGATTATCCGCACCATGGCCGGGTCTACCAGTCGCGCGAGATGGGCCAGAACCCACTCGAAGTAGGCGAAGAAGGGAGGGTAGTCGAGGGTCCATTCTGAGGTGTTCTCGTAGTACCACTGCGACAAGGGGAGGCTGTTGGTGATGGCGAGCCAATTTCGGTGAACCTCGAAGTCGGTCGATTTGCTGCGCAGGTTACAAAGTTAGCCAGTGTCGATAACCGATCTTCGTTGCAGAATAGCTCCCATCGCAAGCAAAACAGCTACTAGGTTGGCATGCGCACACTTACTAGGCCGGGAACAGGAGCACCTTGAACGCGGCGGCCACCAGCGCGCACTGCGTCAAAGTTGGATACGACTCAGCCATTGTGTCTGTAGCTGCGCGAAAACGCTACCGCATTGCGTCGAAAACGAACGTTGCGCAATTGCCGAAGCTGAGCAGAGGGCAGATCGTAGGTAGATCGATCGTAGAGAACAAATTGCGACCACTTGGAGATCAAGGGCGGATTACATAATTGGAGCAGCAGCCACACTCCAATTCTACCCCATAAACCCTTGATTCAACCATTTTCTGCGTTACTGCCTGTTGTGGACTAGCGCACGTTCGAGACTCGTCCCCCGCCACGTTTGAGCCACAGCTGGGATGCGGTGTAAGTGGCTCCTGCCAATCGAGGCTATTGGAGATCCGTTGGACGGTGCTGAGAATAGAAGCCAGATGGTCTTTTTTTCTTTTCCTTCATTGTTCCTCTTTTCTTTACTTTTTTTTCTTCGTCTGTGAGCAGCTTCTTTATGTCTTGTTGTTGGCTGCTGTCTTGGAACCTGTTCCTCTTGAAAATCTTTGTTCCTCCTTTTATCTATTTTTTGGTTGGCACCGCTGCTTGGCGGCGCTGGTCGCAAAGGCCCATCTCTAGTGCAAAGTGTCCTCTGCAGCTGCGGCTATATCAACGGCTGAACGCTGCGACTCTCGTCTCGTGGAGTCTTCGATTCTCGCCTCTCAGTGTCTGATTTCTCTCCGTCTGCAGTGCTGATCTCGACTGAAACGTTCCCTCGTCGTCAATCCTACAATGCGATTCTCCGTGCCGCTGGCTGCCCTCCTGGGCGCCGGCCTTTCTGAGGCTCAGTACCTCATTAGCGAGATGAGTTTTGGATATGCAGGGCGGTATGTTATGTTGGCGCAGAGACGAGTCAATTGGGTCAAGAAATGGTAACTAACGTGTCTCTGTCTTTAGAATAAGCTCCGCAGACAACCCTGGCGTCATCCCCAACTTCGTCGTCTCCGGCCAGCCAACCAAACCCGAGATCCTCTCCAGCAAGGTCATCCTCACCCCCGTTGCGCCAGGCAATGCGCGCGGTGCGATATGGAGCGAGCAGCCTTTGAAGCACCCGAACTTCATCGTCGACGTCGACTTTCGAGCTAGCGGTCCCGATCGAGCTGGAGGCAACTTCAATATCTGGCTGGCAAACCATGGAAAGGACATTGGCGCCAAGAGCGTCTACAGCGCGGGCCGGTTTGAGGGACTGGTGCTGGTGATTGATTCACATGGCGGCCAGGGCGGAATGCTCCGCGGCTTCTTGAATGACGGGTCGGTGGACTACTCACAGCACCACAGCGTGGATCAGCTGGCCTTTGGTCACTGCCAGTACAGCTACCGCAACTTGGGACGCCCGTCGCAGATCAAGATGCGCCAGACGTCAACCAGCTTCAGGGTCCAGATCGACGGCAAGACTTGCTTTGAGACTGACCGAGTCAGCTTGCCGACGGGATACGATGTCGGTGTGACTGCCTCCACTCCTGACAACCCCGACTCGTTTGAGATTTTCAAGATGGTGGTCATGTCAGATACTTCCAGCCACGACGCCAATTCTAACAGTGGTGATAATTATAACAATAACAACAACAACAATAACAATAACAACAACAACAACAATGGCAACAGCAACAATGGCAACGGCAACGGCGGCAGCAACATGCTCTACAAGAAGCAATCGAGCAGTGGCGATGAGTCCTTTGTGGACCTTGCCGATGAAGAGGCCGACGTCTTCCAGACCTCCAAATCACAGTTCCAGGACCTGCACAACCGTCTCCAGGGCACCAACCATCAGCTCTCATCGGTATACCGCTCCGTCTCCCGCCATCACCAGATGGATGAGCAGCGCCACAATGAGATCAAGGATCTGCTTGCCGCTCTGCAAAGCAAAGTTGAGCTGCTTGATGAGATTTCTTCTTTCCGACAACGTATTGTTGCGTTGGAGAATGAGGTGCGCAACATGAACAACGAGTTACACAAGAAGCTCCAGGACAACGAGCGATCGGTACAGGGTGCCCTGAGGGTCCACCACAACTCTTTGACCCAGCGAGTCGCCGAGAGCGTTCCTGGACATGGAAAGCTAATTGCTGTGATTATCGGAACTCAAGTCGTCTTGGTGATTGGTTATGTGCTATACAAGCGACGGAGAGCCAATTCACCAAAGAAGTACTTGTGAATTGACACTGAGTAGGTCCTAGACCTGATGATGATGATGCGCTTGACGGTTTTGACGCGAGATTTATGAGTGCGATGGAGGGCTCTTTGTATAAACAAAAGGCGTATTTACTATTTTTTGTCGTAGATATCCAAGTTATATAGCATGCATGAGTTGGATCAATAAGCAACATGCCATTTACTGTTCAGTTTCTTTGTCTCGTCATTCCACGTCGAAGTGCAGTTTTGACCTTTTGTCGAACTTCTTTCCCTTGTTGCCTGCCTCGTCCTATTGCTCTGACTGAAAAAACTGCCAAAGCAGCATCATTAGCTAATTGCATCTCAGTCGCTCTATACCTTATAATGATGATTTTGAGCCGTGTGTTTGGCGATCGGGAAGCATGGAATGACTGAAGGAACGCAGACACGATATTGAAGCCATCTAAACTCTGCAAAGACTCTTCTATCGTCTCCAAATCAAGCACAAGATAAACCTGTCGGCCAAGACCGTCCAGCGCTGCCAGTAAGAGCTGAAATAACTCAGCAGCTGTAGTGGCTCTCTGAAACTGTGCGCATCGCCAGGCCATTGTCTTTTCCGTTTTCAAGCTCTCGTTGAGTTGAAGAGCTTGGAATACCAGATACTTGAGCAAGTCCACCACAGATGATTGAGCCTGCTCATTGTTAGGCGTCGCGACTTTCTTCAGCGCCCAGACAGTTGATATTTTTGAACTTCTCAAATGCTCGATGACATCAACGCAGAAATCCTGCAGCACCTGCCGAGTTGCGAAATTCCCCTTCATCAAAGCTAGTGCCGAGCCCTCTGTAGAGAAGAGTGACTGGAACCGGGAAGAGAGCCAGAATGGGTTTGTAACTGCGGACAAGCTTGTTCCCTGGGCTCGTCGTTTCCTGAAGAATAAATGATGCTGAAAGCTTTTGAGCGGGTCGTCGAGTGGAACATTGGATAAATGAGTGAGGATTTGTGATAGCTGAAGGTCTGAAACTCGTTGGTTGGTATCTAGCATAGTACTCGACTGGATGGCATGATATGCTACCAAGAGTAAGCATTGTTATATCCTTGCTTTTGGGCTTTGGAGCTTCTTTTTGTACCGGAGCATTGACTTACAATCGATTTTGCCAAGTATCTCATCAATCTTTATATCGGATAGACTTAGCCGGGACCGAATCGCTGTGACTACTCGATGCATGTCACGAATTTCAGCTTGCGAGGCCGCAGCGGCTAATTGATCGATTCTGCGAGACGTTTCCGCAATCTCATCAACTAAATCGCCATTAACACGGTTCCACTGCTGTGAGACACCGTGAAACATGTGCGAAAGCTTTCCCTCATTATACCACTCATATGCCTTGACTAGAAAATTGAGAACCGAGGCGTAAAGTTCCTCAAGCGCTGCTTTCATCTGAGGTGTCGGGTAAAGATCCGACGACAGATGCATTCGTGGGAGACTCTCTGCGATCTGAGCGATGGACTTTGCTAACAGCTGGGTAGTCTTTTCATGTTCTATCGCCGCCTGGAATAAACAGATGTTTAGTTACACTCTTGCTTTAGATGCTGAGATTATTTTTCAAGGGACTACATACCATAAACAAGAATTTCATGGCTCCCCATGCAAGCGATACATATTGAGGGTTTTGCGGCACAAACACGTCAAATATATTCGAATAGTAAATGATGCTTTTCGCAGCTCTGTGCAGCCATTTCATAGTCTTTGGACTCTTGCCTCTATCTTGATACTCGTGCATGGATTTACCCACTGCCTCTTGAATATCCTTCAAGGATGCCGCGTTGTGGAGAATTCGTCTTGCATATTTACCAAGACTGCTGTCTTCCGCAAATTGCTTGACAGCAGCTTGGAACGCTTCCTCAGCCACGCCAGATACAGGGTCCGACTCAGCAACGCTGTGTTTGTCGTGATTTCCAGCAGTGTACCAGTGCTAGAAGTTCTCTTTCAATGCCATCCAAGCGTAGGTATATCAGTTGGCAGAAAGCGGATGGAGAAGCTCAAATGCGGGGAAACGACCAGGGCTCAGACACATGCAACAACGATATCAGAAGATGAAAGATAAACACAATCTTTATGGGTTTACGATAGAAGCTTCATGTTTGTGTATGGTATATACAGTAAATTACCCGCAATCTCGCATGTGGGCAAGCCATGATGTTCCAGCTGGCGTTGGCAGTGTGGCTTGGTTGGGTTACATTATACCTGTATGCACATGCACACAAAGTATGCCTAGCAGATGGGGCAAGGCTGAGTGCCCAAAGCACCAACGTGCATGTAGGAACACTGGCTATCATTGGTGAATATTCCCAGTGTGTGTTGTACCGTCTCCGCACGAGGCTGCGCACGATATTTAACCAGCCTGATACACGTACATTCACAACCTTTGGCTGGGAGAGCAGGGTACATGTCCGTACACGCATGTGTGCCTGATGGGGCTTCGTTACACTGTGCTTATCATTTTCTCTTGCTTTGTTAAAAACATTGCTGTCATTCGGCTCAACGAAGAGAGCCAGTATGAAACCCCACAGCCGACGAAAAAGCCCGATGCGAGATGAAGAGATAGTCACCGAATCCCTTCCCATCATATCGTCGCCATCGGCATTGCCGCCATTGCCGCCACCGCGGCTCAAGAATGAAACAGCCAAGCACGGGCGTGCGAGCCATTACACCATTTCTAGAGATGAGACTTCTTTGGGGAGCTCAGGGAAAGATAGACTGCGTGCCATGCGAAAGGCAGAAAACAGGGAACTATACCAAGAGCTGTATCGAGCGCAATCAGCTTTACAAGACCAAAGAGAGGCATGGGAAAGGCTGATGAACGATAGAAAGGGACTTTCAGTGACAGAGGAAATCATGAGAATGAAAGACAAAAACCGGGTTTCAAGGACTCCTCTATATCAATCGCCCGACGATTCTAATCCCGTCTTCAATTTAGAGGAGGCAATGAAAGAACCTATGAACAATGCGGATGGCAATAGCGACAGGCGGCTTCATGCTGCTACCAATGCCCTAAGCCTCCAATACACAACACCAGAAAGCCAGTCGGACACTCTAGTCTTGGTTCTAGAGGACAAGATCGAGAAACTGAAAAGGGAAAATGAGAGACTGCTGCATCGCCGGGAGCGAGAAAATAAGCTTGACGTCAATTTCGAAGTGTTCCACCACATACCAAGAGAGGCGGGAACAGAGACCTATCTTGAAAAGCCATACTGGGCCAAAACAAGCAAGGGGATTCAACTCAAGGCAAACTCGCCTATACTGTACCCTGATGCGTACATACAGTACAAGTCTCTCGAATTTATTGTCGAGCGATATTACTCGAGAGATCGAGATGCGCCAGAACTTATGGAAGCACTGCGGCAAAACCAGATTCCGAATCCAATTCCCTCGGTAGAGCATATACGACCAGTCTCGAATGGTATGAGGGAGGCTATAAAACTCTTGAGAAAAAGCGAGGACCCAAGATACACGCCTGCTATTTTGCAAGGTGAAGTGATGGTAGCACCATACCATTGGTGGTATCATTACCGAGATCAACCAGATATCTTTGATAATCTACCACGACCCCAAGAAAAACTCGTTCGGAATCTAACCAATTGGATAGATGCCAACTATAGCGATCTTTACAGTCGAATTGATAGCCAATTTGAACGTGGAGTGGTCTCTTTAGCCTCTATTAGTTTCTTGATTCGGCCTGGAGATGTTCTGGTTCACATGGATCAAGGTAGCGCTGAGGCATATTTAGCATCTTCTTCGTTAGATATGATAAACAAAGACAAACCCCGCGATATTCCAGATGATCACCTCAACTCTTTTGACAGACTTGTCAAATCACATGTGGCTATGTCACCAACAAAGATAACTGAACAAGAATGGGGAGTGAAGGCATGGTCATACAGATACAACGGCAGTTTTTCCAAAGAGACGAAGAGGCTAAGTATAAAGCTTTCTGCCGATCCAGACGATACAGAAAATATTGAACACCCAATCCAAGAACTGAGTGTATTTCCACTTCGATTTGCCTCGCTTGAGCTGCGTGAATCTTTAGAGCAGCGCGGGAAAACATTTTGGAGCTGTCGATATAGGAAGTATGTTTCATAGCAAAAGAAACAAAAGAAGAACACGGAGTAAGTTTTGTTTCAAGTCAATGAGACATGAAATATAGTATTAACCTTACCACAGACAGGACAGCGTTACATGATAGACTATCCTACTTACCAAGAGCTGCATCCTCAATCTGTAAAAAAGTGGGCTTTTAAGCCTGACTCTAAAGTGGAACCGACATTCATAGAGCAGGAAGCCCCTCCTGAGCCTGATATATATCTGTTACCTCGGACAATACTTGGCTTCAATCTACGAAGAAAGAAATGGGGTGCGTACTCATAAATCAGCTGGACTCGTGCATGCTTTTCTGACTTTGCTGAAACCCTGCAACTAGAGGACCTAAACGTTGATCACATTCGAGAAGTGTCCTGGAATAAAGACGCCTTCAACCATCTTGTTGCGGACCCCGAAACCAAAGAATTAGTTCAGGCCCTCGTTACAAACAAAGTTGCCGCAGAAAAGGGAACTGATCTTATGCAAAACAAGGGCAATGGGCTCATCATGCTTCTCCATGGAGGGCCGGGGACAGGAAAGACATTTACAGCCGAGAGTGTGGCCGAAATGGCCGAGAAGCCTCTCTACCCTGTGACTTGCGGTGATATTGGCATCAAGCCAGAGGACGTGGAGAAATATCTGGAGTCAGTCTTTTACCTGGGCAGAATATGGGGGTGCGTGGTCCTCTTAGATGAGGCCGAGCTGTTTCTAGAGCAGCGTTCTCTCAACGACTTGGCACGCAATGCTCTCGTTTCGGTCTTTCTCCGTGCCTTGGAATACTACGATGGCATCCTCATTCTAACGTCGAACCGAGTCGGCACCTTTGACGAAGCCTTCAAGTCGCGCATACAGCTGGCGCTGCACATGAACCGCTGACTCAACCAAGGCGAGCACAAATCTGGCGCAACTTCTTCCGCCGTCTCAAGTCTCTTAAAGAGGACAACATTGACTATGACGACGTCGAAAACTACATTGGCGAGCTGTCCGAGCGAGAGATGAACGGGCGTCAGATACGCAATGTCATTACTACTGCCAGACAGTGGGCTCAGTTCCAGGGCAAGACAATGACGGCGAGTCATCTGAAGTATGCAATTAAAGTCACTAGCAAGTTTGATGCTTATATCAAAGACGTCAAGGAGGGACACTCTGATGATCAAATAGCAAGAGGAGATGGGGTCCGATAGAGATTCAAATGAGCAGTGGCAAGACAGGATTAGCATAAATTGAAGTAGACCGGGTTGGGTGAAATAATTTTGTCTTGGCCGACAAACATGATTAAGTGGAACAGAACTAACTAACATTAACTTGGAAGGTGAATTAGTAGATGTAGTAGATGTAGTAGATGTAGTAGATGTAGTAGATGTAGTAGATGTAGTAGATGTAGTAGATGTAGTAGATGTAGTAGATAATCTAAATTGATGCCATCTGTTTACTACTCTACTAGGCTGAATTTTCATATCACCCTAAACCGGGCCATAAGCCGTGATCTAGAGCTGTGCTTCCTGATCGAGCTCATGCCGCTTCAACAACTCCATCAATTTATCATTTATATGCTCAAGCCGCACACCAGCGCCCCAGCAGATGCCGCCGCTAGCTCTTGCTTGCTTCAGCCAAGCTATTGCCATATTGAAGTTGGCAACGCAGTCGTATATCTGGGCAATATCTTCCATTGTCCACAACGCACCCTCATCGTGGCTTTGGGGATTTGACATGGGCTCTTTGGTGCTGTCAAAGAGCCGCTGGGCCAAAATCTTGAAGCAGACGTCAAGGGCCAAGTCCCATTCACACTGGTCTATGTAAACATGCTCCAAGCGACGGGCCAACTGGAGCTCTTGCGGCGAATCTGGGCCCAGGGCTGTCTTAATACCTTGCATCGTGCCATTGCAGACTCTTAAGCTTCGTCATAATAATAGCCGCAACGGAGTAGTGTAATCAACCTCTCTTCGGCGTGCAGCCTCAGTTGGTTTGCTGGGTCAAGATTAGCGCGCAAGCGGTCGACGATGACTGTGAGCGCCCTCACTGAAACAGTCTGCGTTATCCATGCCTTCATATAGCCCGCAGACGATCACCACAATGGAATTCCGTTGAGGCAGGTTCTTGATGGCCAAGTTGTAGAGATACGCGAGCAACGTTTTCCGCATCTGTGGATTGACCGCTGTGCTGATGGGAGACAAGGTACTGAGATCTCACTCAGGACGACGGCAGATCTCTCGACCCATCGCCAGGATTGATTATCAAGGATTTCTGCGACGACCGCTAGGCTTTTAGAAAATCTACAATCCTGAAAAAGTAGATGCTGTCACTGCAATACCGTCCAAAAGCGCGGTTCCATCACCGTAGGCTCTGGCGGGAAGCTGCCCTTGGTATAGTATGTCTGGATGTTGAGGAGCACAGTTCTAAATGGGCACACGTGGCACCATCATAGAGCACCGGCTTCGGACCCAACAAAATTCTGCGCTCAATATGAGCTCTCATCTTTTCTTTATATTCTCGGATACGGGGCTCTCAGACCGATGACCCGTAGACGGAGTCAAGATACTAAGAGTCTACATCCGATGAAGTATCAGACGATGCCGCGCTCTCCATAGCATGGCTTCTATTGACTGGCCTAGGACCTTATCTCTAAGTTGATGGAAGAAGTGCCCAAAGCGCTCAAGGGCTGCGGATCTAGCAGTATCAGACAAAGGTCTTCTACATCTGCCGATAATGCAGCGAGCTGCACTTCTAAGCTGGTGAGCCCTTGAGTCGATACATTGCCGCTCACGATGGTGGCCTTGTCTTTTGTTAGCTGTAATTCTATACCTACCACCGAGAGCTCTTGCAGCAGGCTTGTAGAATTCGGAGTCCTCCTTCAGCTAGCCGGAGCAAAAGTACTCGAAATGTGACGCAGATTTTTCCATTCCTTCGAGCAGTTTGGAAAGCTTGTAAAGGACTTCGCGAAGATGTTTGGCCATGTGGACCGATTTGGCGAGGCCTTTGAAGGAGCATTCGGCGAGCTGGAGCCCCGATGCCACGTAACTGGGGGTTTCCAGCGCCCTGGCCATCATCATGCCGCTCCAAATGATGCAAGCTTTGAGAGGTAATGCGTTTTAGGACGTTGGCAACACTGTCGCATTAATACTCGAACATGCATCTCCGGCAACAAAGCCGCATTGCTTCGATGCAGGATCGAATGGCGGCTGGGCCTCGAAGGACTGGAGCATACTCCTGTTGAATGACGCAGTGTCGATTAAAGCAACTAACAATGATGAGTCGAATCAGCGACTTAGTCGAAAGAAATGGTATTATAAATAAAAAATCTGATGCGGTATCTATGCCGTTGTTAAACAATCTCGTACTTCAGTCCAATCAATCCCAACATTATTTCCAAATGTGTATATGGCACCAATTTACCTCCTAAATGCCCTCTATAAATCCAATACTCGTGAAAATAATCTACTGCTTACCCCCCTTTGCATTGATAACACTAATCATCTCCTCGCCCTTTGGCGCCGCCGTCAAGTTCTCGTATCCGTCTTCGGTAACGAGAATGTCGTCTTCGATGCGAACACCTCCAACGCTGTAGTAGCCTTCGAGGACGTCCTTGTCGATGAACTTTGCGTGATCTGGGTTGCTGAGGTAGTAACCCTCAATGTACTCACGGCAGAAGTAGCTAGTTGCAAATGTCAGTATTCTACATTGGAAGAAAAAGGACGATAGAAACTCACATGCCAGGCTCAACAGTAACAATCATGTTTGGCTTCAACACCTGCCTCTCCCTGCTCGACTTCAGGCGCGAAGGCACCAGCTCCTCATCATACATCCTCATAGTTTTCAGCATATCTGCAGAAATCATGTCTCGCTTTCCACCGTCCAGGCCTAGATTTACGAGAATCATCAGTGGCAAGTTGCCTGGGACATCATGCACCTCCAGGCCGACGTGGTGGCCCAGCCCGTGTGGGAAGAATGCAGTGATGGTGCCGGCCTTGGCAATCTCCATCAGGTCGCCCTTGAGGATGCCGAGCTTGTGGAGGCCCTTGAGGCCAACCGCAGCAGCGTGGAGATGCAGCTGGTAGAACTTGATGCCGGGCTTGACGGCGGCGATGCATTCCTCCTGCATCTGCTGGACAATCTTATACACAGCTGAGCCGTTTGTTGAGAATTGACCCTTGATAGGCAGAGTGCGAGTAATGTCGCTAGCATAGCAATTCCATTCGCATCCCGCATCAAGGATGACAAGCTCCTTGCCCTCCAGGGGCTGGTCATTATCCTCATAGTGCAGCGTCGAGGCGTTCACGCCCGAGCCCGCAATCACGGGATAGGCCTGAGAGCGAGCTCCTCGCGCAGTGGTGACGGCCTGGAAGATGGCCTCAATCTCGCGCTCATTGGAGAGACGCAGAAGCATTTCAGCAACCTTGCGATGGCCCGCGCTGGAAACGTCGTTGGCGCGGCGAATCATGGCAATCTCATATTCATCTTTGATGCATCGCGCATTGTTCATGGCAGGCTGAAGCTTCCAGTCGTTAACCTTGAATTTTAGGTCTTTAGCCTTCGACGGCGTCTGATCTGGATGCAAGACAAACAGCTGGGTTGATGATTTGAAGCGCGACTCCAAGAACTTGTCCAGCTGCGTTGAGTAGCGCACATCGTCAACGTCGTAAAGCTGCTTCGCCTTGGCCGCATCGGGCGTTGAGCCGAACCACAGCACTTGACGGGGCTCGACGTAAGGAATCCAGAGGGTGAGGGTGTCTGCACGGATCTCATATGTGACGAAGCAATCGTGGAAGTTTGCGCCGGTGAGATAGAAGAAGCTGTGTTTGTCTCGTTAGCAGTGAGATGACACAGATGCCCAGGCTATCAGACGTACTATCTGCGCTGTCTCAACGGCGGCGGCTGATCCGAGTCTTCGTAATTCACAGTCGCCTGACCCGGCAGATAAATGATGCCGTCGCTAATGTCCAGCTCCTTGGCGACTTTGCGCGCATGCTCCTTGGCTGGCGGTGACGAGAGGCATTAGTCATATGCGCCAATCTTGATCAATTCACGCTCTCTCAACTGTCTGTCGCTTACCGGGATATTTCTTGGTCTTCCAAGTCTCAAAGTCATCTCTTCTGGCGATTGCGCTGTTCATCGCAAATCAGTCACTCAGTCATTTAGGAGAGAGCCGGATCGGGTAGCAGCGCGCTTACACTGCATCAAACTCATCATCGAGGATGAAGTTGAAATCGAGGTCTTCCATCGTGACGGATGCTTATATAAGATATCAAATGTCTTGGCTGCAGAGTGCGATAACTTTACTATGCCCTTGTGCTCTGCGTCCTTGGTAAGGCACAAATGATGGCGATGCGAGTGATGATGCTGATTATAGATGAGACCAAGTCCACAGCACGTGAGTGACATGCTAAGTAAAGCTGTACCTGATCCCTATCGCCCTATCGCCCGCTATCCTTAATGGCCAAATGGCTACCCCAGGAAAAGGGAGCACCAGCATCTTTTCGGCTTAGCGTCCAAGCGCCCATCCGGTGTCAGGGGCCGAACCGCGTCCAGCTTCACGCTTGGATTAGGCCAGAGTCTGACGGGAAAAGACCAGTTCAGCTGGAGCTGAAACCTAAACAAGATGAGATTACTCGTCTAGATCCATCCAGCTGAGATACAGTCCCGGATTCCGTCATGTACATATGTATATGCATCTTTTTCCAGCTTGCATGTATACTTTGGCACTTGGCCGCTGCATCTGCTTACTGCAGCAAGGCAAATTTACATAACTACTTTCTTAGCAAATTCAAGTTCATCAAAGAGTGAGATTTGTATCTCACCCTCATTCACATGGTGGTACTTTGTTGCACCGCACCTAGTAGATCAAAATCAACAAACTACCACAATACCCACTATCTACAATCAACTACTATGGCAAAAACTTCATATAAGAAGAAAAACCCACAAAATTCTTCATACGTCCTTCCTTGTTCAAATACACACTGCCAGCCTATCATGACGGATATCCACGTTTACTCGGAACACTACCGCTTCATCCCCGCCTTGCGCAAAATACAGCCAGGTCTATACACGTATAAACAACAACACAGCAAAGTAGACAGCATCTCACAAACAAGAAATCCCACTACGTCTACATCTACATCTAAAAACTCAAAACTCAAGCTTCAACGACATTAAACATCATGCTGTACATAACACCAATGCACACACTCACCATACTCCGACAAGAAAAAAAGAGAAGAGAAAACCCCCGCCCAAAAAGCCCATACTGTAGATATCCAGTTCTCCGAAATCCCGACCCTCTTTACCTCGCACTGTCCTCGGTGCCGAGCCGGCCACCTCCCCAAACAAGAAACCCGAACCGAACGTCGCAGGCCAAAAAAGTCGGACATTCAGTCGGCCGTTTCGCCGGTCCAACATGCCTTTCTGCGTTAAGAGCACACGTAAGCACCTCGACAATATCCCGGTGCGGAGCGATTTGACACTGATAGAAGCAAAACAAGACAACCGGAACAGCATTGAAGACAGCCAGCAGCGTAAAAGGTTGGAACTAATGAAAGCCATTCTGTCAATACGATGTTTATCTTCTAAAATGACGATGATGAAGAGAAAGAACACGAAATGTGGTGGCAAATACTTATATTTTTTTTTCTTTTGAATTTTCTTGTATTGCTACCTATGTACATGGATGTTGGCGTGTAGCCCGGACACACCACTCCTCCACATCTGACCAATGTACATTTCTCGATCAAAACAGATCTCTACCTTCCCTTTTATCTACACACATACACTGTGATATGCTCGTATGAGTTTGTTTTGCGTTTTCATTTCGAGCCTGCTGCCAACCATGAGAGTGAAAAGGAAAAGGTGAATGGGATAATGATGACTGTGAAACTGCTGAAACTGAAATAATAATATGAGGCCCAATGAATTCTAAAACACCCGCCATAATGTTCGAGGTATAAAAGATGTTGATAATCGTAACATGCAAGTCTCGTTGTGACATCCACCCGCCCACATTGTCCAAGGATTGGGTTAACAAACACATAGGAAAAAAAGGGGGGGGAAAAGTAGAAATAGAGAAAAGTGAAAAATGAATAGACGCCCCTCCCTCCCCTCCCGGCAGACCGCAAGGCTTTCCCGTCTTATATCGTCAAAAAAATGGGTATCATGTGGCAGTCGTTCGTTCACATTCCCTGAAATCCACCCCTGCCAGAACCAAAGAAACTCCCCCAGTCGGGTTGCATGCCGTGATCCGTAAACATCTGCTCTATCTGCCGCTCCTGATGCCTTTCGCCTCGTATCGGTCGTCGCAGAGATAGCCCGCCAGGTCGACGCGGCTGCTGCTGTGGAATCTGCTGTTGTTGTGCCTGCTGGTGCATCCCCATCATGACGTTGGGGTCGTACATGTTTCCTGGCATGTTCATGCCCATTGCATTGTGCTGCTGCGGTTGCTGCTGCTGCTGCTGCTGTGGCATCATATACGGTGGAGGTTGGCCCATAAACTGATCTCCCATGTCCTCCATTGATGCAGGGAAGAAGAAGGCCGTATCCGGAGGTGGATGGCCCATCGCCATGGAGGTGTCAGTCTTCCCTGAAAATCCTAATTCGATCATCGGCTGGTTGGGATAGGCAAAGGGGTCATCCGAGGGAAACATCAAAGAGTCAATCTTATGCACAGGGTTGCTCTGCATGCTCTGCCCGCTGAGATGATGTGGCTGGAATGGGTGTCGGTGTGTGCTCTCAGCGGTACTCGTCGAATCGGGCGTAGCTCGTGACGATAGGTCCATCGGCATCATATCATTTAAGCTGCTGGTAAACGAAGGCTCCGGATATCCATGCTCCAATGACTGCGCCATGCTGCTGTCCATCGAGCCCCTAGAATGCGAACCTCCGTATAATGACATGCCACCACTCCTGTTTCGCATCATCTCGTCCGGTCTATGTAAAGACATACCAACAGGGATGGCGCTGTTATTCGGTATTTTAACCCCAGGCGCCGTCCTCTTCTTTGTTGTGGATGATGGTCGTGAATGGGTTGGATCATTAGCCCGCTCTGGTAATTGATCAAACAGGACCTGCATAAGCGTGTCAATAAGCATCTCTTTTGAGGTAATAATTAGAGGGGAATCAAGCTGCCTTACCTTGAGAGTGCCCGTGACTCTCTCCGCAGAAAGACTCTTGTCAGCCAAGTCTGCAATCATCTTTCTTCCAGCTCGTGCATCGGCCAACACCTCTTGCGACCCAGGCTTATCCGGATTCTCAAGAGCGTAAAACACCAGCGAGAGGACGGAAAAGAACTCAGTGTAGAGCATGAACCAGTACGGACCGCTAAGCACGCGCTGTTTCCGAATCTCAAGGCCAATGTGAACAATGTTGCGGGACACGCTGATGGCTGCTGCCGCACAGGCATAAGAGAGCTCATCAACCCTGCTACCTTGGCTCAGTCGGGGAGAGACATAATGCAGAAAAGGTCGGTACAGAACGAGTTGCACATGAGCATATGCAAAACGCAGCAGATGTCGGACACTAGTTAGGTATTCCATTAGCCTACTTGTTGGCATATTTTCCATGGCTCGACAGTCTCATGGCATTGGTATAGTAACTTACCGAACCACTTCGATTGGCCCATCCGGACTAGGTCGCCACGCCTGTGGAAGTCTCTCAAACCAGTTGTGCAGGTCTGTCTCGATTTCTTTAATCTTACTGTAGCTGATGAGATACGTCGACGCAAGCTTGTCCCCTCTCATGACAGTGTGGCCAACACCCTTTGTCGGGTAGATGTTTTTTGTAATTTTGCCCAAAATTTCCATCAATCGGGTGTGAGCGTTGAATGCCTGGAAAAATGAAGGCGTTCCAGGCCCTGGCTGGATAACGCCACCGGCTGTGATGAACTCGTCGTCAACTTCCAGAGGATATAACTGGTCGACATCCTCGTTGCTGAGAAGCAGAGGGAATCCAAGCATGGTGGAAACGTAAATGTCCATTTGTCGGATGACATAGAAAACCCGTCGCCGAACTTGCTGTTCAATGCTTCCTAGCCGTTCATGTTGTAAGTGGCGGTGGAGACCTATTCGGAGAGAAGATCGAAGCGCGATTCCAATGAATGAGTAACAAGTGTTAAGTTTCGCGGTGGACTGGAGGAAAAGAATTATGAAAACAAGAGTTTGAATAGATATGAGACTCCGGCACTCGGTAACATCACGCAGCAGAGATCTTGATATCTTGTAGTACTTGACTCTATAGAAAGGCGGTTAGTAAACGACAGAAGAAGTGAAAAAGTCAGCCTGCCATTCTCTTCTTACCCTTCATCGATGGCCTGTCGATACGACATGCCGCCGGAGCTGGAGTCGTCTAAATTGCTGTACATGCAACCCAACGCTAAGACAGCATAAAACAGAGCAAGGAATTGGGTATCTTCCTGAGCAGAAGCATCATGTTGTCGCTCATAGATGTGGTCAAATTTTTCATAAAAACTGGGAACATGAACGATGCGGACAAGACATGTGGCGCAGCTTAGAGAGTAGTAACAGAGTTTTCGAGCAACGTCCTTGGGAGGAAGGTCAGGGACTGTGGATACGTTTGAAAAAGGTGAGTTGGCAGCAGGTGTGGGCATGTCGAAATTGACAAGGCCTGCGGTTCGATCGGATGGACGTGGCAGAAACGGCTCTCTGCCTACAGGGCCCAGCAAGCCGCGGAAGTTTTCCTTCATGCGCCGCAAGAAGACGGTACCGGAGGAGATGCCGTAGAAGTCCCAGCCGCCCTTTTCGTCGAGATCCAGCTGGCCGATGGAGTCGATCATGGACGTCAGCTGCGTGTCGTTGGGATCAGGCTCAGCGGGAGCATGATTGGCTCTTAGCTTGGCGGCCTCGGTGCGCGCTCGTTCTCGATTGTTGAACTCTTGCTGGATGGCAGGGTCAAGGTTTGGATCGGCCAGGTCAATATCCGGAACAAATTTTCGCAGCAGCGTCTCGGCGCGCTGAAGACGGCTTTCCAGGGCCTCGATATACTGTGGCGCGGGATTCCTCCTCCTGTTTGATGGCTTATCATATGTGCATTCTGTGAGACCAAAAGGTTACGAAGTCAGCCAGGATATCTCAGCAAGAGAGAGTGTGTGTGTGTGAGAGTTGGGGTTAAAGAGAACATGGCATATGTGTAATCAAGATATGGTCATTGAGACGGCAATATCTGACAACAAAGCCACTCCAGAAAGAAAGTTGATGAGCTTCTTGTCCGGCATACGCACCGTAGCTGTAGACGGAGCAGTGGGTGCAGGGCTGCTTGCCGTCACATTTGATCTTCTTGCGGCGACACTCGTCGCAAGCGCGGGTGACTCTTCGGCGTTTCTGGATGGGTTGCGATGGCGCGGTGTCGCCGTCGGCGGTCATCTTCTCGTCCTCAGGATCGGACTTGACGCTGTCGGCCGGCGACGGGGCATCGTGGATGGACCAGTCGCCGGCGGGCTGCGACTCGATGGTGGCAGCCTCGTCGTCGGACATGATGGCGGCGAGCTAGGTATATAGGCGTATGCGGTGGATAGGTATTTGTGACTATGGGTGTCCGTAGGTGCTGGTCAGGTCAGAATCGAGGGGCCGTTCTGCTCTGCTCTACTCGTCGAGACTCTATCGTCGTCTTTCAAGCTGCTCGGACAGGCGGCTTCTGGGCGGGGGGCGCTGGCTCAAGAGGCCTGGCCGCCTCGAGTGGTGTCTGGTTACGTGAGGCCAGGCGAGGGGCGGGCGCTGCAGGCTCGGCGTGTAGTGAAGGCGGAGAGGTCTGGTGTCTGGAGTTTTAGACAAAGAGACAGGACAGGACAGGACCCCGGGGACGCAAAGTCGGTGGCAGCGTACGTGCCAATTGCCCCGGCGTCTGCCAGTCTAGGCCATCAGATTCACCGCGCAGTCTCTCCCCGGTGCGGAGCGTGTTGGCGAGGGCTTTGGGTGGGAGCGACGTCGACGAAGATGGCGCGCAGGACCAGGAACAAGGACAAGAGGGAAGAAATAGAGAGTCGACGAGCTGGAAGGGAGAGGCCGTCCGCTGTCGACGTCGGACGGGGAGGCCCCATACTGTGCTGTACATGTACCGGCGCTGCAAGTACAGGCCGCGAGAGGGCGCTGTGGCTGGCTGGGGTTGGCGCGCCGGCCGCTAAAGCCACCTGTGCTACAGTGACAGGCCGCTGAAGACACTGGGGCTGCTGCAACGCCTGCAGAGCGCTGAGTGGAGCGGCACCAGACTTGAAGCAGTCCAAGCTGGCTGCATTGCGGCACGCCCGCCGAGAGCCGCTGGAAGAGCCAGCGGACGCTATGCGCGACGGTTTCAAGCGAGCAGCAGTGCGCTCGGGGATAATTCACACGGTGTCTCGCTCAAGGCTAAACGGCCTGAAGGGGGAAAAAAAAAGACGAGAAAAAGCAGCAGCAAACATTGGGCCAAATGTGGGGTGTTGCGATTGAGGGCTGCCAAAGCGCTGCTGCGACTGGAGACTGGAGTACGAGGTGCGAGGCGCATTGAGGGAAGCACACGGAGCACGGCACGCAGTACGAGATGCTGCTGCGATGGATTGCGTACGTCCAACCCACTCCCACCGGCGGGCTGGGTAATCAATCAATCACTCAATAGGGGAGGCCAGTTGGCGGTGTTGATGGGATGAGCGCTTATACGGAGCTCCCAAATCCATCCATACATGTGTGAGCCATGAGCCAACCATGCGTCCTGCTGCTGCTAGTGGCGCGTGGCTGGTCCCAAGGCTTATGCAGATTCAGTCGTCTGTATGCCGATTATCGTATTACTAGTAGTATCAACAGCGGCATTCTTAGCTCTACTGTACGAGTTCAGTTACCTGAACGCGACGAATCCTGTCTCTTTGCGCTATAAAAGGTCGCGCTTGGTTGAAAAAGGCGTGCAAAGCGAACCTGAGGTGCAAGTTCAGAACTTATAGCGCCTGCTAGCACCCGCGCTCCGATATAGACCTGCAGCTGCGGGTACAGGCACCTGACTTCGATCTTCATCATCAACTTCCACTGCATCCAGGTTCCAGATGCGATACCGACTATCCACAGCGGCATCTCTATCGGGCCAGCGACCCATCATGTAGGGAGCTTGATGCTTTCCTCGGTTGCACCGTGGTATTGTCGGGTGCCTGTACTTGGCGATGGCACGCCGATTGCATCTGCGACCGTCCATCCCGTCCAGTAGCACAATTGAACATGCGGCGTCTCCACCGCCGGAAGAACGCCCAGACGGCCAGATGGGTACCGGTACGGAGCGCATACACGACGACAAAACACTCAGGAGGGCCAGATTTCATGCAATCGCCAAATCTTGGGCTCAGGAATGCAGCGCCAGACGGCCATGAATCAGGAGCCAGACAAGAAACGCACAGACGAGACATCATACGCTGGCAGCGTTGAATAATTCAAGAGCGTTGACGCTGCTTTGGCGGCCCGTCAAGGGCCACTCGGCAATCACAGTAGCTCCCCGACGCCTAAGCAGGATGAACGCATTCTCGTACGACTCGCGCTCTTGGTCCTGTGCGAGCATCCAAAGCAGCAGCAGCACCAAGCAATCGAATATGGCTGCAATGCCGGTTCAAGTTTCTCCCTAGTGGCTTACGAGGCTTCAGCAGGCGCTTCAGCTACTGCGCTGGCGTCGGGGGCTAAAAAGTTGCACCCACTGTAAATTAGGGCCGCATGGCGCGCACCGCTCCACTGGCCACGGTGGACGGCGCCAGAACTACTTCCGCGTGATAAACTGCAACCCGACGTCAAGGGCTTTTCTCTTCTGCTCGTGGAATGGGATGGGCGAGCTCGGGCGACGTCTGTGTCGCTGGAATTGGTCTCTGGCCCTGAGGCTGTGCCCGTCTAGCCCTCTCCACTCCCACATGGCATCCATGGGGGCGTCCGGCGCCTCAACTGCCATTCGGGCGGGCATGTGCATCGAAATGAAAGCTGGAGAGCTTGGCTGAAAAGCTTGGCCTTTGAGGCAAGACAATTTGGCAGAATCAAAAAGCTTGGTATCGACGACGGAGGATACAATCTAGATGCCAAGTCTATGACACCGACAAGAGCTTGGATGAATGGATGGATGTATACCTGCAGATAGGGTGCCATTTGCCAGATTCCAACGTCTAGCGGCCGAGCTGCAGATCAGACGGCTCACGAATTCTACAGCGATGAAATTGCGATTGCAGACTGCCTTGTAAATTACATGCCTACATGTAGGGAAATACTTCGTGCAGCTTTGTCTTCAATTACCATGTACTGTATCACATATCCATAGCATGCAGGGCAGATGGATAAAGAGGAGGTCTGTCTCAGCTGCTTAGGCACGTTGGAATCACTCAAAGGTATTGAAAGCTTTCAATCTAATAGCATCCATCATTTGCGGAACTGAAGACACAAGATGCAAGATCTAAAAGGCAACTTGCACATCATTGATCGCGCAATCAGGAAACGTATCTCCCATCTTCACCAATCATTGGCGCCTGTCGCAATTATGACTTTGAGATAACCACCACATCTGCCTGCACTATTGGACGACCCTCAAGTACGCGCATCTTGTTCTATAGCAGGGCTCAAGCGATCATTGGAAGTGCCGCCGACCACCCAGTGCGAGGAGGATACAAGACGCAGCCCATATCACTATGAGTCGGATTTAGCGTCGACAACTGCATCTATCTAGACTCTGTCGTTTCGAACCATCCCCGACTTTATCGGCGGCGCATCGTCATCCCAACAAATAATCCGAAGCTTGAATCTAAACATACATTGGGGCAGTTTTGTCTCCGAACAACAGCTCTACGTCAAGACTTTAGCCACCTACCTCCATGTTCTTATACCGAGCCTCCATCCACAACAACCAACAGTCCCACCGTCTCGCCAGGCCATGTCCGTCTTATTCCCACATTTCTAGCGTTTTGCAGCTTTAGGACCGCGGGATAAGGAAAATGTTACGGCGAGGGCCTCCGCGTAATGCGGCTGTTGCGGCCACACGGAGTACAAGCGCCGCGGGTACTTGGACCTTCATCCAGCGCTAACTCTACGATATCCAGGCACTTTCTTATTCCACGGCGCTGGCCTCCAAAAGGTCCTTGCAATCTGCAGGCAACGATACGCAGGGAGCTGGCACCGCGCGCATCTGATTGGCTGGCAGACACATATTTCGGTGTGTCGACGGATCCTCTCCGGCCCTTGGACAGCGCCGCCCAGCGATAGGGCCTTGGATCCTGCAAAACCTTCTTTTCCTAATTCTCCTATCGCCCGCGCGTGGAATAGAATTTAGACGTGAGCGCACAGTTTGGCGATCGTGGGGACGAGCTCGAGATAACCTTGATTTAAAGTGCAGGACACGTTCCGAGTCGGCGGCATGTGCCTGCGCGACTCGGTCAGTTAGACACTGTACATTCAATTATATGCACGGACTCCTTCATGCTTGCTGCGTAAACGACTGGAGTCGTGCCATGCTGCATATACGCTCGGTGATTATCAGCACGACAAAATAATGACCGAACTGCAAATCCATATGCAATTCGTGCTTTTCTTGTTTTTTTCTTCGCTCTTCCATTTTAGTTCCATTTCTTCTCTATTCTTCGTTATGGTTGCATTTCTCCCATCGGACCCTCTTCCCGGAGTCTTCGGTCTTCTTGGCGCCTGTCACAGTCCAAGCCCGACTTTAAAGCCACAGCGGCATTACATCACCGTGCCTATGCCAAGCTTTTGCGCCTCCTAAATGAGATTGCCGACAATCGGGCCAGCCAGGATAACCCACAAGGCTGGGACTTGGCCTCGACCTGACTCTCACACACCATTGCGAAAGTTACATGTCAAGCTATATTCCTGCTACTGAGTAAGAGCAGAATCAGCACAGTATCCCTCACATTGGTACAAAAAGGAAAAAAAAAAAGAAAAAACAGGTAGAGGGACTTTTGCACTGGCCGATTGAAATTAACTGCACTCGGCTAGCACGCTTCTACTTGCTCGGCAAAGTCAGATATTACTCAAAGGCAAGGTTTTCATGAATTGTGTCCCGAATTAACCGAGCAGGCAACGACCCAACTAACCACTGTCCCGATATGATTAATTTTAAGACAAATTTTAAGACAGATTACTAGCTTTATTTATTCATGTATGAATCGCATGTCCCCCTTCGACAGTGTCAACAACACTTCTAATGACATGTAATTTTTTGACACGGGAGTATTATGAATCAGTCACTTACAGACATCAACACCCGACGCCGCCAACCGATTTCAACTACTCACACAGCACGGTTGGTCATGCAGCGAGCAAGCAAGCAAGCAAGCTTCTCCTGAATTTAGCCAACAGAGTCAATCAAGCAAGTCTCGCTCTTCGGTTAAAAGATTACGATACATCAAATTCCGAGACTTCTCCGTGCTGGGACAACGTCAAGACTTGATGCAATTTTGAAGGCAATAGACTTCAATCTACCCAACGCCGTGTTCAAGGCCACAGTAATTCCTCTGCAGACTGTCGATGTTCGTCCCCTGACCAGCTACACATTTGTGTATGAGCCGGTCATCGATTTCCACATCAAGAACCTGATGGCGAGGCCGGTTTGCACTGCCACCCGCGTAATATACTCCTGTTAGGTGGATCAATTGCAGCTCTGGAATTGGCCTGGGCCTACTGTCTGCCGACCCCGTACTGTAGTCTGGATGATAACATATCCAGCAGCAGAACCAAGCTGAACAGCTCACCACTCATCCCCTGCCGCTCAGGCGGATCACCGCCAGCTACCCTAGTCTCTTATTTGCAAGCAGCTAGAAGCAGTAGCCGGATCCCCCTTGCGCAAGTGAGGTCTAAGCCACCATCGTGTATCGGAAGACGGCAAACTAGTGGGTTGAGCTGGTTCATCCGCCGTCTCCCAAGGGCAAAGGGGGCCATGGCTAGTACGGGAACAGTTTGGCGATTACGTGTATGCTTCGTAAATTGTTAGTTGCTTATTCTGATCATCTCTCGCACTGTATTTTTGAGCCGTACTTCTTGAGTTTTTCTATGAATCTCAGGGGGTTAGTAACACAGGCATTAGCCAGAACTTGGGCCTAATAACATGCAATCGACAGTACGCGGATCTGGCATAGCTCATAGGCCGAGCTAGAGTCGCAGCGAGACACGCGCTAAAGCATATGAGTTGTCTTCCAAATCGTCCATATATTCCAATTCCTCTGTAATATCATCAAGGAAATAGGATGGAGTGCAGAAGACGTCTTGCTTGCTCTGAAAATGTTTGAAAGTCCGGGCCGCTTTACAGAGATGAGGCGAGCAGCAGTCGGCTTAGTGATGCGTGTACGTATACTTCAAGCTCCACTTTACTAAGACGCGCGCTTCCGTACTTGTACCTCTGTACTATCGAGAGCTTCGTCAACCCCGCCAAACCAAACTTCCAGCTATGCGCTCCATCACTCACTGAACGGCCCCTCCACCATCTGGAAGGCTGAGAAGCACGTGCAGCGAGCTTCTTGTTTCTCTTCAGCCTTGCCAAGCAGCAACAGCATCGCCTAATCCAAAAGCTACCTCACGCTGCGTCCCCATGGCTGAATCAACGACGTCGCAGCCGGGCTCGGAAGCTCAGGCGTACACCACTCCAGACGTTATCGTCACTGGTAACGATGACCCTTCTGCCCCACATGCGTCCATCACAAGTAGCTGATCTTGGTTCTCGGTGACAGACGTGCCCAAGCTTGATATTGATCTCTACATTCAAAATTATGTCGGTACGGCGCTCCCAAAGCATTTCTGCTACTATGCTCGCCCTATAACTGCATCCACGAGGTTCTAACGCTCTCCACCATCGTCCTAGGCCGAACACGATTCGAGCGCCTGATGCTTATTGGCAAGTGCTGTGTGCCACTGCGAGTCGAAGCACTCAAGGCTGCCGTTGCCGAAGCAAAGAGCGGTTCAGACATCGTACGCTACAATGATGCGTGCGCCCTGCTCAGTGCAGCTGCCCCGGACGATCCTGATGCGCGGATGGATGGAGCGTGGATCGAGAACACCGACATTGCCAACAGAGCCGAAACTACTCGCTTGGAGACGGAACTTAAAGGGTACAGGAACAATCTCATCAAGGAGAGTATTCGGGTAGGAATCATCATTTCCCTCGGCTTGTCTACGGTGCCACGATATCTAACTTGCTCTTTTCGGTCTAGATGGGCAACGAAGATCTGGGAAAGCATTTCGAAAGTATAGGCAAGCTTGCTGAAGCTACCGAAGCATACAGCAAAATGCGCCATGATGTCAGCACCACCAAACACATTTTCGATTGCGGCACGCACTTGGCCAGCGTCGCTTTTCAGCGCCATGACTGGGCCAGCGTGCTGAGCAATGTTGGCAAGATATCCAATATCCAAAGCGGCGACGACGAACAGGAACAGCAGGCCTACACCAAGGTGGCATCAGGTGTTGCCTTGCTGGGAATGGGCAATTTCCACGATGCGGCTATGACCCTCATCCATACTAACCCGAATGTGTCCCCAGCCGAATACAGCACAGTCGCAAGCCCCAACGACGTCGCCATCTATGGAGGGCTTTTGTCGCTGGCAACCATGGACAGGACAGCTTTGCAGTCTCGTATACTAGATAATCAATCCTTCAGGACATTCCTAGAGCACGAGCCGCACATCCGAAAGGCGATTAGTTTGTTTGTTAACGGCAGATACTCGACTTGTCTCTCCATTCTGGAGTCTACGCGGGCGGACTACCTACTCGACATTTACCTACAACCACACATTTCCGCAATTTACTCTTTGATCCGCGAAAAGTGTATTGTCCAATACTTTATACCTTTCTCGTGTGTCACGCTAGACAGCTTGGACGCTGCATTTGGAAAGCCCGGCCAATCCGTTGAGCCAGAGCTCATCAGGATGATTCGAGACGGGTCGTTAAGAGCCAGAATAGATGCCAGAAACAAGGTATATTCCCTCCCGATTCTGCTGTTTTCAGCTTTGAATGCATGTTTACTTATACATCGTCTAGCTTCTAGTAGCGGTATCCCCTGATCCACGACTAGTGGTACAAACAAATGCACTCCATGTGGCAAGGAAATACGAATTGGAAGCCAAAGAGCGGCTACGGCGCATGAATATTATCGGTGCAGGCCTTGAAGTCATTGGCGTTAAGAAGCCACAGACTGGCGGTGTAGGAGGCGCTGAGCCCGAAGAGGCCTGGTTCGAAGAGAATCGCGTGGCCAGCCTTCTCGCTGAGCAAGCTCAGGATGCTTAGGAGTATCCTGAATTAGAGCAGGTTCAGCCTGAGGAAGGGCAGGCTAGGTCTGAGGAAATTCCAGAACTACTCAGAATGCTCTACTACTAAGCGTTTGTGGGAATACAGACTAAGCGTATGAGAGGGGAGCCGCACACTGGTTCGACTGCTATTCCGTGATGAACGAGTCCTTGGTATCCTTAATCAGCCGCCGATGGCGAAAGAGAGGAAAGCTCTTTTCCTATCCAAAGGGAGAAGAAGGGGGGCAGCTACGGTTATGACGGCAACCGCCTTGTGAGACTTGAACGTTTTACACGCATGATGTGCATTAGAGAGGGAGTCGCAAGGAAAATTGGTCTTTTTTTTTTTTTATCTGCCACAGCCCCCAAATGTTAGAGGCATTTTATCTTTTCCTTTTACCTACTTGCAAACGATTTTAGGACGCATAGTCATGTCCAACTCTCCATGATAGACTATAATATCAAGCAGTCCATATGATATTGATAAGTCATGTTTTCGCTTAGAGACGCCTCGTACTATATGCATTCTTGTTTGTCTATATTGTTTCATTGAGACGGGTATCATATCCTATTACACTTACACCAACACCATTCCAGCATAGTATAGCCACGCCTGAGCCATTTCACCATGTCCTTCCATTCCCAACCCCCTTACTTCAGTCCATCAACCTCAAAATTCACCCCATCAACTGCCTCAAATCCTCCGGCGGCCACCGCACCTGCGCAAAGGTAAGACAGCGCTTAATGCTCTGCAGGTACTTTCGCGTCACCTCGTCGCCCATGACGTGGCCCTTTTCGCCATCGTGCAGCTTCTCGCGCGCACTTCGCTCGTGGATACCCACCATTGTAACTCCAATGGGCCAGGCTGCCTTTCCGATGCTGAGGCGGAGATAGCCGTCGTTGGCGTCGACGTAGCGGCGCTCCTGGAGGGCTTGGACGATTTCGATGATGGGCTGGAGGAGGGAGTCGTCAAGGTCGCCGGATTCGAACTTCCGGAAGAGCTGTTTGATAAGTTCGGTTAGCATGGTGCTGCAGTGAGAATGAATTGTAGGGGAAAAGAAAAGCTACGCACTGGCTTCATGTTTTCGCGTGTTTGGACCATGGCGCTATAGGCCATTTTGCTGTTGCTCGTCTCTCGCCTCTCTTCCTCCATTGCCTTTTCGTATGCCGTGAGCACCATGGTAAAGTAGCTGGCCAGCTGCCTGTACAGCCACTGGCGGCCCTCCTTGTCCTTTGGCAGCGTGCCATCGACCTTCATGTCCTTCTCCTCCACCAGCTGCAGCGTCGTTGGTATAGGCCCCTTTGTCAGCACCGTAGTGAGCTTCTTATGCCGTCTCAGCCGTGCCGCATGTGATTCCCCAAATAATATCGCCGGGTGTCCCAGCGCTCTCAGCTTCTCAATCAGCTCGTCATCCGGAATATCGTCTGCCGCGTCGCCGTTCTTCTCGTCACCGTTTTCATCGCCCTTGACGAGCTCCGGTAGGCCGAGCCTCTTCCTCCTAGCCTGCTCTTCTTCGAATTCCTTCTCTTGTTGTCTCTTGCGCGATTCTTCGGCGAGCTTGCGGCGCTTGTCCTCGCGAAGAGCGTTTTCTTCGGCGACTTCCTCCTCGCGCTTGCGCTTCGCTTCGGCCTTGGAAGCGCGTTCAGCTTCGAGGGCCTTTTGCTCGGCTAGGTAGGTGGCTCTGCGTTCGGCTTCTATTTCGGAGCGCTTGAGGTATTTCTTCTCGTCGGAGGCGGAGGATTTGGAGGATTTGGACTTGGATAGCTCTTTGTTCATGAGAGCCGCGAAGTCCATTGCGATGGTGTTGCGCTGAGAAGCGTCTTGAGGGAGAGGTAAGATTCTGCGTCCAGGCGGTAATACGTGCTCCTAGTATTTGACTTTGTAGGATTGAAGCAGAAAGACAAGATTAATCCGCAATGCGATTCTTTGATGAAATATTTGATAGTTTGTCGTGAAGTCTATTTGATCAAGAGTTGGGTGAGCATGAAGTTACAGGTACGCTATCGATTGCGGATGATTTCCGGATAATACAAGCATCAAGCGACAGCATCAGCACTCATCCACCAATCCCAGCAACTCACAACTTATACGCCGAAGGTCATATATAGCATTGTAAAGTAACGAGCTATCTGACGAATTGGAATTTTGACACTCTCAATTCAGCTTGCACTACAATGTCCGCTACAAAAGGGGATGATGATCACGACGCATCTCCATTCTTAGTCCGTCTGTTCCATAAGACCGGCAGCTTTCCCAGGTACGTGACTGCAGCTCATGATAGCATCTTAATACGTGGAATAGCATTACTAAACATCATATCCAGGCCAGAGGAATTTGCATCATCTTCACTACCGCCATATGTGTCCATCTACACTTGGTCAACCTGCACTCTCAATGAGCTGGCCCTTGAGCTGGCAGCGGCAAAACCTAATGCGTTGCCAAATCCAGCCATCGGCACAAGACTCTCATTTCAACTTGTCTGCCCAGACTTACGCGGCGCAAGTGCTACTAGTACTACGCAGCCCAAGTTTGCCGTTAAAGAGCTAGGGAGCATCGTCATTGGCGAGGGCTATCCCGGCGCGGAGGACCCTGAGGATGCTGGCCCTGATACCCTGATGAGGGACGACTTTGGGAGAGACAAGACGTTGGCTGACTGGAGATTTGTTGTTGGAGACTATATTTCATGCGCGGTACTTCCTCCGCGGGGAGATGGCGCTGTGGTACCGCCAGGGACTGCTAGAAGAGGGTCGATATCTGGCGGGCGAGATGGGCGCAGCGGTGGATTCAGAGGTGGGTTTCATGGTCGAGAGGGCAATTTTGGCCGCAACAATGGTCGTCCAAACCGGCCAGGTTGGAGAGATAACAGGCTTCCGTCAGGCGAATGGAGAAGAGGAGAACAGCTACCAGATGGGCCGCCTGGAGGGCCAAGGGGCAGGGGCCGCTGGTAGGCTAGATGGGATGTTTTCTCAGTGGTTGAGATTGCGCAAAGGATATGATATACCCCAAGTAATTTAGCGTTTGAATTGAGGCAAAGGAAAGTCTCCTTTGCTATACTGAATAAATTAAAACTCCAGTTTCATGCCTTCTACGGTAAAGTAGAGCGTGCAAGTTAAGCAATCTCCTCCTCCCCCTTCATCAATTGAACACATCGCAAACAGATCGTCCGCAATTCTCGTAACAAACTTCATTTTGAAGCTAGGATTATTGAATCTTCTGCGATTATTCGGCCAGAAAGAGGCTCTCTATCTCGTATCGAACCTTTTAAAATGTACATAAATCTCTCCACCCAACCAAAATCGTCCTTTATTTCTCGTAGCAGGTGTCGCCCTTTCGCTTCGCTCGGAGATCCCAAAGGCCCTATTCATCATCAGTCAGCAACTCATCATCCCTCACCTCCTCCCCTCCACATTGCCCGATTTCCACTCACGTCTGTCTTGTATGCGACCCAGCCGAAGATGGCGGGGACAACGGCCATGTAAATGAAGCTGATTCTAGCTGTTCTGCCCGTGAAGCGGAAGTAGCGGTGGCGAGCCTTGTTCATCGCTGTGCAGCGAGTTAGAAAGGGGAACGGTGCGGCGAAAGAGCAATTGGATTCGATGGACATGTTACGCACCCTCCAGCTTCAGAAGCGCCGGGTCCGGCTTGACGTCTGCGATTTCGCGGTTAGTTCGATCATATGCAATTCTGCTTGAAGAAACGTACTGAGATGCGCCATTTTGCTGATTTGTGGCGGCGACTGGCTTGGTCTTCTTGAAATTGAAGTGGTATCGCGATGGGTTGGCCTGGTGTTGCTGTCGGCAGAAGATGATTGTTCGTGATTATGTAATTCTGTTGGAGCAGGTTTGATTGGCTCTTTGAGGTTGATGCCCCATTGATCAGGTACCCTGTAGCAGAGCTAAGAGAGAGCACATCGTAGAATATCAGCGATCATAGAAGTAAACCAAAGGGAAACATTGCAGAATCTTATTGAAAGGGTTATTATTGTTTCAAACAACGAGCCAATTTCCTTTTTCTTGCAAATTACAGCTCCAATTGATGCTATGTTCCGCTCTGCAGTTTGATGTCAAAGTACCCCTCCACATTGGTCTCGAGCTAAAATGCATATTGGAATCAGTCTAGGTACATCAAGAACTCGCAAAACTCATACAGCCGAAAATCTTTCAAACTCCAAACTACTATATTGCCGATTTTCTGTTTTCACATGAGTATTAGATTTCTTATACTTGGGTTAGCATTGGAAAAAGAGCCGTATATGAGCATTTTCCGGCTTGTAGTTATTGGCATCTTGCATTCGAGATTCCAATAACGTCAAAGTCACGTGAGAGGCTAGTTTCGAGGTGAAGCTAGCGCCTCCGAGGATCTCGTTCAAGAAATTGTCCAAACCGAAGGCGAGGCAGAGCATCAGTCCCGACTCTGCATCAACTACGCTCTGGCCGCCGTCTGATTTTTGCGAGGCCGGCATCTGCTTCATCAAACTAGAGGCCAGAGCATTCAATTTCACGTGGCCGCTGTCCTGTGTCTGCAATTCCAGGATTGCTAGCGCGTCTTTGACACGCGCCACGGCTTCAAGCCTTTGGGCAGGCAACTTCACGAATTGCTTCTGAACGAGTGAAGACGCCATGTCGCAGCTACCACCACCGCCGCCGCCTGGCTGGGGCCCTCCTCCGCCGCCGCCTCCCCCATCATCATCTTTCCCGCCTCCTCCGTCGACTCCTGCTCCTCCAGCCCCGCCGCCGCCCGGCTATCGACCTCCCGCCGACGCTCACATCGCAAAGTTTGCTCAAAAGAAGAAGGAATGGCTTCGGAACCAGCGAAATCGATTCGGCGAGAAGCGCAAGGCTGGCTTTGTCCAGACCCAAAAGGCTGACATGCCCCCCGAGCATCTGCGGAAAATCGTAAAGGATATCGGCGATGTCTCGCAGAAAAAGTACACAAACGACAAGCGAAGCTATCTCGGTGCATTGAAGTTCATGCCTCATGCGGTCTTGAAGCTTTTAGAGAACATGCCGATGCCCTGGGAGTCTGCACGAGAAGTCAAGGTTTTATACCATGTCAACGGTTGCCTTACCCTTGTCAACGAGATTCCTAGAGTTATCGAACCTGTCTACTTTGCGCAGTGGGCCATGATGTGGACTTTCATGCGAAAAGAAAAGGCAGACCGAAGACTGTTTAAGCGTATGCGATTCCCGCCGTTCGATGACGAGGAGCCGCCGCTGTCATGGTCAGAAAACATCGAGGACGTTGAGCCTCTCGAGCCTATTCAGATGGAGCTGAACGAGGACGAGGATGATGCAGTCTATGAATGGTTTTACGACCACCGACCGCTGCTTGACACACCCCATGTTAATGGTCCAAGCTACAAGAGGTGGAATCTCACATTACCCCAGATGGCCGCCTTGTTCCGTCTTAGTCGACCGTTGATTTCCGATGTTGTGGATAAGAACTACTTCTATCTCTTCGATCTAAAGAGTCTGCTCACTGCCAAGGCGCTCAACGTTGCTTTGCCAGGAGGACCACGATTTGAGCCGTTATACAAGGACATCAACCCCAATGACGAGGATTTTGGCGAGTTCAACGCCATCGACCGCATCATTTTTAGGAACCCCATTCGCACTGAATTCCGGGTTGCTTTCCCATACCTATACAATTCTTTACCACGAAGCGTACACTTAGCATGGCACTCCCACCCCCAGATTGTGTATAATCGCATCGACGATCCGGATTTGCCTACATTCCATTTTGACCGTCGAATCAATCCCATCTCATCACGCAATGTGGCTCCAAAGAACGTCGAAGTTTCTCTCGAAGATGAGCTGTTTGGTCCTGGAAGCAACGAGGAGCCCGAAGAAGATGCTTTCGAGCTTCCTGCTGGAACGGAACCATTCCTTGCCGATGAGGAAATAGACAACGAGGACACTTCTGCGGCCATTGAGCTTTGGTGGGCGCCGTATCCATTCAACCGACGATCCGGTAAGATGGTTCGCGCCCAGGATGTGCCTTTAATTAAGCAGTGGTATTTGGAACACCCTCCCTCAGACCGGCCGCCCGTCAAGGTCCGTGTTTCTTACCAGAAGCTGCTCAAGAACTTTGTCCTCAACAACCTGCACAAGAAGAAGCCCAAGGCTCAGAACAACCAGAACTTGCTTAGGTCTTTGAAGCAGACCAAATTCTTCCAACAGACTACCATCGATTGGGTTGAGGCTGGTCTTCAAGTTTGTCGCCAAGGTTTCAACATGCTCAATCTGTTGATTCACCGAAAGAACCTGACCTATCTCCATCTTGATTACAACTTCAACTTGAAGCCCGTCAAGACCCTTACCACAAAGGAGCGAAAGAAGTCCCGCTTCGGAAACGCTTTCCACTTGATGCGTGAAATCTTGCGACTGACCAAGCTGATTGTGGATGCTCAAGTTCAATACCGACTCGGCAACATCGACGCTTTCCAATTGGCTGATGGTATCCTCTACGCCTTTAACCACGTCGGACAGCTTACGGGTATGTACCGTTACAAGTACAAGCTCATGCACCAAATTCGAACCTGCAAGGATTTGAAGCATCTCATCTACTATAGGTTCAATTCTGGTCCTGTCGGCAAGGGTCCTGGCTGTGGTTTCTGGGCTCCTGCATGGAGAGTGTGGCTGTTCTTCATGCGTGGTATTATCCCTCTCCTTGAGAGATGGCTTGGAAACTTGCTTTCTCGTCAGTTCGAAGGACGACACAGCAAGGGTGTCGCAAAGACGGTCACCAAGCAGCGTGTCGAGTCTCACTTCGATCTTGAGCTCCGTGCTTCCGTCATGGCTGACCTTCTGGACATGATGCCCGAGGGCATCAAGCAGAACAAGGTCAATACCGTGCTTCAGCACCTTTCTGAGGCCTGGCGCTGCTGGAAGAGTAATATCCCATGGAAGGTGCCTGGTTTGCCCGCTCCTATCGAGAATATCATTTTGCGATATGTGAAATCCAAGGCCGACTGGTGGGTTTCTGTTGCTCATTACAACCGTGAACGTATTCGCCGCGGTGCCACCGTCGATAAGACTGTTGCCAAGAAGAACGTTGGTCGTCTGACTCGACTCTGGCTCAAAGCAGAGCAAGAGCGACAACATAACCACATGAAGGACGGTCCGTACGTCTCGTCAGAAGAGGCCGTCGCCATCTACACCACGACTGTCCACTGGCTGGAGTCGCGCAAGTTCTCGCCCATTCCGTTCCCCAGTGTATCTTACAAACACGACACCAAGATTCTGATCTTGGCGCTGGAGCGACTGAGAGAAGCTTATTCGGTCAAGGGTCGTCTCAACCAGAGTCAGCGTGAAGAGCTTGCCCTCATTGAGCAAGCATATGATAGTCCTGGCACAACTCTAGAGCGCATCAAGCGATTCTTGCTAACGCAGCGAGCGTTTAAGGAGGTCAACATCGACATGAACGATAATTACAGCACGATCAATCCTGTATACGATATTGAGCCCATTGAAAAGATTAGCGATGCCTATCTCGACCAGTATCTGTGGTACCAGGCTGATCAGAGACACCTTTTCCCTGCCTGGATCAAGCCTTCTGACTCTGAAGTGCCTCCATTGTTGGTCTACAAGTGGGCTCAAGGCATCAACAACCTGGGTCAAGTTTGGGAGACTGAAAATGGCGAATGCAACGTCATGATTGAGACCGAGCTTTCCAAGGTCTATGAGAAGATGGAATTGACACTGCTCAACTCCCTTCTCAGACTGATTATGGACCACAATCTTGCCGACTACATTACGGCAAAGAACAACGTTCAGCTCACCTACAAGGACATGAACCACGTCAACAGCTACGGTATGATCCGTGGTCTCCAGTTTTCCGCCTTTGTCTTCCAATACTATGGTCTTGTTCTTGATTTGCTTCTGCTTGGCCCTCAGCGAGCCAGTGAAATCGCTGGACCGCCACAAAGCCCCAACGATTTCCTGCAGTTCCGCGATCGAGAAACGGAGAGCAGACATCCAATCCGACTGTACAGCCGATATATCGACAAGATTTGGATCTTCCTTCGATTTACAGCTGAAGAATCACGAGATCTTATCCAGCGATTCCTTACTGAGCAGCCGGATCCCAACTTTGAGAATGTTATCGGGTATAAGAGCAAGAAGTGTTGGCCCCGTGATTCTCGTATGCGCTTGATGCGACATGACGTTAACCTTGGACGAGCTGTGTTCTGGGACTTCAAGAACCGACTGCCACGATCCGTCACCACGATTGACTGGGATGACAGCTTTGTCAGTGTATACAGCCGTGATAACCCCAACTTGCTCTTCTCAATGTGCGGATTTGAAGTCCGGATTCTGCCTAAGATCAGAAACCAGAATGAAGAATTCCCCGTCAAAGACAGCGTTTGGTCTCTCGTTGATAACACGACAAAGGAGAGAACGGCACACGCGTTCTTGCAAGTCACCGAGGAAGACATTCAAAAGTTCAACAACCGTATCCGACAAATCCTCATGTCATCTGGTTCGACAACCTTTACCAAGATTGCCAACAAGTGGAACACTGCTCTGATTGCGCTGTTTACGTATTACCGTGAAGCTGCGGTCTCTACCATCGAGCTCCTGGATACAATCGTCAAATGCGAAACCAAGATCCAGACGCGAGTCAAGATTGGGCTGAACTCGAAGATGCCTTCGCGTTTCCCTCCTGCTGTTTTCTACACCCCCAAGGAGCTTGGTGGATTGGGAATGATTTCTGGCTCTCACATCCTTATCCCAGCCAGTGACAAGCGTTGGTCAAAGCAGACCGACACGGGAGTCACCCACTACAGAGCTGGTATGACGCATGACGAAGAGACATTAATCCCCAACATTTTCCGATACATCATCCCATGGGAGGCAGAGTTTATTGATTCTCAGCGTGTCTGGACTGAATACTCCCAGAAGCGTCTGGAAGCCAACCAGCAGAACCGACGTCTTACTCTGGAAGACTTGGAGGATAGCTGGGACCGTGGTTTACCAAGAATCAACACTCTGTTCCAAAAGGATCGAAGCACGCTTAGCTTCGACAAGGGTTTCCGCGCTCGCTCCGAATTCAAGATTTATCAACTCATGAAGAGCAATCCGTTCTGGTGGACGAGCCAGCGACACGACGGCAAGCTGTGGAACCTGAATGCTTACCGAACTGATGTCATCCAAGCACTGGGTGGTGTTGAGACCATCCTTGAGCACACGCTATTCAAGGCTACCGGTTTCCCATCTTGGGAAGGTCTCTTCTGGGAAAAGGCTTCTGGTTTCGAAGAATCCATGAAGTTCAAGAAGCTCACCAACGCCCAGCGATCCGGTCTGAACCAGATTCCCAACCGTCGTTTCACCCTCTGGTGGTCCCCGACCATCAACAGAGCCAACGTCTACGTCGGTTTCCAGGTCCAACTTGATCTCACTGGTATCTTCTTGCACGGAAAGATTCCTACCTTGAAGATCTCCCTCATCCAGATCTTCCGTGCCCACTTGTGGCAGAAGATTCACGAATCAGTGGTTATGGATCTTTGTCAAGTATTTGACCAAGAACTGGAATCTCTCGGCATTGAGACTGTGCAAAAGGAGACTATTCACCCCCGAAAATCTTACAAGATGAACAGCTCTTGTGCCGATATTCTCCTCTTTGCCAGCCACAAATGGAATGTTACTCGTCCCTCGCTGCTGTATGATACCAAGGACGTCATTGAGCCTACAACGACCAACAAGTTCTGGGTTGATGTGCAGCTACGATATGGTGACTACGACTCTCACGACATTGAGCGATACACTCGTGCCAAGTATCTCGACTACACGACCGACAGCTCTAGCATTTACCCCTCCGCTACAGGTATCATGATTGGTATTGATTTGGCATACAACTTGTACTCGGCCTACGGAATGTATTTCCCTGGTCTAAAGGTACTCATTCAGCAAGCCATGGCCAAGATCATGAAGGCCAACCCTGCCTTGTATGTCCTTCGGGAGCGTATTCGCAAGGGTCTGCAGCTGTACGCCTCTGAAAGCAACCAAGAGTTCTTGAACTCGCAGAATTACTCAGAGCTCTTTAGCAACCAGACTCAGCTCTTCATCGACGATACCAACGTGTACCGTGTCACTATCCACAAGACATTTGAAGGAAACTTGACCACCAAGCCTATCAACGGAGCCATCTTCATCTTCAACCCGCGAACTGGCCAATTGTTCCTGAAGATCATCCACACCAGTGTTTGGGCAGGTCAGAAACGTCTTGGACAGCTTGCCAAATGGAAGACGGCAGAAGAAGTGGCAGCGTTGATTCGTTCGCTCCCCGTTGAAGAACAACCCAAGCAGCTGATTGTCACTCGAAAGGGTCTGTTGGATCCTCTGGAAGTCCAATTGGTTGACTTCCCCAACATCTCTATCCGTGCCTCCGAGCTGCAGCTTCCTTTCCAGGCGGCCATGAAGGTTGAGAAATTGGGAGATATGATTCTGCGAGCAACAGAGCCTCAGATGGTACTGTTCAACCTGTACGATGAGTGGTTGAAGAGTATTTCCTCGTACACAGCATTCTCTCGTCTTATTCTTATTCTCCGTGCTCTTCACGTCAACCCCGACAAGACGAAGCTCATCCTTCGACCCGACAAGACTGTCATCACATTGGATCATCACATCTGGCCTTCACTGAACGATGAAGACTGGATCAAGGTTGAAACTCAACTGCGAGATCTCATTTTGAACGATTATGGCAAGAAGAACAACGTCAATGTGTCCAGTTTGACAAGTACCGAAGTCCGTGATATCATTCTTGGTATGGAGATTTCTGCACCATCGATGCAGAGACAGCAGGCTGCCGAGATTGAGAAGCAGCAAGAAGAGCAGAAGCAGCTGACGGCCGTCACGACCAAAACGCAAAATGTCCACGGCGAAGAGATCATTGTCACCACCACCTCTCAGTTTGAACAGCAAACATTTGCTTCCAAGACTGAATGGCGCACCAGAGCTATTGCGACGTCGAACTTGCGGACAAGAGCCAAGAACATCTACGTGTCTTCAGCGGATACTGATCTGGATGATGTCACTTATGTAATGCCCAATAACATCTTGAAGAAGTTCATTACGATTGCGGATCTGCGAGTCCAGGTGGCTGGTTACCTTTACGGTGCCCCGGCCCCTGATAATGACCAAGTCAAGGAGATTAAATGTATCGTTATGATCCCGCAAATTGGCGGTCTTCGTAGCGTGCAGCTTCCGCAGAAGCTACCCCAGAGTGAGTTCTTGGACGGTATGGAGCCACTTGGTGTCATCCACACGCTATCAGGCAGCGAACTTCCATACATGTCTGCGGCAGATGTGACTGAGCACGCCAAATTGCTGGATACACACGAGGAATGGGACAAGACGAACACGGTCACGGTGTCTGTTTCGTTTACTCCTGGCAGCGTTTCCTTGTCTGCTTGGGGATTGACACCTCAAGGTTACAAATGGGGAGCCGAAAATAAGGACACGCAGAGCGACCAACCTCAGGGCTTCACCACAACCATGGGGGAGAAGCGAAAGCTTCTGCTGAGTCCCAGGTTCAGAGGCTTCTTCCTTGTTCCGGATGATGGCAAATGGAATTACAGCTTCATGGGCAGTGCTTTTGCAGGAATGGAAAAGAAGTCGGTTCACGTCAAACTGGACACGCCGCTGCCCTTCTATAGCGACCACCACCGACCTGTGCACTTCCACAGCTTTGCAGAGTTGGAAGATATCTGGGTCGACCGATCGGACAACTTTGCCTAATCGCGTAATCTGGAGGAACTGTTGTTGGCAGTAGAGCGCAATTTAATACCCTGGGGGTTGAACGAATATCATCTTTTGTATGAATGGGTGGTGGGTGACGCAGATTTGGCGGGCGTTTGCATTTTTGGGAAGAGAGGGGTTAAAATAATACAAGACCTATAAGGTTTCAAGATTGAGTGCGGTGTTACTGTTATAATGTAAAAAACAAGGAATTTATTGATCTAGCTAGATGCATTTTTGTCTTTATATGTAGGAATTATGAGAAGGAGAGCTAGTAGCAGAATGGCAAGTCTTTTATTGGCTTTATGTATAAGTGTTTCTTCATGATATTATATTGGCGTTCTTTGTATCATTCTGTGTTCTGATGACTTGACTGATAATAAGCTGTGATCTCAACTTGCTTGTTAATATGATGACAGATATCGCCGAAGATGGCTGTCCTTACTTGTAGAATCCCCCGTGCGACTGAAGCCCTCAGCCCAGCTGCAAGGGTTGTCTAGGATAAGCCCGCCAAAACCAAGGTCCAGAAGCTTTCAGCTGGCTCGAAAAGTGGAGTGAATCCAAGGGATAAATATGATAAATATGGAGGCCTAGCTGGATTGGGTGCGGCTGAGATGCAGGTTTGGTTTGGGCTGCGCTGAGCACTGAGCTTAACAGGGCTGTGGAGTGATGACGTTGTGGAGTTATGACGGATGCTTGAGGCTATGAGCATATTCGAATAGATGATAAAGTTGCTCCTCTAGTATAGGTCTGCTCAAATGAACCAACGCGGTTATCAACATCCAAAGCCATCAGGCTCTTGTTAATACACCCATAATCTGAGCTGCCATGGTATCGCCGTCATCCTGGCCAAATTCGTTGATGAGCGTCCTCAAAGGCGGGTTTCGAGCTGAAGCCCCTGTCGAAGCTGAACGCAGCATGGCCGCCAGCATTCGATCGACCAGGGCCGCCTGTGCCTCTGGATTGCCAATAACTTGGCTCTGTGCTTTGCTGACATTGCCCATGACTTCCAGCGAGTCGCGGTAGTAGTCGATGGGCGCCCTGCCTGTTAATTCGTGCCACTCTATGGCATCTACAGGGACGCCGGCTTTCTGAATCAGGTGAGTTTGTATTGCATGGCCTTCGTGTAGAGGCGGCAGCAGTAGAACCTCATTCGCAACGGCGCCGGCAGCATACAGATTGCCCAGCCCTGCAGTGCAAAACGTCAGTTCAGACGAGGCCATCAGCTTGAGAGCCTCGTCTGGCAAGACCATGCGAGCTGCTTGTGGATCTTCGGGGTCGATGCCTTGCGCCAGGCCAAGGCTGGCTACCAACACTGTCAACTTGGCATGTTGAGATTCTGGGAGGGCGGCGTTGCGTAGATTGATAGCGCGTCGAGCAGCGTTGTATATAAGACGAGAGTAGGCGATGTACTCTTCCTTTGGCATCAGAGGGTTGATCATGCCTCCGAAATTGAGAAGAACACCAGCCGAGGGATCTCGAGTAGTCCTCGCAGGCGGTCCAAGTGGTGAGACGGTAACAACATTGGTCAGATTCTCGCTGGCAATGCGCTCCTGGACACCGTAGAACTCTGCAGCAATCACCAACTCGGCCTGTCGCCAATGGGGAGAAATACTGGGCCAGAACCAGAGCAACAGGTCGATGATGACCACAGGGATTCCGGCCATCTGAGCGGCAGCAGCAACAAGTTCATCCATGGCTGTCACAACGAGCCGTGGCTTCAAGCGCTGCAACAGAGAAACAAGCTTCATTTTTCCCATTTCCGGATTTGCGTATAAGTCAACGTTGTGTATTCCGTCCCACTTGGCCTCTGTGAGCTTCTGGAAGTCCATTGTAAGACTGGATCCCACATAATGCAGAGCTATAGGCCCAAGAGACTTTAGTCGGCTTCGCAAAAAGGGCATGACGGCTGTAAGAGTAGCACCAGGCCCGCCGCCAAAGGGTTGAGCGTTGAAGACGATGCTTGTAGGCGATGTAGACGGACTGAGAGTCTTGGTGGCGGCATCGTGGTGGGCTAGATGCTGATTTTCTTGCATCTTGGGTGGGAAGACGAAGCAACGATTCGATATTAACAATTGTTGTCACAGGTTATGAAGGAAAGAAAGGCACGCGTCAAGAAAAGGAAGATTTGCAACATATTTATTTGGTTCTATGTAGTCTAGTAAAACAGGCTACATGGAGCGAGCTAATGTATGTCTCACATTACTCAGTGCTCCAAGTACATGCAGCCTTGCACTACCTAGCTACTAAGACTTCAAGTTTTATACAAACAGATTTTGCGAACGGAAAGAAAAGGTAAAAGACCCCCATGTCACCGAAAGAGCCGGAAAAAAAGGCAACTGGTGAAGCAAAGCAGCGAACGTGATATTTTCCGCTTGTCCTACCTAGGCTTTTAAACAAATCCATTTTGCGCTCTGAAAACGTACAAAATTCCGCCGGGAATGAAAGAGCAAAGCAAAGTTATCGGCGAAGCAAAGTGTCCAACGTGATAATTCCTGATTGTTCTCAACGTTTCGCTGTCCGGCAGAGTCGTGTGTATGTGCAAGAGGCTGGAAGAGGCACATTTAGAAGAAGTAAGCGTCATACACAGACTCCCGAATCTCGCAATGCACATTGTGGATGCCGCATTCCTCCATCATCGCCTTGCATCGCAGTGCGAGGACGATTGCGCGGTTCCATGACATTGATTTCGGGGGGATGCTGATGACCAGCGTCTCAGGCGTCTCTTGGTTCATGTAGAAATGAGATGGCTCGATGCTGTCAAAAACGCCGACCTCTTCGATGGCATCCATGACCTGTGACATGAGGCCGGATCGCTCATCTGCCCACGCGTCCTTGAGCGGCGTCGATCTTGTGTAATAGATGGGGATCGGATACATTATGGCCTCGGGCTTGAGCGGATTCTCAAAGACGAATGTGCTTGTGCGCGCAACGAGCAGAGGGCGGCCGTCAGCAAGAAAGTGGTAATAGTAGAGATGACGCTCTTCGGTGCTCGGAGGAAGGGGCCTGGGCGGCTGAGGAACGGGAGACGGCGGCGGTGTTGCCATCGTGAGAGATGTGGTTGGATATCTGGATACTTGGATATTGGATATTCCGCTTTGTGAGACTGTTTGGGCTTGAAGGGGGTTGAGCCGAGCAGAGGGCGAAGCAGTGGTGACAGAAGGAAGAAGAGGAAGGAACAGCGAGAGGATCAGGCTCTTTATATACCCAGGCAAGAGTCATACAATACAAGCCACAGCTGTTAGTGTCCTGGTACGCGTATGCTTATCCAAACTCACAATGTTGAAGCAAAAGGTTTTTCAGCAAAAGCCACTTCTGACGCTGGCAAAGCCTCGCCCAAGCCTAATGGCCTTTGCAAACTGGGCGTGGTATGATACCGAAAACGTAACTATTGCCTACTAGGTATGCCTTCATATGTCAGTCCATACACTTGCTGTTGAGTGTATAGGTACGATGATGCCTGGCCTCAGACAAGGCCAATTACCCAGGTAAGAGTTGCTTCTTGCAGGCAGAGGCAGGTACTTGATACTGTCAGGTGCAAGTACCGATAAACACAAGGATGACAACTACCTAACATCATCATATTCAAGTGGTCATAGCACAGAACAGTAAAGTTCGGTTGATGAAGCCGATGTGTACTAAGTTGAACACTAAGCTGTTCTCGTCGCTTAGATCTATTCGCGCGAATAGTAGCTGGAGTAGAATAGTATCGTGGCTTAGCGGGAGTCGCTTCCTGGAAGTATACAGCCGATCTCTTGTCACCTGAATCAAAGTTAATCTTGCGAATAGCTTCTACAAACGCTCTTCGTGTGAGTCCGGCCACACATTCGCCGGAACTCTCGTCTACCTCGTTGAGCTCACATTCCGAAAGCGTTCTATATGGCGTACCCTCTATAGATTAGCAGTCAAAGTCTCTGATGCAAGTAATCCTACCAAGAAAGTTATTTTAATAGAAGGCAGGTACTGACAGTTCCTAGGTAGGCAGTGTTGGCTTCCGCTGGACCCCGAGGAGAGCAACCTCGACTTCCTTCAGGACATAGAGAGGACTCGCAGGAAGTTTGCGTTTTGTGAGGCAAGGCAAGAACATTTTCTACGGCACCTTCATCTACTAGAACTACTTCAGTCCAGTAACGCACTGGTGCAACAAGCGCTTGGCAGTGTTTGTAACTTTGATGAGATGATGCAGCAGTATATTGACTTTCTCGGATACTTTCACTAAGCTTAAGCATAATCTGAAAAATTGGGTCACACTCCACAGAGATCGGAGCACCATAGGAAGCTTGCCTATCTTGATCATAATGAGCAGCTCTGATAGGTGCATCTGATGCGGGTAGAAGGATCTCGCAATTATCGCATGATTTGCGATAGACCCTCTTACATGGATGTAGAAGTTGTTGAGCGTGATGCTGCTGAAGTTGGCAGCTAGAATCGCAGCTCTTGTTCCGTTAACGTTGTTGTTAAGCTTCCTGACGTTGATTGCGAAGCCACGCACTTGGAAGAGACAGATTGATTGACATCTTTCTCTGCATTTTAGCCATGCAATCTGAATGACAGCTAGACGCACTTTGAAGAAACTTCAACCGAGTGGACCAGCGTCTATGAGAGTCCAAACACGGCGTTAAGGAGGCGAGGGATTAGGCGTGATTTCATATGCCACGTCACCATTCTCGACCTAACCTACTTGAATAAAGACTTTGCTAGATTTTTTGACTTTTTTTTTTATATAATGCTATTAGCAAGACGGAGTTAGACAGATGAATGCGTATATGCAGATATAGACGTCGGGCTTGAGAGAAAGTTTGCCAGTGGGAGCAAGCTTTGAATGCTAACCTAGCCGGTCCACAAGCCTCTTTTCCATTAAAAACCATCATGACTCCCAGGAAACTGTTCCGCAAACTCATCTGTAATCCGAAATCGTTCACACAATCGAAGCAATCCGCTATACCTTTGCTAGCTGCAATCGCGTATCTATCTGGGAAACTCCACGCACTCTGCAAGAACAGGCCTCCCGACCAAGTTCCAGCCAACGTCATTCGATTCAGAAATGGCACAGTTGGCCCCTCCAAGCTGGGAAGAGCGAAATATTTATTATGTTGGGCTTCCTGGTGGCCCCGAGCTCGTCGCTCGCTCAAGCTCAAATCCCTGGGTGAATCCCCAGAAGCCTGATTCCATGTGGAGAGGCTCCATGGCGAACATGTACCCGAAATCGTTTCGACCGGCTAAAAAAGACGTTTTGCTACACCAACAGTGGAATAATGCAACGTCTTCTCTTCGGAAGCAGATCTTGGAAGCTGTCAGCGTTGCGGATTGGGCTGCAATCGATATTCTAAGTGTTGGCTTAAAGAATGAGTTTCACAATACACTTTTAATAGCTGTTGCACCGGGTTCAATGCCTTGGCACCAAGGGCACGCTCTTGCATTACAATGTAAATCTATTTTAGAAGAACATGGAATCAAAGATGTGCATTGCGAGATACGGGAATCTACCATCACCTTTGGTGCAGATGCTCCTGAAGACGCTCCTGAAGACGCTCCTAAAGACGCTCCTGAAGATGCTGCGACGAACGACTCTTCTGGTACCCCTGACAGTGTTCTGAGTGACTTTCAACTATCCTCAGAGCCGATCACGCATACCTACTATGGGGCGTATCACGCAGCAATGTCTGACAAACTTGGTACCCAGATATCAATAAAAGATTCAAATTCAACTGGCAATAAAGGCTTATACATCGCCCTGACTCAACCAAACGCAAGAGGCGAGCCTAGAGTGGTGGCCTTGACTTGCAGACATGATGTACTCAGCCCTGAAACAGAGGGCCTACAAGAATATCGCCATCAACAGTCTCAGCCTTCCAAGGAAGTCATTCAAATACCCCAGCCTACATACGAAAAGACGCTTGAACGTCTGCCAGTTGTTGTCACAGATTATCGCCGTACGGCTACCAGATCAGCAGACCTAAACCGTCCCGACCGCGCAGCTAGTTATAATGAAAGAGCGGACAAGCTAGAGTCTCTTGGGCAGTACATGGAGCGATATAAAACACCCACCTCGAGAGTATTTGGTCACCTTCTCTACTCGCCGGAACTGGCATGCGCATCTGACAACACGAACGGTGCCCAATGGCTGAGGAACTGGGCATTAATCGAACTATTGCCGAACCGTCACCAGGCTCAGCTCAGTGCCCTCAAGAACAAAGTGTTTGCTGGGTCATTGCTATCTGTTCTAAATACATGGCGGAATGCCAAAGTGTCGTCAAGTGCAACGTGGCCAGCATTACTTGTTAAACGCGACGCTATTTGGCTGGAGAAGACTGTTGTGCCCATGGAAGAGCTGTTTACACCACCTGATGATGCCGATGATCCCGACGAAAAAGCGCTGTTCGTCATCAAGTACGACAAATTGGACGGACTAACGTTTGGCCTCGGCAACACGCTAAAGTCAATCGTTCGCTATACCGGCATTGGAGGTAGAGAGTTTATCAGTGAAGAATGGTGTATCACATCTGCCACGCGGGCTAATGAGCACCAAATGGCCTTTTCTTCGGAAGGTGACTCTGGGTTATGCATATTGGATGCCGAGCGGCGTGTTGCGGGAATTCTTACGGCAGGATGTGGTATAAATGGCATAAACAATGTCACATATGCTCAGCCTGTAGAGCGCCTTCTTGCCGACATTCGAGCCCACGGTTATGATGTGGAGCTTGTATAAGACTGAGCTTGATTACATGTATTAATGATGCAAGTATATGTCGTTAGTCCATAAATACATATTTTTTTTATGATACATCTGTAACAATAATAGCAACAGTAGCAACAGTAGCAACAATAGCAGTAGTAGTAAAAGTAATAGTAATAGTAGTAGCCGCTCGCCATTTAGATAAGATGAAGTTACATACCATGAAAAGTCATATAATACAAGCTATAACTAGCAGTGTTGTGTGAGAAGATGCCTTTTGCCGGCGTGGAACAAGGATTGATAACACCCGCCTATATAAAGAATCATTCACAGCTTGACTTCAAGCTTACGGAGAGTGTAGAGTTGCCGTGACAAGCTGGAGATGATTGAAAAAATGGTGTACGCGAGCAAGTTGTCTACAGTTGTAAATAGCAGACAAGGACCATGCGAGCTTACGACTTGGAAGTTTCCCACATTGCAAGCACCATGAATACTTAATGCCTTGGAACTCAAAGATCTTCAACTTCAAATCCGCCTGACAAAGAGGTACATCGCCGGCCATCTGCCTTGGTTTGCCACCTTTTGATCAAGTTGATTTCGCAAATGCCATGGCCACACAGCTATATTCAGACTATGATGTTCCAATTACAGAAAGTTAACACAGTTTTGACTTTCAGATACAGAAGCAATCTAACTATCGGATTTCGCATCTTGGTCCTCATCGCACGCTTCGTTGTAGCCTCCCTCTTCGGGCACGGCTATCTCGACCTTTCGACCCCTTGACTGGAACCACCAGTAGACTCTTCGTAGGGTTTCGGCTTTGACGGACTGAGCTTCGCCACCTTTGAGATATTTCATCTTGCTTCCAAAGTCTGGTTGGCCTTCGTCCTTGCCCTTGCTTTTGCCCTTGCTTTTGCCCTTGCGCTTGCCAGTTAACCACCATTTCGTCTTTTTCACATCAAAGCCTGCTAGCTTAAAGTCCCCCACGATGATTAAGCCCTTCGGAAAGTCAGCATTGGGTCATCCAGTAAACGTTGCAAAATAAACATACCGATCTATGCCGCGATAACATGGACTTGAGACAGTCTTCATCACGAGTGAGGCCCGGTCCGGAGTACCTGGTGGTGCCCATCACAACACACACAATATCTGCCTCTCGGCCTTGGTAAGACTCAGCTGTCGCGGGCGCCACACATCGTAGCACAGAAAACTCTGGCTTCTCTTGAATCCATCTCTCCATGATGCCGACATTGGCCTTGTAGGGGGTAATGACACCAAGTTGGGCTGGGTCGATCTTGGCGTCGTTGACAAGGTCAACCAACAGCTGCAGAGCGACCTCACACTGTCCAAGATTTGACATGGAGCCAGTGGCGGAGTCGCAATTAGACTGGCTATTTGTGCAATGCACAAAGACGGGCTCCATTGTATTCTCGGCCGGGGATGGGAGATTGGGGAAGCGCTGCTTGAGGAAAGCTTCTAGCTTGACGCCATCTGTATCGCAGAGTTAGTAGACGTGGTAGATATAGCAGAGGTAGCAGAGCTAGCAGAGGTAGACATGGTAGATATGGTAGACATGGTAGATATGGTAGATATGGTAGATATGGTAGATATGGTAGATATGGTAGATATGGTAGATGAACTTACTGCGGTGAGCTTCCTCCCATCGCTCGCAGTCACTTTCTGAGTAGTTCAAGGGCAAGTGGCTGTAGAACATCTCACGGCACAAGTCAAACATCCCTCGAACCAGGCGGACTTGGTTGTGCAAACGATAGACTGGCCATGAATTGGCCTTGTAAAACGCAAGCGCCGACAGTTTGCTGTCCTCGGCATGACGGTACAGCAGGAGATCCAAGCACCTTCAACAGCCAATAGGCCGCTGATAGATAAGATAGCCCGTTGGTCATGTCCTGGAAAGCTGCCTCGGAAGCTTCACCATTGTCTGCGGATCGCTGGAGGAGGCTGTGAAGAGCCTCAATCTCATCCTTCATAGAGAGGCCTCTGACGACAAGCTTTCGGCGAATGGGCATATGAGAGCCATTTTTCGTCAAACTCTTATTGTGACGCGCAACAACCCTCCGGTCCAGGATATCGAGTCGCCTGGAAAAGCTGTCGACCGTAGCAAGAGTAGGAGCCGAAACGAAGACTTTTCCTAAAGTATGAGCCATGCCCAATGTCGCGACGCCGAGAGTGGTAGTCTTGCCAGATCCAGGAGCCTACGATAAAAAGTAGCAATTGAAAAGCCATGAAATCTTCATTCAAGGTATCGACTTGCCGCAGTAATGATGCCAACCCCGACAGACAAGTGGCCCATATAATGCCGAAAACGGCCACGGTCCTCTTCTAAAATCTCTTCCATGAGGCAGTCAAGCAGCCTGCTATCCAAATCAAGGATATTAATCATCGGAAGATCCCATGTGCCTGCCCTATTCAACCTGTTTAGGAATCCTCTTCCAAGCTGAAAGACTGTATGCGTAATCATCTTGGGACCATTCTCAGGCAACAAAGTGACAGGCGACAAAGAATATTGGGTAACGGCCTTGATCTTGCGTTCTAGATCGTCCAGCTGGGGATCAAAGAGAAGAGAGACCGTGTTCCAAGACTCAAGATCTGTCGGGAAAGTCTTTATTCTCAGCCATGCCAGTCCATCCCCAATTGACTTTTGGACGCCTTTTGAGACCTTGAAATCTTCGGGCCGTTGAACGAGAAGAACGAGGTCCAAACTCGTCAACGGATAGTCCTTGAGCTCAGGTATGAACTTGGCCTCTGTCTTGTCCACAATTCTAGCGTCACAGATAAACGCTGCCTGTTTGTGCCATTGCTTGTGCTCCGTCAGATTGGGAGTGTCCATAGGCGACTTGTCCTCATGCAATGCGAGTCTAAAGAAGCTTTGCTTGGTTATCTCACTCCATATCTTCTCGGTGGTTTGGCAGTACGGTCCCTCCATTAAAACGATGGCAAAATATAAATTCTGCCGAGATGGGATGAAGAAAACCGGGAGCTTCTTGGCGAATATCTTTGCCACCTCTATAGCGATCATTAGATGGTGTTGGACGGCTGACTGTGTGACAACAGCCTGCATAGAAGAAACGTCTGGAAAATTGACGCTCAGAAGGAACTGAGGACCTTGGACTGCTGCGTCCTTGAACTGGGTCTCATAGCGAGCGAGGTCAAACCAGTGCTCATTGCCGTAGCGGAAAGTGAAAGGGGCGGGCACCATAGTCTCCTCCCACAGCCGCCCAAAGTATTTATATGGCTGCTTGATAATGATGTGCCATTTTCGCTGTCGCAGAATGTCAACAAAGGTCATGGAGTCGGCAACCACTGAGCCTTTGTTGATCCAGTCGTCGGCATCATGTCCCGGGTTATGAAACGGGAGTCCAAAGCCATCAACTTCCACAAAGACTCCATCGTGTAACGAGATCTCGAGTGCACGAAAGTCGTCGTTGGGAAATTGACCCTGAAGTCTCTCAGGCATTTCGTCGAGGGGATTTCCGGTGAATCTTCCAATGGGAAATCTCACTCTTAGTTCCAAGACGGGTGTTGGCTCTCTTCGGAACGTTTCTCGCTTATCTAAAAGTCACATTAGCAATGAAGCTATCAGAGGGTATGGTAGAGACAGTAAAGATGGCAGAGACGATAGAAATTGTAGAAATTGTAGAGATAGAAGAAGAAGTAGAAACAGTAGGAATAGTAAAAGCAGCAGGAATACTTACAGCAATGGACTTGCCCGTATCCCAGATCGTCATTATCGGCTCCCAAAGGAATGCCAATGGAAAAATAAATGTACTTGGACTCTGTGCGAGCAGGCCAAATACCCAAGGAACTGCTAATATCTCCATTGCCCAGTTCTTTGCCTCCAAAGACTGAACCGTTCTACGACCCTAATGCAATGGCAGCTGGTCTACGCCAAGCTTGTTGTCCTTTGTTGACAGGAGGCTGGGCGGCAGGAGGAGTAGATGGGCCGGCAAGATTTTGGTCATCGTTTGCTGATTGAGCCATGGTGACGATTTCTAGCAATAAGAAAACGAAAAGAGGTAAGCTGCCGCGGAAATCTGAGCTGCTCTAATCTCCAGGATACAAAATACAAAATGGTAATTGCCACTTCGAAAGTATTGCTACTTTGATAAGATGCCAGCGTCTAAAAGGTGCACCGGCGAAATCCCGAAGAGTTCGAATCAGTAACAGAAAGTCACGTATAACACAACAACACCACACGAGGCCTAGTCAACTTCCGCGAGAGTCTGCGCTGCTCTAATCTCCAAGTTCCTAATATTCAAAGTATTATTACCCAAAACTAACCAGCTACCATCAAGGCACGCCGGCGACGGAATCCTGAAGAGTTTGAGGCAGTGACAGAAAATCTTGAAAGACGGAGTGCGTCGCCCTCTATCTTTAAAATCGAAAGATAGAAAAACAGCTACGCTTGGAAAAGCGTGGGAAAGTCTTGCCAGGGAGAGAGAATGATGATGGTATATATAGGCTGTGCCGTCATGAAGAAAATGCTCGCTTGACGAAGGAGAGAAGGTCAAGAGGAGAACAGTGATTCGAAAGTCATCCGTTAGTTTCTGGTTCTTTATTCTGAAACATTGCCACGAGGTCCCGCAGTCAACAAATAAACGCGGTTGTGCGCGTTGTGCGTGTTGAGCGCGTCTTTGCCTTCACAGCTGTTGCCAGCTGGTAGCCGGATAGCAGCAGGAGAAGCAGTAGAAGCAGTAGAAGCAGTAGAAGCAGTAGAAGCAGTAGAAGCAGTAGAAGCAGTAGAAGCAGTAGAAGCAGTAGAAGCAGTAGAAGCAGTAGAAGCAGTAGAAGCAGTAGGTAATGTCTTATAGGTAGTATATCTAAGTGAGATAAACAGAGAGTCAGTGAGATGGTAAAATTTACCAGTCAAATAAAGTACATGTAGTCATCTAATAAGAAGCCCTGGAATATATTAAGTACCACGTCTCTTGGTACATTCATAATGTGGGTAAGATTTTTGTGTCAATGGATGTAAACCTCTCTTTTCTTTTTTGCACCCTCTCTGCGTCTGCATCCTCTGTCTCTATCATTGCAGCCATCCCACGGCATATAAAAAACCTTTAGATCAAGGCAACAGGCGATAATTTTACTAATGTAGTGCTCCAACATGAAGCTAAATCTAGACACGACGACGCGCCTCTCCACCGTGAGAGCTCTAGTGCGTTTGTGGGCTTATTTTCTTTTCCTATCTTAGCAGAGAAGACTCTTTTGATAGGTGACTAAAGCAGCTGGTCTTTACAAGTTCGAAAACGACTGTCTAGATGGACCCACTCGGCTCTGAGTATCAATTTCAATTGCAGCGCTGAACAAAGCTGTTAGTTGTGATAGATACATGTATGTAACCAATAGGCCATTCCGCGAACAGTTGCAATATTGAATTTCCACGACACTGACATGTGTTATACAAGGCGATTGAGCGGTTTTGAAGAATGAACAATTTCATTACACATCTACGTACTACATGTGGCCTGCTTGCAACACGAATAGCCAATCATCGATGAGAAGAGCCTGATCCCTACAAGTAAGTACATTTCAGCCTGACAACCAATAATTATTCGGCGATGCTTACAGCTCAGCCGCAAAATACCCCGCTTGGGCGGCAAGGCTTGAAAAGATATAAGAGCGAGGTCTGCTTTGAGGGTGTTACTCGAGCATCACCTGTCCAAAGCAGCCTGCCAGCCTGTCTTCATGTAAATTCTTAATGGCTCAATTCACGCAGCCCACAAGCCGGGACGAATTTCACGTGGCCATAATATGCGCTTTGCCTAGCGAGGCCGATGCCGTTACGCTGCTCTTTGACCAGTTCTGGGACGAAGATGGTGATCCGTTTGGTCGATCGAGCGGCGACAACAACTCTTACATAACTGGCCGGCTCGGCAAACACAATGTCGTTCTCGCCGTGCTCCCAGGCATGGGCACAAACAACGCAGCGTCTGCGACAGCAAATTTACGGTCCAGCTACGGCAGCCTCAGGCTCGTTTTCCTCGTCGGCATTTGCGGCGGCGTGCCCAAAATCGCAGACGACGATGTGTTTCTGGGCGATGTAGTCGTGAGCAAAGCGATTGTCCAGTACGACTTTGGTCGACAGTATCCCGGGCATTTTGAAGTCAAAAGCACGCTTGAAGACAGCCTCGGGAGGGCAAATAGAGACATCCGAGGGTTACTGGCCGTCTTCGAAACGGAACGTATGAGAGATATACTGCAAACCAAGGCGGCGATATACTTGAAGCAGCTGCAAAGCGCCGATGCGAAGGCTGCTGCAAAGAAGCGACGACGGTCAAAATATCAGTATCCGGGAATCACTGAAAACAAGCTGTATTTACCGGGTTACGTTCATCGGCACTTGAAAAAATGTGACATCTGCAGCAGATTCGACAGCACTTGCGATGCAGCTGCCATGACATCCTGCGCCGAACTTGGGTGCGAAGAGAACATGCTCGTCCAACGAGACATGTTTGAAGATGACGGCGATTTCAGCTCCAACATCTTCATTGGACGGATAGGCTCCGGCAACACTGTGATGAAGAGCGGGGAAATTCGCGACTGGATTGCCAGAAAGCACAATCTCATCGCTTTTGAGATGGAGGGCGCTGGAGCATGGGATGAGGTCCCGTGCCTCGTGGTGAAGGGCGTTTGCGACTATGCGGACAGCCATAAGAATAAACTATGGCAGAACTTTGCGGCTGCTACTGCTGCGAGTGTGATGAAGGCCATTTTAGATCGCTATATTGTCACTGATGCGGCTCAACGTCCAGTTGCAGCTCCACTCAGTGGTGGTGGTAAGGTTTTTCATTTATTCCATTCTTCACTCTTCTCTAAGCTAATGGAGTAGTAGGTCAGGGTAGAGGGAATAGCACTCGGAGCATTTCTGGAAACACATTTGGCGACAATGTGCGGATCGTCCAAGGCGATATGACTTGGAATGGCAACTGATAACATGAGCTTTTAGCTCTTCCTTGCGCTCGCTCGTCGATTAGGATGACTGCCTCTTGGACAGCACAAGTCCCATATGTCATGATAGTGAGGTTTGGGCGGTAACTGGCATGAGAACCGGAGAATCCCACTATAAAACTTTTATTACCGTACATAATATTCTTTTTAGATAACCCCCCAATAAGCCACTATCCTACCCTTAAGTCTTTTTCTTAGGGCCAAAATCTTCGTCGGTAAGATAACTGACATCTACATTTAAACACGTATCATGATTCGAATGAGGATGGCTCATACTTTGTGAATCGAATATCGTTGCTTCTTGCCCCTTTATGCCTCGAGAACCGGGAACTTGAGTATAATGCTTGGCCTGTGATGCGTGTAATTGCCACCAAGGACGAGCTCAACGATACTGATTCACTACCGATGGCAAGTCCTAGCGCCCTTCGGATGGGACGTGTCTCTTGTCCATCTAGACAAATCCAAGTCTCACCGAAAGTCGATTTCAGTGAATAACCATGTCGTGGAAGCTTATGCCAGTGCTTCCAAGAGGAATTTTTTAACATAAAATCATCAGTGAAAATATCGCCATTAGTAGCATCAAAGAATGACACGCGATCTCCGCCGTCAACACAAAACAAGCAAGCACCAGTGGCAATTTCCAGGATTTGTACCACGTCCTCCATCATGTTCATGACAGCTAAGAAATTAGCATCAGACGAGAATTTGAGACCGCTCGCACCCCATTGGTCAAGTTTATAGACGCAGCGGCTTGCAAGGGGCTCCCAGACCTGCAATTCATAGCCAAAATCGCATATCGCAACAAATTCCAAGTCGGTGGAAATAACCAAGGTCCGAATTCCATAGTCGCTTGAATCAAAGCTGGATTCGTACAAGTTACGGCCAGATTTCACAGGCCAAATTCTCACAAGGCCTCTAGGATAGTCCTCGTAATGCTCTTTTTACCTTATCATAGCTAATGACCAAAATTTTTGAATCATCGGAAAACGCTATAACTGTTTTGCTGTAGCCTGGGCCTTGAGCCCCTGTAAAAGATACACAACAGAGCTCGCTTGAGCGATGCATTTTAAAAAGTAACTCAGATGAATACCTTCCTATGGATCTTTCTTTAGGCACTGTGTATCCAGATCCCGAGATCCTGGAGGGATATCGTTTTGGCTCATAGACCGGCTGTTGGCTGTTGCATCATGAATAATTCTTGCAACGTAAAATCGCGGCTTGGAAAGCGAAAATTTTTGAAGGATTTCACAGCTAGTTGTTGGCTGTTATAAGCTTGTCTAATATTGCCTCGAATGAAGAAAAAGCTCCTATAAACAGAAGTCCTTATTGATTAAAAAAAAAAGACCTCATTGTTACGGATAGTGCTCATGTTCGATGCCTATATCTCAGCTTTCTGCTCGGACTGGATGTAATACGATGTCCCCTGCATGATTGAGTGTGGTATAGATAGGTAAACTGCTTTGCCAAAGAAAAAGTAAGCTTGTGATAATAACGACAGATCTATCAGCTTTCCGCCTATCTCACAATATAGGTAAATGAGAAAGCTGCACGATGTACTCATGTGGCATGCTGGCCTTTCTAGTCTGCTCGTCACTTCAGCCGAGGCCTACGCGCGACACTCATCAACACTCAGAAATTGGACATATGATATGTAAAGAGAGCATTCCTGTATGACGTATTATAATCGTATCTTCACGCACATATACGATGTAAGCGCAAGATGCGACACCATGGCTAGGCACCAATCGTTGTGAATTTTGCAGTTGTCTATGTGTAAGTTGATAGACCACTTCACAGGCCTAGTGTCAATTGATGTACAGCGTAATGTGCCATCCGTTGTCAGCTTCCCAACTTGAGCACCCCGCGCGGAGTAAGCCGAGACGGGAACACCGAGTTTTATGATCGGATGGTCCAATTCCGACTGTCAAGCAGCCCTCTCGAGGCTGCGCATTAACTTAATTTCGGCAATCCCTCCAAAATAGGCTCATGGGCTATGCAAACGTCTCGGTGTCTCTGATCCGAGCCGGATAGATTTACGACTTGACACCGGCATCGCGATTCCAGCCCCAAGTTGACGGCCCCCCTGCAGGATTGCATCCCAATCTGATAAGCGCATCGCATTGCGACCTTACCATTATGGTGCCGCCAGTGTTGCAGTACCACCTCAATAATACAATAATATCTCCGATTATAGCCCGTCGTATTGCCAGCCGTCCATCTATCCGCAGATCAGATGTTAATGAGTTGCAGTAGTTCCTCCGATCTTTGTAGTATCTCATGCATGTATTAACTAGCTTGGACCCCATCACTGACTTCCGATCTCCCTACCGAGGCTAACAGATGCTTAAACACGGCATCTACTAGCACAGCCCGAAGCACAGGCTTTCTGATCCTCCTTGTCGGTAAACTTTCTTTGGTATAGGCGTCTTGACGTCTATGCAAGAATCGATTTTGTGCCCGAAATGGCAATTCGCCACACATCTTTCCCCGTTATAGCTTCGCACTATCAGACCAATTGGCTGTATCCTCTTTCCGCTTCCGGATTATCAGAAGCTATGATATCTTTGGCAACATTCTCCTCGGTACAGCTAGCCATGTTGGTAGAGCTGTGGTAAAGACACACATCCAACATCATCCGTATTGTTGAAACTTATGCGTTTGGCTTACAGCGGCATGAACATGGATTCTAAGCAGGTGCAGAAGCGGTGGCAAAATCATGCCTTTCGCTTTCGCATTGATGTTGACAAAGAGGGGAGGCAGTGAAGGTGTTCTCAAATTCCATGCTTCTCTACTTGTGTTAAAAGGGACATCCTATATAACTATCTCATGAGACTCCTCTACAAAGCAATCAAGTCCAAGCAGCACAGAACAACAATCAGGATAGCAGTAACAGGTCAACAAGCCATCAATGGATCCCAACGGAAGGCGAAATCTCTACAACAGGGGATATGACCCAACGGCATCATCATCTTATCACCCTAACTATGCTGCCACGGATATGGATGAAGACTCAATCCACTACCGAGAAGATGCAAGCTCAGTGAGCTCATTGTCACCAACTGGCTACGGCAGCGCCAGGAATGCATACGCCGGATCCTACTCAGACGCATATGAGTACGCCGGGGCTTCCAGTAGTACCAGATCGCGAGCTCAACCTTCTTACCATCATCACCATCTACCAGAAACGGACCAATGGACCTCAATGCGTGCAGAATACGGTGACAGCCTGCACAGCTTGGTTGGCAAAGAAGGGATGCCTTCTCCCGCCAGACGACCGCAACGACCCAGGATCAGATTCACTCCAGAAGAGGATCAGCTCTTAATCGAGCTTAAAGAACAGAAAAATCTCACCTGGAAGCAGATTGCCGACTTCTTTCCTGGGCGCAATTCAGGCACGTTGCAGGTGCGTTATTGTACAAAGTTGAGAGCAGAAGCCATGCCATGGACCAGAGAGATGGTAAGTACATGTCTTGTCTAACTTATGCCGTCACCATTTCACAACGCGCAACATCTAACCGATCTCAAATCCAGGACCAGAGACTTCTAGAAGCTCTACAAAGTTATGAGGATGAGAAATGGCGAATTGTTGCGCACAGAGTTGGGAATGGGGTTACGCCGATGGGATGCTGCGATCGGGTGTGGGAGCTATTCAACATTCAGGTTGACGATGCTTCTCCATTCACGTTTGCAAACGACAATTGACCTTTTTGTCTAAAACTAAACGCGTATTAACCGACTCATGCTTATGAACTATGTGCAGAAACTCAACTCGAAGTAAACGACAGTTAGCGTTAGTTTCTATGTATACTACTCATTTAACTAAATAAATAAAACTGATTATGATGACAAAAGAAGCTTTCCTAGCTCTTCTTCGTTCATAATAGCACCTGATTCTACTAAATCGACCATAGCCTGGTGGCAGGACACGTCCAAGACTCGTCGCTGACTGCTGTCATCTTGGCTAAGGAAACTTGCAGTCTCAACCAACCAGCCATTGAAGTCTCGGACTTCTGTCTTTTTCCCGTCTTGTACATCTTGAAACATAGAGCTAGAATTCTCTTTGACAATCTCGCCAATTTTGTAGAGCATTGGACGAAGTTGAGCGAATGAGAAGCGTGCGGTAAGCTCTTCTCTCAAAGTGCCCAGTGATTGGGCACTCTTACCGTCAGAGGCAAGAATATCCGTGCTGCTGGGATGGTTGATGAGAGTTTGAAGGACAGCGCTGGCTTCTTGTAGGAGACGGTCCAAGACTTGGGCGACGACGCCATCAGGCTTCTCAAATAGGCGACCGTTTTTGCAACGGAGAATGGCAGTGAGCGGATTTATAGAAGCATTTACAACCAATTTTTGAAGCTGTGAGATCCAGAGATCAGCTCTTGATATAGATCTTCCGTTGAGGGCCGGCGCCGTTGCAATCGTCTCTGTAAGATACGCCACACTAGGTGCGAGCGGCTGAGCATTCTCATTCAACAAAACAGGTCCAATAGCAGAATCAGCAGGTGACGCATGAACGCTTTTAAATGGCCCTTCTGAGTAGACGCCGTGATTCGTAACGCAAGCCAGGATATTAGGCCCGTCACCGGTGGGATACCGCTTGGACATGTATTCTTGTCCATGAGGTGGCCACAGCTTTGACATGCCATTTTGGACAAACACCACGCTGCTGTTGCCATTAAGATATCGCCTGAGCCTATCTGTTTCGGGCATGGCTGCAGCAGCTTTTGTTATTACGAGAAGATTGCGAATCTTATTCGCATCGGCAACCTCTCTGACAGGACCGTGAGAAGGAGCCTCTTCAGTCCACCACTCAATCTGGAACTCGTTTTTGCCGCCATATACTTGCCCTAGACGCATGATTTCTATTCCGGGGCCTTGAATCCATTGAGATAGAAGCTCCTTTCTGTGGACAACAAGGGTGATTGGAGGACGGGGAGAGTGCATGGAGAGACAGCTAGCATAGAGACGGCCCAAATTTCCGATTCCGAGGATGAATATGCGGCCATCTAAATCCTCAGAAACGGGCTGACTGGCATTGACATTGCTAGCGGTGTTGCTGTCTATATTGGATGGAGTCCAGGCGTAGAGCTTGGGGGCGGGACTTGTGTCGTCTAAGAGGGATTTGAGCCATGATGGCCGCGTTGAGTAAGCCGCCATCGGCCTAATGATATAGATGGGGTTTTGTGAATTGAGTTTGGTAAAAAATATTTGAGGGCGACGAGGGAGTATTCTAGCCCAATGAGCCATAACGAGACTTGATGGAATCGCAAGTCAAATAGGTGTAGATGAAATTGAAGAGCTTCTCAATTGATGGGAGCCGCCAAGATGAGGGGTAGGTCAAGGTTAAGACCCATATTGTTAATATGGAATAATGCTACTAGCAACGACGAGATTGAATTCAGAGCGAAAATGGTCAAATATATAGCCTTCAAATATTCCTGGATATCTCAATATCCAGAAGATAAGAATAGATGTTATCCAGCACCCCAGCTCTCCTGCATTACCTCGCAAAACTGGACTGTGGGTCTCTCCAGCTTTCAGTCCACTATTTTCCAATGCTAGTAATCAGCTAACTGTGTCTGTGTAATTAAGCGAGACAATCGAAGAGACCCACAGTCCAGTTTTGCGAGGTAATGTGACATTGGCATCATCAGGTAGCACTGCTTTCTACAGCTATAACCTGTCACAAATACAGCAACTGGATAATTTTACATATGAACTAAATACATCATTAAGTTATAACTTACTAATAGTAATAGAGCGCTGAATAATGGCACTACAATGCCGGATAGCTTTTCTTTAACGTGCTACCTGGATGTACCAGTTCTAATGTCTGCAAATCAAAGACATGTTAGTTCCCACTTTGAAGTCAATATAAAAGTAGCTCAAGTATAAACCAATGCCTTACACATGCGGATCTTGGGCGAGAATATTATTAAGAGCAAAACATCAAAATTTCCAAGAATTCTCAGTTTTCTTTACAAGCCATAATCACCTTTCACTAAGACGAAGTATATCCGGCATTAATTCATCATCTCATCATCAATCATTTTCTGAGCTTAGCTTCAACTCACTGTAGAGGTTCCGCGGTCATGTGACGCAATTCTGCATAGGAGCGGATGCGCCGCCAGAATTGCCTGCAGTGGATCTTGGCCGCGCTGACCAATCATCGCCTCGCTGTGTTGCCACCCCTGCCTAGAAAGTGAACGCTCTTGAATCATCCATCTTCGTGAACTCTCGCCGGGATCACGATTTTTTCACTTTTTTGCCTCAGCATCTCAGCTGTTTGAACTCTTTTTGTCAAAGAAACTCCAATAAAAGTACATGGCATAATGATGCCAAGGTGAAGAAAAACTTTCGGCAAGTCCGGACATAGAACTTCTACTCATCAACAGGTCGATTTCGTCACGACCGTGAATTTCTACTTGGCATCGCAGCCATTGTGGAATCATCGCGGCTGGGAATTACTAGAAAGGCAGACATTATGGACTCCGAAAGTGAGATGGAGAGAAAGGACGCTGGCGGAGCGATGTCATCTGCTCAAGATGAGTCGATGCCAGATTCTCACTCTGAAGATCAAACGCCCATCGGAATCAGTGAAGAAGATGCGCTGAAGAACCTTTCCGGGACTGTGAGAGACCAGTCGGAACTAGAACGAGATATCACCATGCAGGCCAATGCGGCGCTGATGGAGGCTGAAGACCAAAAAGATCGTAATCGGATAGTCAAACTCGAGCTGACTCGAGACCGGCTTAAATCACAGCTTGACAAGGACAAGAAGCGTTTGGAAAAGGCTGCTGGCAACCCATACCAGTCTCGAACCATACAAAATGATATAACTAAGCTCGAACAAGAAATCAACCAAGCTACCCTGGATATTACTGATTTTGAATCGCGGATCCAGAAGCGACACCAGGAAGACCCGTTACACAACATGAACCAGACCAAGTCTAATAGACTGCCTGGAGAAAGCAATCGTGAATACCTCATCCGAACTGGAAAGATCACACCGTTCTCCAAACTCGGAGGATCGCGCCCTGCCGGTATCGAGGGCCAACTGGCCGACACTCTCTTAGATGCTGAAGAAGAGGCTGCAGCTGAACAACTTGGCATTGAGGCTGGCGAAGGGCCACAGTCTCACCAGTTACTGAGACGCCCTGGTTTTGCCGAAGAAGAAACACCACCACCTGTGCCAAAGACAAGTGCAGTCGAAGCCGAGTTCTCACTTCGACCGCGGAAGAAGAGGAAAGTTGAGAGAGAAACTGAGCGTGAGCCGTCTGCAGATTTTCTACCAGAAGATACATCTGGCTCGGAATCCCATGATTCAACTATGTGGCAGCAGGTAACGGAGGACGATCTTGTTCGCCAACAACGTCGCAAAGCCAAAATCCAAGAAAAGGCCGCTGAGCAAGATGGCATTGATCTTAGTAAGATTGACGACGGCAATGAGGCTCATTATAAGAGGCGACTCAAGGACTGGGTTGATCGAAGAAGTCGAGCGAGACGAGCAAGGCGTCAAGCTGACTCTGCTACACGCCCCGAAGACAGCGATGAGGATGAAAAGGAGTGGTTCAAGCCGGCTCCTGGCGTTGCGGATCATTACTTTACCGATGATCTCAAGCTCCCAGGCGACATCTACCCGTCATTATTTGGATACCAAAAGACAGGCGTGCAATGGCTAGCTGAACTGTATAAGCAGAGCGTTGGAGGGATCATCGGAGATGAGATGGGCCTTGGAAAAACTGTCCAGCTTATTGCGTTTATCGCTGCTCTACACTACAGCAAAAAGCTCAAGAAGCCAGTCATTGTAGTTGCTCCGGCTACACTTCTCCGCCAGTGGGTAAGCGAATTCCATCGCTGGTGGCCGCCTCTTCGTGTCTCTATTTTGCACTCTTCCGGTAGCGGAATGTTAAACCCTACCGCTGAAGACGAGTATGACGTGGAACACTTTAGCCCGATGGCAACCAAATCCGAAAAAGCTGCAAGAAGAATCGTCAAAGGAGTGGTACAGAAGGGCCATGTTCTGGTTACCACCTACACCGGCCTTCAAACCTATGCTGATGAGTTATTGCATGTTGAATGGGATTATGCCGTTCTAGACGAAGGCCACAAAATCCGAAATCCAAACGCTGAAATTACCGTCACTTGCAAAGAGCTCAACACGCCAAACCGAGTCATTCTATCCGGAACTCCAGTGCAGAACAATTTGACGGAACTTTGGTCACTGTTCGACTTCATCTATCCGATGCGCTTGGGGACTCTTGTCAACTTTAAACAACAATTTGAGATTCCGATTCGGCAAGGCGGCTATGCAAACGCATCGAATTTACAAGTTATGACGGCTGAAAAATGCGCCGAGGCACTGAAAGAGACGATCAGCGAATATTTGCTCCAACGGCTGAAAGTTGATGTGGCTGCAGATCTGCCCGAGAAGACGGAGCAAGTTTTGTTCTGCAAGCTGACAGAAAGCCAGCGCAAAGCATACGAAAGATTCATTGGCTCCGATGAAGTCGCTGCCATCTTGAGTAGGAAACGCCAATCACTCTATGGCATTGACATCCTTCGCAAGATATGTAATCATCCCGACCTGCTGGACAAGTCTCTTTCGAGCAAGCCCGGATATGTCTACGGCGATCCAAAGCTGTCCGCAAAGTTGCAGCTCACCAAAGACCTTTTACAAAAAGTGATGATTCCCAATGGACACAAGATGCTGTTGTTTTCGCAAGGCAAGCAGATGCTCAACATCATTGAGAAGTGTATCAGGGAATGTGGAATATCTTATTTAAGAATGGACGGCGAAACACCCATCGATCAAAGACAGCCGATGATTGACAAGTTCAATACTGATCCTGACATCCACGTATTTCTCATGACTACCAGAACTGGAGGACTGGGCACCAACCTTACTGGCGCTGACCGAATCATCATTTTCGACCCAGACTGGAATCCCTCCACTGATTTGCAAGCGCGAGAGCGAGCCTGGAGATTAGGCCAGAGCAAGCCTGTCAAGATCTATCGACTAATGACTGAGGGCACAATCGAAGAGAAAATTTATCATCGCCAAATCTTCAAGCAATTCATGACAAACAAAGTACTCAAGGATCCGAAGCAGCGAAGCTCTTACGACCTCTCAGATCTTTACGACTTATTTACATTTGACAAGAATACAGATGCAGCTGCGGCAAGAAGCGAGGTCTTCAAAGGAGCAGAGGTGAACTTGAAGAAAAAGGCAGACAACTCTGATGCCAAGACATTGATGCCTATTGGGAACATGGGCCAAGTCAAAACTGAGGGCGAACTGAAGAATCTTGATCTGGTTGCTGCGATGGAAGAAGTCAAGGAAGATCCATCCGCTCACGAAGAGAAGCGTATGCTAGAGGGTATCTTTGCGCGATCTGTGAATAGCGCCTACGACCATGAACAGATTGTCAATGGCCCGCAGAAGGCGAAGGCCGATATGGCTGTTCTTCGTCAGGAGGCAAACATGGTCGCCCGACAGGCCGCCGCTCACCTTCGACATTCGGGAGAAGAAGCTCGCCGAGTGCCAATTGGTACAGTGACATGGACTGGTGAGGTTGGCACAGGCGGTCGACCTGGCGGGAATCGTCGTCGCGGTGGTCCAAGTTCAGCAGGTATTATGAGTAACCTTGCTGATCGCCAAGGATTGGATAGCGGTAGCAGCTCTCGATCAGGAACACCTGGGCTTGACAAGAACATGAAGGCGAAAGACTTTATACCCATGATTAAAACGTTCATTAATCGACATGGAGGCAAAGTCCCAAGCAAGATGCTGGTGGACCATTTCAATCCTTACTGCCCTGGGAAGAAGCAGAGCGATGAATTTAAGTCTGCGCTGGAGATGGTCGGGGTGTTGAATCGGGTGAGCAGCACTGGGAGGGGCATGTGGTCATTGAAACCGGAATTCAAGTGAGGTTCAATGAGGTTTCTATACTCGAGAGATCACGATATGCTCCATACGCTTTAGTTCTTTGACTTGACATTAAGCGAGGAGTCTTGGTTTATATAATTCAGGGAAATGGAATACCGCGTCGGATGTTAGAAATGTATTTCAAATAAAGATAATGTTTATATACTGCATCGATTCGTTTCATCCATCTCATCGAGTCATTAATCATTGTAGACATAAAAGATCATCATCACAGCATGTCACATATCACAGAAGAGTTTGGTCTGACAGGAAGATAACTTTTCATAGCCTTCTTCGGGCGAAATTGTAACTGTCTACTGCACCAACACCAAGTATTTATCCCCTCTCTAGTAAAAGACAAAGGACAAGAAAACTCGAGCGTAATGGTAGAGTTGGAGACCAGGCTTCAAGGGCCGTTCTCCTCGTTTTTTCTCAACGCCACATAAAAGAGCCAGATAGCGCAACTCCCGCCTTGATCCCAAACCAAAGCCAGGTGAGGTATGCAAAGGTTGTAATTTTTTCTTTTGATGGAAAAAAGTACAACATTTACAAACGACGACCACGGCGACCACCCTTTCTGCGGGTAGAGTCGGAGGGGGTAGGAGTAACGTCCTCAATGCGGCCAATCTTCATGCCGGCACGGGCCAGAGCACGGAGAGCAGACTGGGCACCAGGGCCGGGGGTCTTGGTACCGTTACCTGTTGGACATCTCGTTAGTCTTCTGACAGTTGTCGTCTTGAATTCCACGTCAAAACATACCACCAGTGGCACGGATCTTGATGTGCAGAGCGTTGATGCCAAGCTCCTTGCAGCGGGCGGCGACGTCCTGGGCAGCCAACATGGCGGCGTAGGGGGAGGACTCGTCACGGTCAGCCTTGACCTTCATTCCACCGGTAACACGGGTGATGGTTTCACGGCCGGACAGATCGGTGACGTGGACGAAGGTATCGTTGAAGGAGGCGAAGATACGGGCAACGCCGAAGACGAGCTCGCCTGTAGCATTGCTGTTAGCACATCGCTCTCAATTGTCCGGAACTTGATCGTGTTCAAGTCATGTTTTTTGCGATCGTATAAATTTCGTGACAGCTGCCCCTCATGCGACAACTATCACCAAAATTTAAACAGAGCCGCAAAAAAGACATGTATTTTTCTCTCCGCCACAAATTGAAGGTTCAATTCCACATACCATCGCGGGCAGAGGGGCCCAGGGAGATGTTCTCCTTAGGAGCGGCGACCTTCTTGGGAGGCATTTTGAAGTTTTCGGCGACGGTCTGGCTTTTCGTCACGGGGCTGTTGAGAACTGACGAGCTAGGAAAAGAAAAGAGGCCTGGCCGTGATGCATGCGCCGGAGTAGTGCTTCAACGAGCGAGGGCGGTTAGAGGGGCGGTGGGGCGCGGCAGAAAAAAGGAAATCCCACACAAAAAAATTTGGTCGATTTGCGTGCAAAAACAGATGCATTTCTAGCGGGAGCAATAATTTACAGCGCTAAAGCCCTGCCCTACCACCAAAAATTTTGAAGAGTGGGGAACTCTTCGCTAGCTCCACCAACGAGCTGCTGTTCCCTCTTTTTTTCGTCCCTCTCTTCTGGCCTTTTTTTTTCTTCTCTCTTCAAGCATAGCTTCGACGATACAAACAGACATCGCCATCAGCCTCCGCCAAAATGTCCGCGTATGTGATTCCTCCCTGAACGCTCCTTGCGATTCTGGGACAGAATGTCCGGTCTCGATTGTTTGCAGATTGTCGTGGTCCTCTCGCTGGGCAGCCGGTGAAATTTTTCTTCTGGTCATTTTCTCGTAAATCAGAAAATACTTGAAAAAGAAATCCGGTCTGCCAGCTCGATTCCTCTCGAGACTCCTCCCTCGGTTTTGCGAACTGAGAGACGGTGTCACGGGGTGTTGGAGATGAAGAATTGCTCCTCGCGTCTTCTCTCTTAAATCCATTGTCGCATTATGGCAATTGAGCACGAGGTCTGAAAACGGCCTTGTTGCTGCTGCCAGCGATGAACCATTTCTTGGACAAGATTTCTTGTCCGAGGTGTTGTCGGATGAGTCCTATCAAGGCTTCAATTGTGCACTGCTGGAATATGCTGCCAATGCTGCCCGTCTCACCGATTAAATTCAGCTCGAGTCAGCCTTGTCGAGAATGTCGCATTTCAGCTACAGTTCTTGCATCGGCGCTCTGTTCCATACATCTTGTATGGCGGACTACGTACTAATCTGAGTTTGAATATAGCACCGTCCCCACCAACGACCAGATCCTGGTCCCTGAGACTCTCCTCAAGAAGCGCAAGAGCCAGGAGAAGGCTCGCGCTGAGCGTGCTGCCGTCACTGAGAAGCGCAAGGCTGTATGTATACCCTCTTTCATCTTCCCATGGCTTCATGATGCACAACATACCACATTAAACTAGACACTTTGTGTCAATGTCGTTAATGTTAACCTTCTTTCGGGTCTGATATTTTGTTTGGGAATATCCTTTGAACAACTCGCAGTCATTGTTTTGTGACAAGTTGCTAACAAGACTGTTATAGGCCAACAAGGAGAAGCGTGGCGTCATCTTCAAGCGTGCCGAGAAGTACGTCCAGGAGTACCGCGCTGCTGAGCGTGAGAAGATCCGTCTCCGCCGGGCCGCCAAGTCCGACGACTCTGCCTACATCCCCGCTGAGGCCAAGCTGATCTTTGTCGTCCGTATCAAGGGGTATGTTGAATCTGCCAAAATGTGTAACACCGCAATAACTAACAGCTTTGCAGTATCAACAAGATGCCCCCCAAGCCCCGCAAGGTCCTCCAGCTGCTCCGTCTTCTCCAGATCAACAACGGTGTCTTCCTGAAGGTCACCAAGGCCATCACTGAGATGCTCAAGATCGTCGAGCCCTGGATCGCCTACGGTTACCCCAACCTCAAGTCCGTCAAGGAGCTCGTCTACAAGCGTGGATACGGAAAGGTCGAGAAGCAGCGTGTTGCCCTGACCGACAACTCCATCATTGAGGCCAGCCTCGGCAAGTACGGCATCATCTGCGTTGAGGATCTCATCCACGAGATCTTCACCGTTGGCCCCAACTTCAAGCAGGCCTCCAACTTCCTGTGGCCCTTCAAGCTCAGCAACCCCACTGGTGGCTTCCGTCCCCGCAAGTTCAAGCACTTCATCGAGGGTGGTGACCTTGGCAACCGTGAGGAGGCTATCAACGCCCTCATCCGCCAGATGAACTAAGTTAATAAACACTAAAAATGGGGTTCATGGATGTCTTTATGGGAGTGGGACTAGGGAAATACCTATCATGCATGGTTGCTCGGCGTTGGTATCACGATTTGGCTTTTGATAATTGACTATTCGATGAATGACACTCGAGTTTCCATGCTGTGTGACAATTAATTTGGCTTTTGAACTACCGAATGCTTAAAGTGATGTGGTATTATGTTTTGTAACCATTCATGTCATGTCGTGGACAAAACCACGGCCGGTCTGCCACTGCCTCTCTGTATGTGATGGTGGACGATGTTTTCTTTCCACTCCTTGTCATTGTATGCGCTCCCGTAGGTCTTGATCCATTGGAATCATAGAAATTAAGTGGTGATCATTAGTCAGGGTCTCCACCTCTGCGTGTGAATGCACATAGTATACATGAGGATTAATAAGAACGCTCTACATCTTGATATCAAAACTTGTCCCGCATCCGCAGCTGCTTGACGCATACGGGTTGTCAACAATCTTGAACTGCGACCCAATCAACTCCTGCGTAAAGTCCACCTTGCTGCCCTTGAGAAGCTCTAGGGAAGGCTCGTCTAGTATGACCTTGGCGCTGCTTTCGGATGAAGAGGAACCGCCCTCGTCCGGAACGTACTGGAAAATGCTGTCTTCCTCGCTAACGATAGGAGATGCTTCGCGTGCTTCTCCAGTAGGCATCGTAATGAGACTCATCAGGTATTGAAAGCCGTGGCAGCCTCCGCTCTCGACTCGGATCCGTAGCGCTAGATTCGGGTTCTTGTCTTTGACCATGATCTCGGAGAGGCGCTAGGAGCATGATTGGTAAGTAATACTGTTGATGTAGAAGTATGAACGCGCAATGCTTTAGTAAAAGTCCTACCTGAGCTGCTCTTGAGGTGATTTCCAGCACCATATCCTTGCCATCTTCATCTTTCTGAGGGTTCTGTACGCATATCGTAGCGAGACGAGAAGCAGATGCTGAAAAAGGTCGGCTAGCTGTTTGTCGGCCTATTGACAGGGCTGATGATGTCGAGGCCGTGGCTATCGACGTGCGGCGTCCAATATAAGATGTTTTGCGCGGGACGAGGAACTCCAGAGGCGTTTGTTGTACATGTGAATTAGCGGTCGAATACCGTCGCTTAGCGAGCTGGACAAAGGATCGAGCGGCAGAGGCGCCATTTGCGCATCGTAGGGGCGTCATGGTGAATTACTATGCAGATGGTGCTGGCCTGCTGTTGGCGCTGCTGTAGGACGAGAAAAAGGTTCAAGATGGCTTTTGCCGAGGGCGTCGAGACTCTTATCCAGCCGTCTATTTCCGCCTGCTGATGTCAGGCCAGGCACGGCGGCACATCTCCGGCAGCACTCAAGCCTACACTACTGGCCAGATCTGGCGCATTACCTCAGCAGACCGCCAGCCAGAGCGCACTCGCTAAGCCCCAAGCCGCCGCCCCACCTCCCACCAAAAATCAGTGAATTTTTGAACCTTGAGTTTTGAACCAACCCCGCCACCTCGAAAGAGTCATCGAAGCCCCTGGCCTGGCTCTTGAATTCTTCGACCTGGGAGGAGAAATTTTGACTCAGATAAAACCGAGATCAAACATCCGCCAAAATGTCTCGATTTTTCCGTGCCGGCAACGACGACAGCTCCAGCGAGAGCTCCAGTGACGAGGAGGAACTCTACTCCGGAGAAGAGGGTCAGGAAGTCGACCAGGAACAGTCTGAAGAAGAATCCGACGAGTTCGACCAGTCCGACGAGGAGAGCGAAGAGGCCGACGACAAGGACGCCGGCGACCAGAAGCAGGGAGCCTTCCGATTCTTGAGAGACAACGTCGAATCAGACAGCGAAGGCGAAGATGAGGTTCGAGACAAGGTCAAGAGCGCGCAGGACAAGCGACTGGACGAGCTCGAGACCTCCATTAAGCAGATTGAGAACGGCCTGAAGAACGGCGACTGGACCCTGATCTCAAATGGTATGGCAGTGGTCACAATACGCGAATAAGCGAACAGCAGCACTAATGATTTTTCCGGGCAGAATTCGACAAGCTGAACCGACAGGTTACCAAACTGCCCGCGGGCAGCAAAATCCCCAAGCCTTACATCAAGGTTATTGCCGAAGTCGAAGAGGCCGTCAATGAGGCTCTTGCAAAGGCGAAGGTCACACCGAAGAAGATGAACGCCATCCAGGCCAAGGCCCTCAACGCCGTCAAGCAAAAGGTCAAGAAGACCAACAAGGACTACCAGGCGCAGATTACCGTCTACAGGGAGGACAAAGACACTTACCTGTGGTCTTCAGACGAGGAGGAAGAGGAGGTCCCCGCTCCCAAGGCCCCCAAGGCCGTCAAATTCGAGGATTTCGCTGCTGCCGAGGAGGTCGCTGATGAGGGTTTCGCCACTGTTGGAAAGGGCGGCCGTACTCTGCAGTACACCCCTGAGAGCATCTTCAAGCACCTGCGAGGCATTTTGGAGACTCGTGGAAAGAAGAACACCGACAGAATTGACCAGATTAAGGTCATGGAGAAGCTCAACGAGATCGCCAACACCCCCTACCAGCAGATTCGTGTTCTTCTGACTCTGGTCTCTGCCCGATTCGACCTCGGCTCTGGCACCACCAACGTCATGCCTCTGGAGCACTGGAAGGCTGCTGAGAAGGAGCTGTCTCAGCTGCTGACCATTCTCGCCAACAATAACGAGTACGTCGTGCTCGAGAATGTCGAGGAGTGGGATGATGATGAGAAGCCCCCTACTCTGCAGCCTGGCGAGAAGCACATCAAGGTTGCCGGCAGCATCGTCTCCTACGTTGAGAGACTCGACGACGAGCTGCACCGATCTCTGCAGAGCATCGACCCCCACACCTCAGAGTACATTGAGCGCCTGCAAGACGAGGGTGCTCTGTACAACGTCATCTTCCGCGGTCTCCTGTACTACGAGGCCCTGCAGAAGGATGAGACCATTGAGGTTCCCCAGGATAGTGTCAACCGCATTATCATGCGAAGACTAGAGCACGTCTACTTCAAGGTAAGAAGAAACTCGCGATGCTACTGATGTAATTACGTTCATACTGACTTTTTATACCTAGCCTGCTCAAGTCGTCAAGACTTTTGAGGAGAACTGCTGGAAGGCCGTTGGCGAGAACGTCGACTCCACCACCACTCCTCGTGCCCAGGCTCAGGAGCCTGCTGAGCTGGTCAACGTCCTCTGCGCCTACCTTTACACCCACAGTGAGGGCATCCTCCGTGCCCGAGCTCTGCTCTCGCAAGTCTACTTCCTCGCCCTGCACGACGACTACTACAAGGCTCGTGACATGATGCTCATGTCTCACTTGCAAGAGACTGTCACCGGCTTCGACATCCAAAGCCAGATCCTGTACAACCGAACTCTCGTCCAGGTCGGTCTCTGCGCCTTCCGCAAGGGCCTCATCTACGATGCTCAGAACACTCTGCAAGAGATTTGCGGCAGCGGCCGCCAAAAGGAGTTGCTCGCTCAGGGTGTCATGATGCAGCGATACAGCCAGGTCTCTCCCGAGCAGGAGCGCCTGGAGAAGCAGCGCCAGCTACCCTTCCACATGCACATTAACCTCGAGCTACTCGAGTGCGTTTACCTGACTTGCAGCATGCTCCTGGAGATTCCTCTCCTGGCCCAGACCGGCTCTTCTCCTGATGTTAGGAAGCGTGTCATCAGCAAGACCTACCGCCGTATGTTGGAGTACCACGAGAGACAAATTTTCACCGGACCCCCTGAGAACACCCGAGACCACGTCATGCAGGCCTCCAAGGCTCTCGCCGCTGGTGAGTGGAAGAAGTCCATCAGCTTCATCCACAGCATCAAGATCTGGGATCTTATGCCCAACAGCGAAGAGATCAAGGAGATGCTCTCCAAGCAGATCCAGGAGGAGGGTCTGCGAACATACCTCTTCACCTACGCCCCCTTCTACGACACCCTCGCCGTCGAAACCCTCAGCGACATGTTCGAGCTCGACGCTACCAAGGTCGCTGCCATCATCAGCAAGATGATCAGCCACGAGGAGCTTGCCGCTTCTCTCGACCAGGTCACCAGCAACGTCATCTTCCGCAAGGGCGTCGAGCTCAGCAGACTCCAGTCCCTCGCCCTCGCCCTATCAGACAAGGCCAGCGCTCTCATCGAGACCAACGAGCGGACGCTCGAGCAGCGCACCCAGGGCACATCAAATGCCTTTGAGCGACAAGGCGGCAGAGGTCGGGGAGGCCACAGAGGAGGCGCACGTGGAGGCAGAGGAGGTCCTCGCGGTGGTGGTGGCAACACTCAGCGACAGGCTGGTGGCACACAGTTCACTGGCGGCGCTCTGGGAGCTGCCGTCAGGGGTTAGATTGGGTGGAACAGTTTTGAGCATGATGAAGGAAAAAGGGAGTAGTTTTGGGCTGGTAAAGAAGGGGAAGGGGCGTCCAAATTTGATCATCTCTCTTGACAGACTTTTTTTTAGTTTTGGGTGTTTTTTATTAAAACGAGATCCCCTTTTATTTTCTCTTGTAATGGAAGAAAACAAAAGTCCCCGGGGCGGCGAGCGAGGAAACGGAGGGAACTCGCTACAAATTTGTTAGATAACGTCGAACTGGAATTTTCTTTTTAACTTTAAAAGAATGAATGCATATAAACAATGAATGTGTATGCCCCTGTATTTCTTGAGCTACCTATGTATGTGGCAATTTCTGGCGATCCTTTTCTACTCTATCAGGCTGTATCTGCCTTATTATCACCTAGGTCTGAAGAGGTCCTTCAGACCTCTTGTGCCCCCATTCATTTGACTACCAGTATATCTTGCAGATCTACAAACATAATCTGTAAAACATCGTAACACTCACCGAATCTTGAGTTTCGGCAACGCAAATCTTTACGACAACGTAAAACCCGACCGCTAGAGCCAGTCCCAAAATTCATCCCAATCCTCATCAAATCTGCCGTCGTCCAAGGGTGTGGTATGGAGGCATTCTCCCATATCATCCCTATGCAAACTCATTTCTTGATCAATTTTTTTCTCTTCTTTACCATCAATAGGAAAATCCACATAGCTGTGCACCAGTTCTTTCAACTCTGACGGTAGCCTTTGGACAATACCCAATCCTTGGTTGTGTATCTCAGACTCAGTCCACCAGCCATACTGCTGAGGAGGCACATTGGCTGTGGATATGATGGGAATGCCTGGATCAACTAGATACAGCTTGAAATACTTGAGGTGTCCTGTCTTGGACCGGTCGACCAGGGAAAAGGCCCCGTGGCGATGTTTGTAGACATTTGGATAGAAGATGGCATTATCGGGATGAACTCTGACGCGACCTAAAACTTGGAAGTTATTTTCTTCTGGTAAGAAACCAAATGCCCTATAAATAAGTTCTTCTGGGATTGATGAAGGGCCTGGACTCAAATTTTCTCCATCTCCAACAGCACCAAAGTATATGTAGCTATCCGTGATGTTTTCAATGTCATAACAGAACATGGCCGTGGATACAATATGTTCGTTGAGTTGACCATCTGTCTGCCATACATCGCCCCTGTATTCGGGGTTTTCGGGGCTGAGCTGGATTTCTGCAAATGTGATCATTACCTGAATTCGCTTATTTTGATGCGAGAAAAAGCCAGATGATTTAACGTCGGATGGACGGAGACGGAAATACTGGCCATCTGTGAAGTGTGGCTCAGGGAACTTGATTGGGTGCTTGTCAATGAACCATGTAGGAATAGAAGGTTCTTCCGGCATGACCATTGCATCACTCTCATTGTCTTCCAATATGAGGTTGAGAGCCGGATAATCTTGGCACTCAGACGTCTTAACAGTATTCATACCTTCCTGTATACCCGTCTGTGTGGCATTGGTCTTGTTTGTTCGCTGTGCTCTCGCCGCAACGCGCCTCTCATATTCGATACCTACATCAATCCATTGTTAGCGTGTTGAAGTATAAAGAGGATTGATTTCAAGATCGGAAACCACTTACTGGCTTCTGCAGATAAATTAGAAGACCTGCAGTTTCTGTTGCGGCGTGCGCATATACGGGGAGTTTTGCAGCTGGTGATTAGCTCTGCGCCCCGTATTCTCTGAAAAGCAAAATGATGAGGCCATCTATACACAATGTCCCATGCCGGTAACGCGTGATTGATGGCCTTTGAAATAATCGAGTACAGCTTTTTGTCCTTGACAGGATGCAAGTTGTTGATATAGCTGTCTATTCTAGCGTTTCCTTGCTTGCTTATGGTAACGTCGAAAGGAAGCCACTGATAGGTGTCGTCATATAGGCGAAATCGGTATTCCGCATCCATTCCTGTGTTGCGAGGCTTTGAGAGAATGTCTCCTTCTCCACAAGCATTCAGGCAATTGTGGCGCTTAATGGTCCTATCAGGGAGAATCCGAGATCGACCATACACCAAAGGGCACAGAGAGGTGTGAGCTTGGCGAATTAGGAGACCACCATTGTGTATGCACCGATAGCTTTTAACATGTTTGAGCTCTGTCGCAAGACCGGCGAATGCTTTTTTGAGCCCATCGGATACGACCGTATCAGATTTGATGACACAAGCGGAGTAATCGAAGACAGGGATGAGTCCTGTCTTCTCATATAAGTCGGCTTTGAGCTTAAGCTCTCGGATAGTCTGTTGCATCACATCAGATTATTGTGCTTGAATTGTTAAAGAAGAATTCGGGGGTCATGTAACGTACCTGTAGGGCCATAGAAGAAGTAAAATCAGCATACTTCATGTGTTTGCTCCAGTCAAGCGCTAGAATCTCCTTTCCCCAGCTTCTTGCGATGTCTCTGTTGCGAATATTGCTCCACCAGTCCGGCTTCTCTGTAATCTCTTCAACGACTTTGAGCATACATAGCTCTCGAATTAGCAGCGCCTTGGCAGTCCAGTCACGGCCGTCATTCGTAATGGTGACGGGGAAATGATCCTGCGCGGCAGGCATCCATTCCAAAGGATATCCGTAGCCGGGCAGCGCGATGGTTGCATTAGGGGAATGCTCCTGCGACCATTAAGTTAGTCAAGTCACTTGAACAAAGAGGAGACAATTACATTTTGAATATCAATGGCGATGTGGCATAAAGCTTCGTGTACCATTGCATAATGTGCTTTGCCATCATCAACCGACAAGTAGTAATCCATCTCCTCTGCCAGCCAGAGCATCACATGATTGGGATGCAGCCATGGAATTTGCTTGAGCCACTCTTGGAAGTCTTTCTTTTGTTTTGCTGTTCCAGGAAATTGGTTGATAAAATATTCATGCCGGTTGATAGAAACGTTCCGAGGCATTGTTGCTGGTGAGCTGTTTCTGACGAGAGGAACTCGCGTGATCAATATGAGTAGCCGGTGGACAGAAGTGTCTCTGAATAGAAGAAGAGACTATGCTTGAACGAGGTCAAGACCTCTATGTGCTTGAAATGCAAGATGTGGATTTCTAGAGTTAGCTTTTGTGGGCAGAGGATGAAGACCGATAGCAATTCGGTTACTCATCAGGTGACTTTGCAACTGGCAGCTCCTTCCTCTGCAACTGGCCATGCAACATGCGGTGAATTGCACACGCGTACTTGCAGTGGCCTAATTGAAAAAGATAAGCAAAAGTATACGAAAGACGTAAATGTCGGCCATAGAAGTAGACGTGACATTTTCCGGTGCGGCATCTCATTGAATTGCTTGCTTGCATGAGGTCTCCTCGAAGAGTCCGAGGGTCGATATTCAGAGTATTGGAGAGCACCATGAGCAATAGAAAGAGAAGCCGTGCATTGACTTTGAAGATACTGATAGTGCATTTAAGGCATTTTTGCGTGTTGGTCTAGCTCGAAAGACGCAGCATGGGTGCATTTGAAGCTGAAATCGATATGGAATGGGGAGAGAGCACGATGCGGCAGTAAGAACGAGCAAGTAGCCAATGCCTCTTGTGGTGGCAGACTCGAAATGTAGGATGATCATCAAGTTTAAGAAAAAAAAAGTGAAAGAGAATAAATAGCTGTAATATTGGAACTGTCCATGCCTCGAGCATGGATATATATCGTTTGCCAATTAAACAGCCGGTCATGTCCATCTGGGTAGAGCTTCAGAGGAAGCCTGTTTATCAATGCCTCATTCCCATTGAGCACTACACATAAGTATATCAGAAATAAATGGCGCTCTGGAGACTGGGGGAAGCAGACATCGTAGAAGCAGCAGAAAGATCAATAATACATCTTGTCAATATTGTGACTTCAGCTACGGCTAGAGTGCTGGATATCAAAACTGGGGCGTTGAATGACAGTCTCAGAACATGCTGTGCATATGCAATTCCAATAGCTATCCGCTGCTTTAATCTGCTTTAATCCTGGTAAATCAGCTGAAGAAACTGTTCTTAGGACATTCAAGCTTTCAGACGTTCAACTACTCTAGTGGGACATTGGCGAGATTCGACGTCGGGACGGTTGAAATACAGCTTGAGCTTATTAGCGAACCAGCACCCCCTGTAGCTCCATTCTGTGGGGCCAAAGGCACAGTTGACACCACCACTAAAAAGCTCCAATAGATGCCACACACCGTTACAGCATGGACTTGCTGCAATGCCACCAATTGAGCACATTCAGCATGCATCGTGAATCATTGACTATTCCATACTTGCACCGCGTTTGTTGCTTTATATCCACATTTTGGAATTAATAATCAGACACGCCAAATATACCCCATACTTGTCATGCATCGCCAAACGCCAAATCGCGGAGCATTCTGCCTTATCCGAGGTTTTGTGGGGGTGGACCTCGGCAGCCTCCACGCCGTTCTCGGTTCTGGCTCTCGGCTGTGGCATTGACAGGGACTCTGGCTCAATTATTTCGCATTTTGAACTTATACAAGTTGCATCGCGTGTGTTTCCATCAAGCCAGCGAAGCTTCAGCGTTTGTAATTGTCTCTCGGCAATTGAGAGCGCAGGCTGATAATCTCTCGATTCGACCAGCCAGCTGCTATCGATAGCCAGCTCCAGCTGCAATCCAACTCCAGCTCAATCATCTTCTCCAACCTCCCATCATCGCCATCGCCATGACCGACGCAGCAGTCGACACCGCCGTCGACGTCTCGGCCTCGACCGAAATCGCCGCCGCCATCGACTCGGCGCCCTCCATCCCAACGCCCTCCAAGGCCCCGATCGGCGCAGTCCTCGCCGCCGTGCCCTCCAACGCCGACGCCTTCGCCGCCCACCTGCTGCGATGCATCCAGACCCGCGCCGGCGCCGACGCCGTGCTGCAGTTCCTCTGCTACTTCTTCAAGCTGTCCGGCTCCGTGCTCGAGACGCTCAGCCGCAACGCGCTGCGCCAGTCCGCCCAGAAGCTCGTCGCCATGGCCTTTCAGCTGCCGCCCGCCACGACGGTGGTGCTGTCGTCCGCGCCAGCGCCTGCCGGGGCAGCGTTTGCGCTGAGCCTGGCGAATAATTTCAAGGCGCTGTCGGGAGTACTGAGCGAGGCGCGGACGATCAACCGCCTCTGGGGTCTTCTGGGTCTGTATTTCGGGCTTAAGAGGATCGTCGCGAGGATGCGCCCGAAGAAGGTCGAATCCGAGAAAGAGGGCTCGGTGGCTGTTGTCGAGTCGGCGGCTCCGTTCGAGACGATCTTCTCCCTCACTCAGATCGTCACCCTCATCCTGTTCCAAGTCTTTGAGAACCTGGCCTTCCTAGGCAGCAAAAAGGCCATCGACCTCAAGCCCGCCACGATGGGCAAGTTTGGCCTCCTCAGCGTGCGATGCTGGGGCACATACGTCTTCATGGAGCTCTCCAGGCTGCTGGTGGAGCGCGTCCGCAGCAACCCCGAAGTCAAGACTGCCGCTTGGGCAAAGACGTGGAACAAGAGCTTCTTCCGCAACTTGGCGTGGGCACCGTTGACTGTCCACTGGAGCATTCCCGGAGGAGGACCTTTGCCCGATGCGCTGGTGGGCTTGCTGGCCATGTACCCGTCGACGGGACAGATGGTTGATCTGTGGCGAGAGACGGCATAAGAGCCGACAGTTGGATACTTTTATTTTCTCTTCTTGAAAAGCCCTGGTGAAAGGGGCGAGTACAGTATATTCTGTTTGGTGTTGCGCGAGAAGCTGTGCAACTCAAGATAGACTTGGGAGGGGAATGACTCACGACGCACAGAAAGATTGCCTGTCTTACGACAACGTATAGATCAACAGCGGGTAAGACTGCCCGCCGGAGTAAATGCTGGTGCCGGGTGGGAGAGGTACGTAGGAGGTAAGCTTGTTGGTCTGTCTTTGCTTCACTGGGGTTGCATGTAATAGTTATGTTGTGTTATGTATTTGTCATTTATGTTGATGATTTTACGCACGTACTTCTTTTTATATATTCATCTCATCTATGCTGATTTTTATCTGGGCCGCTCATACCACCCTCGCTAAATGAAGTAAAACACCAGTTAAGAAAAAAGTCCAAGAAAAGCAAGCCGTCTACATGTTAAACCGCTGGATCTCCTGCAACGTCCAAAACTTCCTCATATTCTCCGCCCCCAACGACCGCACCTCATCGTCCAAATGCGCCCACAGCACGCCTCCCCAGCTCTCCATCTTCTCCTTCAACACGCTCAGCTCAAAGTCCCTCTCGCCGCGCTTGCTTTGGTCAATGTACTCCTCAAAGCCCTCCAGCCCCTCGTGGATCTGCGCGTGCTGCTTGACCAGGTCGCCGTTCTTGGGGTCAAACTCGGGCATCCGCTTGGCCAGCATGGGGAAGAAGTACGTCTCCTCGATGCGGTGGTGCACGGTGAGGTGCTCGGCGAATTCGGTGCCGATCTGGAAGAGCTGCTTGAGGGACATGCCTTGGGGGCGGCGGCCAGTGGTGCAGGCCTGCCAGAGGACGTTCCATGATTGGCGGAAGTTGTTGTGCTGAGGTTATATGTGAGTGGGATGATGCCTTTATATAATTGTATGTGCCGTTGAGGTGAGGGATGCAAGTTCACTTACAAACCAGTTCATCTTATCAGCAAGACGGTTGTATATCCTAAACTCATGGTCAGAGAGCTTTGGAAGCTCTTCCTTGACCGGACATGGCTCCTTTGTGTCTTTTGGCGCTTCTCCTGCTGTAGCCATGGTGAAGGCGTTTCTCTGAATCGCTGAGTGGGATATATAAAAAGCCTGCTGCTTTGGTGTTGCAGCAATGATTCGTGCTCGATTCGTCACAACACTGCTGTTGAGCAACAAATTCCTCGTCAGAGACTTTAGAATGAGCATCCGTCTATTCGGATTTTCTGAGATTTATTATTTCTTTCTATACACTGCTCAGAATAAGTTCCCAGAGAGAAGCCCTTTTAACCCCAAATACAAAACGGCGCTCGCAAAACTTGGAATCTCCGTGTTTGAGTAGCCCTCAAGCAACGGCTCCCAATGATTGGCTATTATGGATGAGTCAGCCGTGTACAGAACTCCACCGTCTTACACAAGCTTCTGTAAGCAGCAATTTTAGATGGAAAAAGTCTCCATAAAAATGCGCGGTATCGCTTGTGATTCGATCGTGTAGTTTGATATGGGTCGGAACCGATAGTCCGGGTCGCGCTGTCGGTGTTGTTACAGTAGAGGCGAGGAACATGTGTCTAGGAAGAGATGTTGAGATCTAAGATTTCCATAAAGGGTAATTTAAATAATGAAAATTAATAATTGGAACTCTCCGAATCACTCTACCGGTGATGGTGAAGAGTAAAAATAGCGAGCGTTACGATTCAGTTTACAGGAGTAACGTCTCATGTGGTTATCAGTGGCTTTCAGCCTGTAAGACTACGATTGACACTTGAAAGACCTGCTTCATTACCTGCATCAACAGATACATAATGAACGATCCGACTCTTTCCAGACATTATTATCGCCGATATACACATGTCTACGTGGAGCTGAAGCTCGTGGAAAATGTGCAAATCTCTAGGTGTAGTATCAAATACAAGAAATACAGGGATTCCACAATGCACCACTAAGCGCGCGGCAAGCTCCTTAAGCAAGCAATTCACATCTCGCTCTAAGTTCTGGTCTCAAAGCTCCGACTGGAAGCCGAGATTTAGAGAATTCTTTCTTTTCATTCTTCTTTTTTTTTTTCCTAGCGTAATACTAGATCATCCATTCCGATTGTCCTCACTTACAAACCGCCGAATCGGATGTAGAGTTTAACCGCTAACATTACCTATCTTGTGCGATGGAATCGATGCCACTGCAGCTTGTGTGTCTTGTATCGCGCATGATGTATGTAAGCAACTATCGACTTGCTCAGAATATCTCACTTCCCACTCCATCGCGTGTAACTCAAAACACGTATCAGCGTGGCATTGTAATTCCAGAATATACATCCGAAGTCAGACAAGTAATAAACCGAGAAGTAGACACAAGCCACAAAGCACTTTTTGTTATCGATTGATGGGGCAAAGCGTTGTGATTATAATTGAAAGGCATCGTGTGAGGTTAAAAATGCTGTGAAAACATGTCGGAGCATAGTACAGCCCAGTCGATGGACAGCGTGAAGCGTTGTGGTTATGATTGCAGGGCATCGTGTAAGGTTAAAAATGCTGTGAAAATACGTCGGAGCATAGTACAGCCCAGTCAATGGACAGCGTGAAGCGTTGTGGTTATGATTGCAGGGCATCGTGTGAGGTTAAAAATGCTGTGAATTTGCTCGCTCCACTGTTTGCCATGAATCCAGCCCTACGCGCATCTATCAGGGGGCTTTTGGACAGGGCTTTCGACTTATCTTTAGAACAAACGTCATGAACTTCGTGTTGGAAAGCCGGCCTTATCTTGTCTACCTACGCAAACTCCGCCACACAAAGTAGAAGGACATCGCAGGAATAGACCTTCATTGCACATAAAAGCAGTGCTTCACGCCGTCGTCAGCAACTACTCGAACAGGTTTAATTGCAAGTAACACAATCTCAACGCAAAAGAAATCATTAGCTCAACAGCTCCAACAACATGAACTCGTCAACTCATGTTATCACATCATCAATATCCCAATCTCATAACTGTTACGTATCGTGATACAGCAGCCTAAAGCAAACACCCTGCAGATATCGGAAACGCAACACATCGCCTGCGCACAACATCCACCAGCTCCGTCTTCGGCACAACAAGCGGACGAATCGTCCCGCGCACATTCGTCCTCTGCTCAAACGCATACGCCATTGCAAAAAGCTTCTCCTCGCTAAAGGCCAGCCCCGAAAAGGAGATTCCAAACGGGCCATTGGGCGCCGACAGCGCAAGATTTCCCCAGTCAGACATTGTTGTAGGAGCCCCGTCCGGGCTGCGGCCCAGAGGCACGGAGATGACGGGCAAGCCGACTGCGCTGGCCGGCGAGCTCGCATAGGGCGTGGGCATGACCATGGCGTCCAGGCGGTGCGTTTCAATTGCTCCCGCGACGCAGTCGTTGGCGAAGAAGTATCGCTCCAGAGTGACGTTGGGCCAGTATGTCGGGTCCGTGTTGTTGATGCCAACGTACAGGAAGTCGTCCCAGGCGCCGGTGCTGAAGCCGGGATAGTTCTCGCGGCGGTCTCGTCTGGTGAAGTCGCGAAGATCCTCCAGCGACGTGATGTTGTTGGGATTGTGCGTAAGCAAGCTGAGATACTTTTGCGGGAGGTCGGACAAGAGATCTGCGCCAACGGGGGCAAAGGCCGGTTTCTGAGGAGCAGACGCATTGGTCAATGTCTGATACACGGTAGAGCAGATCATGTCGATGTTGTCCACAACCTGGGCACCAGCCGAGCGCATCACGTCCAGCGCTCTCTCAAAGGCTGCTGGATCGCTGTCGTATGCCGGATCGAAACCAGTGGCGAGGATATTCCGGGACACGCCGATTCGCTTGCCCCTGAGGCCCGAGTCCTTACACGCGGCAACATAATCGGGCATCTCGTCAAACGGGATCGCGCTGGTGTAGTTGTCGTGCTCATCAGGTCCCGCCATGGCCTGCATCAGGTACGCGGCATCCTTGACCGTTCTGGTCAGAGTTCCGACAGTGTCTTGCCTCGATGAAAACGGAATCACCAAGTGCCTCGAAGTCAGTCCGACCGTAGGCCGAAATCCCACGACATTGTTTGCATGCGCCGGTGCGAGGATCGATCCGCTGGTGTCTGTGCCAACGGCCCCCCATGAGAGGCCAATCGAGGACGAAATGGCACTTCCAGACGACGAGCCTCGAGGATCTTGATTCGGAAAATATGCGCCGAGTGCTTGGCCGCCATATGCCGACCAGCCTTCGTGGTTGATGTGTTCTCTGGATGCTGCCCACTGCGATAAGTTGGATTTGCCGAGAATGATGGCCCCGGCTTTGCGCAGTTTGGACGCAATGGTGCTGTCTTCGGGAACTTTGGCGCCCAGCAAGGCGTAGGAGCCAGCAGAGTTGTTCATCTTATCGAATGTGGCAATGTTGTCCTTGAGAATCACCGGTATGCCATGGAGAGGAAGCTTGGCACGATCAATGCCAGCTCTTCTCTCGGCATCGCGCTCTGCGGCTATGGACACTGCATCAGGGTTGATCTCAGTGACGGCTTTGAGCATCGGATTGACCTCTTGGATTCTATCAATGTAGGCCCTTACTAGATCCACGCTGGTGAAGAGATTTGTGTCCAAGCCGGAGCGCAAATCGGCGAGTGTGGCATCGAGTAAAGGTGGAAAGGCATCATGAGCATGTGGTAGGCAGAGGGAGAGAGACGAAAAGGATACCACGTGTATAACAGTGGCCAAAGCTTGAAGAGGCTTCATTGTCGAGTCCGGAATGATGCTCATTCGTGAGGTTGAAGATGCGAGCTCTACGATTCCCTGGCAGTATATAAGTAGACATCTTATACATGTTCGAGCTCAGCCTTATTCCTAGTGCGTATTCGAATATTACTTGGAATAGTAATACTTGAACCAATATTACTACATGTATCTCATGATGACCAGGATTATTGAAGAACAGCAGCATAGCTCTCCTAAACCGCGCTACGGACCGTCCCAGCAAACTATTATCGGCAGGGTTGTTTCCCTTGCCCGTTCGTGTACAGTACAGATACTACTAGTACCTAGTACTACTAGTTGAACATTAAAAAGACAAATATTTCCGGATTGAGTCCACTTGTGTAGGGCAGACGGCACAAAGGCTGGGCATGGTTGGGCATCTCAGGGCTACCGCACACGAGATCTGGTCGTATCTCGTGACTGCAATCGCACTTGATTCTGTTGAGCGCGTGTCTAAGATGTAATCTACACATCATCTTTGTCTCTAACGTACAACTCCTAGACTGGGCTGAGTAATAGCTACGGGGAAAATGAAGGGAGATGTCGGCCACTGTGGCTATAGGATTTTGATAGCTTTATTCATCCGTTCTCATGTAGGCCTATCATATACTAAAATGTCAGAAACTCTTAAAATGATGCATCAACCCAGATACCTATCATTCGAGAATCATATAGGTAGTACCTAGGTAGTACATACATATACAATTGATTTAATAAGTCTCACAGGGAAATATATATCCATTTGTACCAAAAGTCAGCATTCTTCTCCCTAAATCTTCATTCTCCTGGAACTATCTTACTCAGACATGCATTTACGAAGCATGAACCCACGCCTTTGACCCCAATACGGCTATCTCGGCACAACTTCAGCTGAGACACGGCTTGCTTCGCTGCCACGGCCGCTTCGGCGACGTCTTGGATAGGTCACACAGCGAGGCTATAGTGTAAGAATGCAGTCACATCGGAGATTGCCCTTTTCTGCCAATCAGCAGCAACACTGTTCAGATGTCTCAGTTCAATGCTAGTATCTGGGTGGCGCAAGGGATGGGATCCCTGCCATCAGCTGGCCTCGGTAACCATTTCGCCGGGCTTTGTGCCTGTGTCTGTGTAACCCCGACTCAACGTGATGCTATCCTGCCGTCTCAGCGTTAACCTGGTCCGCGGATGTCTCAAGGTTAGCAGCATTGAAGCGGTGAGTATGGCGTACAAGTACCTCCAGTCTCTTTCGCATCTTGCCGCCACCAACAATCCCTTGAGTGGTGATTTGCCACGAATTTCAGTGAATTATCGTGATGGGCTCAATCAAATGGCTGCTATGACGAACATTCGTGGCTAAAAGACAGGTTATCGATGGTAATCTTGCTCCCAAGGCCTGCATCGTTACATGTACCCAGTTTGCTGGTTCACCAATGTGATTGCAAGTCGCACTATATATCCCTTCACTGTAGATCTTTACCACTTTAAATCATCCTTATCAAATGTCAGAATCAACACTCGGCATTCGGTTCAACCTTGAGACGACTAGCAGAACAACGTTGGCAGATAAAAGTCGGTTAAACTCGCGTGATGTCGACATCGAATCTCAAACATCTAGCCTTGGATAATCGTTTCAATGCACCGATGCATTTGGAATAGTTGACAACAATCATTTGCCAGGTCTTAATGTAAGTGACCTTTATTGTTTGCACCGTTAGAAATTCAGTAAGCACACGAATACCTCTGCTTTCAGTTCTTTCTATACATGTATATAATTCTAGCTCAAACAAAACTCGCGCCTCTTCGTGCATCTATCTGCCTACTCAACATCCTCCACTCCAACAATCTTCAGCGAATCCTTCCAAAGCCTAGCCTCCTCCTCAGCATTATACGTATGGCCCGTAGTCAGCCCGCTCGTCATATCGTGATCATCCGGCCCGGGCTTCGCCACCGCAACATCTACCAGATATTTCCCTCCTTTGCCTTCCCATTCCTTGCCAATCGCCGCCCACACCTGCGTGGCAGCACCTTGCTCAGGACTCTTCATGCCCTGGATAACCTTGGGATCAATCGTCGCCATGAAACCCTGAATGTCCTCCTCGGACATGTATCGCATAAGACCAGTGGAAATGCCTCCGGGATGGACGCTCAGACCGTGAAGACCGCGAGCGCCGTACAGACGCTCAATTTGATTGGCCATGTATATGTTTGCAAGCTTGGACTGTGCATAGGCAACCCAACTGTCGTAGTTGCCGTTTTGGAAGTTGTAGTTGTCTGAGGCGAGGATGCCGTGCAGACGGTGACCGGAGGATGACACATTGACCACGCGAGAGGCAAATTCAGGAGTGCTACCGGCGAGGAGAGCAGGCTTGAGAAGCTGGAAGAAGAGGAAATGAGAAAGGTGGTTGACGCCGAATTGCATTTCGTGGCCATCTTGCGTGAGCCGCAAGTCGGGAATGGCCATGACGCCAGCATTGTTGACAAGAATATTAATCTTGTCCGTATCTGCCAAGATGGTCTCTGCCGCAGCTCGGACGCTCTTGAAGGAGGTCTGGTCCATCTCGACGAGCTTCATGCGCGAGGGCTCAAAGATGCCGTCAAGCGCATCTTTGGCCTTGGTGAGGTCTCTAGCGGTAAGGTAGAAGGATGCTCCTGTGGCGGACAGGGCGCGGACGGTCTCGATTCCAATACCAGATGAGACACCTGTGACGACAATGACCTTGCCCTTGAGCTTGTCGGTCATTCCTTCGTCCTGGACGACCTGGAGGGCGGTTGGTCTGGCATCACCAGGGCCTTTGGGGGAGATGTGAGCTTCGGCGTAGCGAGACATGATGTATATATCAAAGATATTTGCAGTCTATGAGAGTAAGTTGTAAGTGGTGTTAGTTGTGTAAGTGTCTCTGTTTTGAATCTGTGGAAGAATACCTCTCCTTGTCTAGTAGGACCCTACTGACTCTTATATATCTATAGGTTCTACACCTTTTCGACCTATCCGAGGCCCTCCTAGCCCCTCAACTATTGCCATAACTACCACAACCACGCGGAACTTCTCAGATACGTTGAAACGCTTCAAAGTCCGAGTATAGCCTCAAACCCCGTCGCATCGACTTATACGCTGATGTTTTTTTCCCAGCGCAGCCTAGCCCCGGCTCCAGTCCGCCATCCGCGGCGGGATTTGGCTGCGGCCCCACAACGCCGACGGCTGATGGTTTTTGCTGTTTTGGGATGGCCCGCGGCGTCTCCCCTAAACGCCGACACCTAGCTGCAGATGTTTGAGATGGGAGTTAACAGGCAGTGTTAATTTCAGGGGCAGAATTTCATAAAACACCATTCCTGTGAATGCAGCGTCTGCTGTAGTGACTTATACGGAGCCGTTATTTAGTATAGAGGCGAGCTTGATTTTTTACTTGAATACAGGAAGCTGCGGAATCCATATTCTCGGTGTGTATTTGCAGTACTGCAATCAACAATTACCATACCATATTAACAGGGCGCCATTGTATAGTACATATATATAAAGATCGTGTAGAAGCTCATTAAATAACAATCAATGATTGCCGCTTCTCATACCCAGCGTACCATGCGTTGCTGTAAACAATGAGCGTTATACGATAGACAATTAGCGCTCTATTTTAGCAGACAAGCCCTGTACATCACTAAAAGGCGCTTATGCAAGTCTGGATTTTTCGATTATGTCCGCGGGCAAGCTCCGCATTTGTGGGTACATATCCGCCATGAGCCGACGACAGGTGCTTATATGAAGCATCCCCTTTCTAACACCCCAATCCAGCCCGTTGTGACATTCAGTGGGAACATGTACGGGTTAATAACTGGCTGTTCCAGTTGATGCTTTGCCCTCATCATATAGCTTCTATAACGATTCCACGTAAAGACGCAGGCACCCAATATATATGGATGCCACATCCGATGAAGCCATGCCTGGTATGACAACCAGCGAGATCCGCCAAGCCCGTAGAAAGATTCAAAACAGGGTGAATCAGAGAGCTCTTCGTAAGTAGGCTTTATAGGGCTTCTATTGGCAAGAAGAGGCTACTAACAGCACCGGCCAGGATCGAGGGTCAGGGAAAAGAAGACGGCCGACGGCAGCATAGCACATCCCTTCAGAGTCCATCGCTGGCGGATCGATGATGGAAATGATGACATGCCAGCACTCAAGCCAAAACAAGTCCCCAAAGAAGCCAAGACAAAGTCCGCTCTGTCCAACCAGCCTGCTCTCAGGGATCAGCCATCACAGGCGGAAGAGCCCAACAGCGATGAAACCCATCCGCATGGTGCATTAGCCTCCATATCAGCTGCAACAGCCGCAGACAGGCGCTCCTCTGCCTGGATGAATCTGCGTTACTGCCTGCTCTCAGAGCATCTCCTCCACCTCATCCACTTCAACGTGCTCCGGGGCCTCTCCTACAACAAAAAGGTGCTCAGGCCATGCGCCTTTAGCGAATGCACCAGCACGCCATCCATAACTCTAAGCCACGTCCTCCCACACATGCCAGACGAAAAAATCCTCGCGGCCCTGCGATTCCCCGAAAACTTGGCGCCAACAAACCTGCAACTCTCGCATCCCCACCCTAGCTGGATCGACGTGTTTCCCTTTCCGGAGATGAGAGACAATCTGATTCGGTACGAAGGCTACTTTAGCCATGCGGACTTTCTAACCGACCTGCTAGGAAACCTCATTAACTGCCTGGAAGCTGCGTGTGGCTTGCCCCGAAAGAGCACCAACGCGCTGTCGGGATCCAAGGATGGTGATGATGCTCCCGATCGCCAGGGTCTGATTCTGTGGGGCGAGCCGTACCAGAGGGATAGCTGGGAAATAACTCCGGGGTTTCTGAGGAAGTGGTGGTGGGTGGTCAAGGGATGTGGTGAGCTGATAGAGTCGACTAATAGATGGCGGACAGTGAGGGGGGAGAGGCCGTTGCGGATGGCTGTGCTGTCACAGTGATAAGAAGTAGTTCATGAGGAGGGTGGTTGTGTATAAAAGTGTTTTTAATATGTAATCTAGCTTTTGGCTTTTTCTATAATGCAAGACATGGCTTTCAACGCTGTCTGTCCAAGTCGTTATATCATTAACATGAGTACCATATTGGGTATCTTCCATCAAATGGTCTATCGGGGTATTCCATATCATACATCCTCCTCTTGCTTCTCCGTCTTATTTTTTTTATGCCTGCAGTTGTATCGCATCTGCCAATTGAATCGCATCTCCAACTTCATACGCCGGCGGCGGATCCATGACAATCACATCAAACGTCGCCACCGCATACTTGACTTCGCTCCCCAGCCCAATCGAAATGCCCGTCACAATTTCCATCGCATGGTCCAGCCTCACGATGCACGACTGCGTCGTCGGTTTCGTGTTCATGACAAAAAAGTTGCCCCACGCGCCCGAGTCCAGCTCAAAGACTTCGCTGTCAATCTTGACCGCACCGGCCATGCTGCAGCCGTGCCGTCTCTGGGTGGCTGTCCGCGGCAGCATGCCGACAGAAGTCATGACGGTGGATTTCAGGTCCATGGACACGCTTCGCAGATAGACGCCGGACTCCAGCACGTCTGGAGGTGTGTGGATAATGACTCGCACAGGAGTTGGTTGGCCGCGGATGAGAACCGCCGGCTGAGGGAGGAGGACCTCGACTTTGATAGAGGGCGCATATTTCGGGCTATACGAAGGACATGAGCCGTCGGCGTGCTCTTGGTCCATGATTGTGTTTCGTTGGTGCGCATATCCTCGGCCAGACTTTTCATTCATCGCCACGGACAAGACGCACGACGATCTGGGCAGCGACGTGATAGTCGGGGTGCAGCTAAAGGGAATCTCAACCGCCACGCTCTTGACTTTTGTCATTGGGCCGAGAATGCAGCGGCCCACGGAGACGACGATGCCGTACGTCACCTTGACGCTCATTTCGGGCTCGGCAATGTCCATTGACGGCGGGAGTTGGCACTTTTGGGGTCTGGCGCAGTAGCAGTTGGCCTCGGCGGGGAACTGGAAGTCGATGGGGGTGGTGTATATGGACTCGCCAGAGGCTGCGTCTTCGTCCCACTGTAAGTCTCGGTATTCGATTTTTCTCGATTCTTCAAACAGCTGCGATAGATGTTAGTAACTTGGTTATACTTGTATTATCCAGCGCTGCTCACCACTGTTGTAAAATGCCCCGGACTGGCCCCGTTAACATGCGTGGGAAACGAGACCACCATGGTGCCGACGAATTTGACCGAGATGCGCGGCGATTTGTGAAAGGTAGGACCGCGGATTTCGAACAAGGCTCTTACGCGGTCCTGCGCAAGATACGGCCCCTGGTGGGCATCTTGCAGATCGAGATTCAGCTTCATAGTGGGAGAACTGCGAGACCAGCGCCTGGTGCAGGTCTCGTTGGTGTCGCGACGACGGGCCGACGTAGTTGTACGGCAGTGGACTATACATGAAATGTATTTACGTGTAAGTTGTAAGTTTGCGTGTGAGATTAAGTTATGTGTGATGTGGCTGCATTGAGTCAATGGTGGCAAGTTGATGTTGAAGCTGTACATGATTCAACTGCTTGCCAGGCACTTATATATCTTATATATATACATCTTGAGGCTACCCACCTACTACTCAAGTTTAATCATGCAAGCCACCCGCTTGACCTGTCAGTCCTTTCAACGATTACCGACAATCGCCGAGCTAGTTTCGTTTTTCTAGAACACTGCTAGGCCCTCAAATGAGACCAATGGCGTAACAGAGGCTTGCCGGATGCCGGCAATCGCTCCCCAGGCACACTGAAAATGGCCTTATCGACGGACCTGAGTCGGAGTTGGGGGCTCCCCACAGTGATGCCACGCGTTCGGAAATTCGGAGTCGCATACAAAGTGTCAGGCGTCAGCAGAATTTTGCCGGCAGAGCCTTTTTTTTTCGCACTGTCGATAATAGCGCAGACGGAGATGCGCCGCCGTTGAAATTCTGGTCGACTGAGATTCCCAAATAGGATACCCGAGGTTATGCACTGGCAAATGAGCGTTCGCAATCATGACTGTAGGCAAATACTTGTTTATAAGTTTGTGATGCTGTCAACCATAATTGGAAATTAACTCTCCAAATGGATACGCCAGAATTCTATCCTCATTAAGCTTAGTAACGCCTCATTATCGGGAATTCCCATGTGGGTATAAGCGGGTTGTGTTCCTGGCACACCTACTCTTATGAAAAGTTGGAACAATAGCATCGATACGTTCAGGAACCTAGAGTTTGACTTCTGTATTTAGACTTGTATTATATGGCAGATGGCGGACGTGAACTTGGTTAGCAAATCAACATGGTCCCAATGAAACTAACTCTTCATATCATTCCATCTCAATAGTCCTAATTCAGCAGCTGATGTTACCATATTTATCCAACTTCTACAAGCCATTTGAAACCGTCTTCAAAATGACCTAGCCAATATGAGGAATGTTCGATGCCCAAGTAGATACAAAAGACCCAGCAGGGAGAAAAAAGAGTGTTCTAAAAATCTCACCAAGAATGAAAAGCCTTGCTAAGATATATAGAAAAGAAATTATTACGACCCAACAACCATAAGATATATACCTACGGAAATACCATGGACCAATGGACTAATTAGGAGAGGATCACGTCTTATACTGTGAGCCACTTATAATAGATTATAAACACTAAAGTAAGCTATCCTAGAGGATTACAATTAGGATTGTAAGCCACTTAAAATAACTTACTATATAAGAATTATTTATTATACTTATTAAATAAAACTTAAATAGTTAATTATTAATATAGCACTTTTAAATAATAATTAAATTAGTTATTTATAACCTTATTAGCTATGTAATTACTCTGCTTATTAAATCCCTCGCATCTCTCTGCTAATATAAACTAATGCCTTAGTTTATAAATTAGGAACCTACCCTATACTTAAGTATAATAATATAGGTTAAGATATTACATATTAATAACTCTTATTTAGAAAGACACCTGTGATTTTTTAAGCAATTTAAATTACTATGCCTAAAGTAACTTTATTAACTAGCACTTCTGCTGCTCCACTAACACCTGCTCCTGCACTTACTTTAATCTTTACTTAAGATAATAATAGTAATATTACTATAAGAGACGCCCCTAACTGGGATAATATATTTTAAGAATAAATTAAAGCTTTCCTTTAAGATATATTTAAACTTAACTTAATTTTTATTTAGAAGGCTAATAATAAAAAGACTAACATTAAAGACATAGGAATACTTATTAAACACTAACCGCCCCTTATATTTAATAGAAAAGTTAGTAAACTCCGTGAATTTTAAACTTAATTAAAGGCTTACTTTATAGACTTTTAGAATACCCTTAATATAAAATATAAGAAGGTCTCTTTTACAGCGTCCTATCTTAAAGGAACTGCCTTAAAATAGTTCCGCCCTATATAGGATATATATCTTAATAACCCTAAAGGACTATTACCTAAATCTATTAAAAAAGTCTTTAATAATTTTAAGGAATTTAAAGGAGAACTTATAAAAGCCTTTGGAGATATTAAAGAACTTAGGATAGCTAAAAATAAACTCTTTAAAATCTATTAAAAAGGAAAATACTTTAATTACACTGTGAAATTTAGGGACCTTACCTTTAAAGTTACTTAGGGATAATCCGCCCTTATTAAATGATTTTATAACAGACTTAGTAAAAATGTTAAGGAAAAAGTTTATAATATTAATTAAACTAAGTATAATTTAATCTTATTTATAGAAAAATATATAATAGCTAATAACCTCCTTTATAAACTTAATATAGGAAATTAAAATAACTTTAACTAAGAAAGTTTAAATTAAGGTAAGAAATAATAAGAATTAATTACTAAAAATAACAGTAGCACTCTAGGACCTATGGATATTAGTATAATATAAAAGGGAAATAGGAAAAAGAAAGACTTTAAATGCTATAATTATAAAAAGCTAAACTATATAGTATATAACTATAAGTTATTTAAAAAGAAAAGAATCCCTAAACCTAAGAATAACTATGCTATAAAGAAAGATAATAAAGGCATTTATATAATAGAACACTTAACCTTATTTAATAATAAAGACAACTATAAATTCTATTATTTTAAAGCTAAACTCTTAGATAACTTTAAGACACTAAACAAAGAACTTAAAACTAAAATACCTAATAGATAACTAGTCTTTTAAATTAACTTTTAATAATTATTTAATATAAAAAGCATAGTCTTAAACTAAGAAGATAATAATATTAAGTAGTGTAATTATAGGTTACCTTATAAACATAATAAAGACATTTAAAGAGTATATAAAAATTACACTTTAGAAATAAGAAAACTTAATGAGTTCTACTATAGTATTATAGAATTAAAAGAACCTATTAAAGGTAACACCCCTATTACCTTATATAAATAGCTGCATGCTATATAAACCTAAGGTTTTAAAATATAACTTATTCTAAGAGCTATAATACTTAATAGGGCATGGTTATATAACCTTCTTTATTATTACTACTATAGAGACTATAAATATATAAATTTAACTTATCCTTTGCACTATTGCATTAGCTAGACTAGTTATATTACCCACATATATATAAAACACTTTAAAGAAAAATATAATAATAATATTTTTCCTATATAAATCCCATTCACTCCTTATAAGAATATATACTATAATATAAAATTTTATAACTAAATATCTATATAATGGTATTAATCCCTTAAAACTATTATATTAAAACCAGGTTATTGCGACTATAGTAAAAGAGAATTATAGGAATACTATTTAGTATTTTATAATTATTATTAAACTGCTAAGCTTTTGGAATAGTAAGACCGCAGTAATTTAAGATTTAAATATAACTATAATAAAGGATAGTTTAACTATAAAAACTACCCAGAGCTAAAATGCAAATAATACACAAGTATAAAGATTAATAACTAGCACTATTTAAAAAACTATAATAGTCCCCTATA